GGGGGATATTCGTAGTCTCCAACGGACAGTTTCCACCGTTCTTTCGAGTCCTCACGGCGGAGATTTCTTCAGTGTAGAAGATTTCTTCGGTAGCTTGAACCCCATAAAGGATGATTTCCTGTTGGGTTGCTCTGGAACGTCGGTGTCTTTCGAGGGTCGAAGACGTCGGAGACTCCTTCTCCGGTTGACCTTTTGTTGCTTTGCACTTTGGTCGCGTCCACTGGGAACGGCTGGTTCGGGGGGGATTTCCACCTCCGATCGAAGACTGCTCGTCGATTGGACGCGAGGGTCAGCAGAGTGCTTCATGATCGAGTTCCGTATGAACGGGTGGGTGTGAGCGCTGTGGTTACTGGAAGCGCTGTATACGGAGGCCGATCGATCCCGTAGAGGTGGGTCTCGTAGGGGTGAATAGGCACAGTAGTTTGACGCATTGCTGGATGTTCGGGACGACGGTCGACTCGTCCGCAGAGGGGACGGCACATGGGAGACCGACATGGAATGGGAATGGCCATCTTCACTCGGGTAGGGAGACGCAGAGCGGGAGGGATAATACGGAAGGCTGGAGCTGCTCGTGTTGCGAAGAGGGGCTGCTGGAAAGGCTTCCGTTGGTCGGCGGGCACGAGACGATGGCCGATCGGACGTCGATGTCCACGGGCGAGAGAATGAAGTCGACCGTATCCTCGACGGCACTGATTGCGGCACCACGGGGATTTCGGACAGGCACGTAATAGTAGCGCTGGTCGGTATAGAATCGAGATTATTGCCCCCCAGATCAGACCTTACAGTGTCATTGATGGAAGCATCACTGGTCGTCTCCTTTCGATCTTCGAATTTGGGGGCAGGCAGTTGTTTGCTCATCACAAGTTCTCCAGCTATAGGTCGCCCCGGAAGCGGCGTTAGCGAGTCTTCTTGTTCTTGTCTCTCTTGTGACCGGTTCGACCTCTCGCTAGCCTTCGAAGTCGTCGATATGGATACCCTCTTCAGCAAACTAGGCGCCAAAGGGACGAGCGAGACTAGATTTGGTCGGGCCTTGGGCTCGATATACATCACCTCCTCGGCCACTAGGAGTGATGGCTCGGTCCCATCATCCGAAAAGATCGACGCTGGAGATGGAGAGCGGAAAGAGAAGGTTCGAATAGATCGGGGGGACTGGGGAGGCACATAGACAGTTGGTTGGAGAAACATGGGTGATTGGAGGGGTGAATCTGCCGATGTGAAATCGAGAACGTCTCGGTCGTCGTCGTCTAGACGGAAGGGCTCCGGTACACAGGTAGTGCCACTACTTCGTTTGATCGTGTCCAAAGAGACTGGACGGGAACCTTTGACTATCGAAAATGGGGACGGAAGAAGCTGGGGTACGCTGGTGCTTTCGATGTCCGGCTCCGAATCCATGGATGAAGCCTCGTCGACGCTCAAGTCCGATTCAAACGCCCCGAGAGCCTTGTGGGAGTCGACAGGTGAGAATGTGATATCATGGCCTCCTGTTTCTGATCCAGAGATTTCTTCATCTTCAGATTCGTACCGCAACCGCGGTAGATGTCCTTGGCTCAAGCCTTGAAGCTGCAATGATGCTATGTGTTCATACATCATCCTCTCAAGTCTCTTAATCTACAGCACTAAGACGGTGATCCCTCCACTTGATTTTGAATTTTTTTGATGTCTTCTTTTTTGTTTTCTTCCTCCTTGTGGCTTCGAGCCTGCTGTGAAAGAATGAGGGTTCTGTTTCAAACAGATGTTGGCACAGCAAAGAAGAAGAAGAAGGGGAGAGAGGATTGAAAATTGGGATCACTCGCAGAGATAAGATGTCCAACTCAATTAATAAATGAACGTGAAGAACCAGAAGGGAGGAAAGACAAAACGAGTGTACTCCGGTCCAAGAGCAAAAAGAGAGAGAGGTATTGAAGAAAGACGGATGTGTGAGTATCAGACGTCCAGGGAATCACTACACCTGGGTCTAGCATGGATATAACCTCCTACTGACTAGTCCACACGGGGTCGCGACAGTGGATCCCTTCTGTGTCGTTTCCTTTTTAATTCTGACAGGGAGGCGTCTCCCTCGAATGGATTAGGTCAGAAAGAACGGAGGAGGTCGGTTCAGGGCCCAGGGAACCCACAATCTCAATAATAATACATGACATATACCCCCATCGCACGTGTGCAGGGAATGGGGGTGGCATGCTTTTTGACTGCAGAGTTCCTTGCCTCTCAACCTTGAAATGCCGTGGTTTCTTGCGTGGAGTACTCCGTACGGAGAACTTACGGAGGAGTCACTAGTAACTATCCGCATCATCTCCTTCTGACCTGTGGAAGACTCCCTTGCATGGGAATAATGCGGGTGATGCAATCGACTGGTCGACAGGTAAGATACGCAGGAGTTTTGACTGCCCATCCTGACAAGGTCATCAACATATTAAGCCAAGAAAAGAACGCCCGGCTCCTCGACGATATCAGAAAGATCCGACCTATCCAGTTGAGCTGTCTCCCCAGGGGGGCCTGTGCTTGTTGCTAAGTGCAGGGATGATGGACTCTCAACGCGTAGACTGTGGAGAGTCGGCGGCAGCACCTAAATTGCATTGCCGACCCACCATCATATCCAGTGGACCTCAGAGTGAGCACACCCATATGCAGTGATGCACAGATGAAGCAGAAGCACAGAATGGTAAATATTGTAGATTACTTCGTATCGGATTATCCTAAACCAAGGTTCACCGGTCGATCTCGCACATTTTTGCGTTCTTCCTGGGCTTAACGACAGGTAGCCAATGACGGGATCAAACAAGGGGGGCGGGCGACTCCCTCCGAACCGATAAAGTGGTTATCTGTTTCCTTTTTTTTTTGTTCAGCCCTCCTGTTGTTCCCTTCTTCTCGCCGCTCGGTCTCAAGGCTCAGGAGGTGCCGCCGCTGAAAAATGCGTGGATGTTTCATCGTGTCGGTTCGAGGAAAGAATGTGTTCGTTGGGGCCGTTACAGATGGTCAGATATGATGGAGCCAGCTCCCCTTAGCCGCCAGCCAAGTGGAGCAATTAGAACGTTTTCTAACTCAAACGCACCATTCTTGCACCGAACCCTGCTGCTAGTCCGAGTTCGCAAGGCGGCAATTCCCATGTGGAGCACTGGAGAAGCGTCTGTAGTCTGTAGTATACAGTCGTTACCTGTCTTTCGAGCTCCCTGCAGCGGCCCTGCCTGCATACGGGGTACGGGCGTGGTGTTCCTTGCAGTAGACATCTCAGGGGTCAAGGCCATCACTGCATTGCACAGGCAAGAAGCGGTCAATGGTGGCTGGGATGACGGACCCCTCAGTATGCACTGGGAACGGGATCAACGTGTAGTCGTCAGTGAGCTCGAGAGGAGGAGGGGGAGGAGGAGGAGGTGCAAATCTGGAGGCGAGACGCACAGGTCAGGAGGCGGAAGCTCGGTGGCTTCCCAATCGGGTAAGGCATATCTCCTTGCCGCTGACCAGCGCTCGATAAAGTCGCCCGCAAGTCTGTTTCGTCTTTGCCCACCACCAGTTCTTTTTATAGATGCTAGGAACGGTGGGTGTCGGCTTCTCTTTTCATGGGTTCCAGCCCCCTCTCCAGCCGTTTGAAATGGAGAAGATTGGCTGAGGTATTTTCGGTGAGTTGCTGTTTCTCCTCTGTTCTCTACACTCTGTAACGCTCGCCTGCAGAACGCATCGTTTTGTTGCAAAGGCTTGAGCTTAACCCGCTGCCTTCAAAGACAATCGCTAGGACGGTTCTTGCTAAACTTAGGCAGGGCACCTTGCTACCAGCCCACTCCGCGACAAGATGGGGTTGCTAGCCTCCCTCTTAGCTGGACACCAACGCCCATGTTCACCCGACCGTTCTCGAGAGAGACAAAGAAAACCCCCGGTAGCTGGGGGGAGGGGGGAGGCCGGGTTTCCCGTTCAGGTCACCTGCCCGTGAAGAATTTGCAATAAAATGAAACATGGACCTGCACTGTGAACTGGTGGTTCTCCCGTGTCAAGACAGACCATGCTACATACGGAGTAGTACTTGGTGATGGCAAGAGATCCAACCCACTTCATCCGGTACGATTGTCATAGCCGAAGACCCCTGCCCGGATTGATGTGAATCGATAACATGAAGGCGTGCCTGAAGTCAAATCGGTAGAAGGCAGACCAGAATAGAGTTCCTCTATCACAAAAATGAGGAAACACCGGTTGTACGGACCACGGGTCCACACACAGGATATTCATTCTACTTGTCGACAGAGAGATACCGTATTGCTTTCCCTGAATTCTTCCCCAGTTGAGAACGCATCGGACCAGGATGATGGGCGCAAGGCCATATCCAGACTCCCCCTTGGCTGACGTCTCTGTCTGTCGTTTCATGGCTACTCTCATGAGTATCATATTCTGTAGGCAAACCTTGGCAGCCATACTAACCTGCGAAGAGCACTTGCAACAGAGGTTAGATACTCCATAGAGAGTCATCTTATAGTTGTTAGTATCTTCAGCAATTGTTAATCAAGTCATAAAACTCATTATAGAGATAATATGCGGTCCTTGAAAAAGAGAGGAAGTTTAATGTGACTAAAGGGTAGGTCCTAGTTACCTCGAGGGCTATTAGATATATTAGCATCGGTTGTCTAGAAGACTATCTCCTACTTTAATTATATATCGTCATGCATGGTTATTGTCAGAGAAGGAAATATATTTATCCTATAATATGAGTGTTGAAGAACATTTTGCTTCTTTTGATGCCATCTCCTGCTTTATATTCAATACAAGACTATTGCCGGCTAAGAGATCTATACAAGGCCTCTGACTCCCCCTCATCTTCATATATCACTCTAGGGGTATCGAAAATCAAATGCCATTTGGCATCATTAGAGGGCAATAATTATAATAGCACTACTAGGATAAAACTTGGAGATACCTCTTTATCACATTCTGTGAAACAGTGTAGCCGACTTGAAGCACTAAAATATCTGCCCAAGTGGAATAGTAACAAGTATATCAATATAGTACATTGACAGATTAATTATGTTGCTAGCATCTATAAGTAATTCTTAGACAAGTAAAACACATGTGAAGAGAATAGAGCTGCCACCTGCAGCCCCGAGGAGTAAGCAGACATGTATGGAAGAAGGACAAGAAAAAAAAAAAAAAAAAAAAAAAAAACATGAAAAAAAGACATCCATCCACACGCAACCATACAATACAGGCTCACCGGTCCTTCGCCGGTGCAGAAATACCATTACTCTCTTTTCGCAACTTTTCCCCGGCATTTTCATAACCCTGCCCCAGAGTTGCTCTGCAAGACCCCTCCTCCCGTCGAGTCAAGCGGCCGGGCACATGCTGGTCACCAGGCAATTGGCAGCCAGAGTCGTAAGGGTCATTTATTAAAACAGTAGTAGAAAGGGTAGCATGAGAAAGATAAGAGAAAGAAAAGAAAAGACACAACAACAGCAACAAAACAATGGACTTTAGTAATCGTTTTCCCCATCCCTTAACTGCTGCCTGCACATCAAGGATTGGCCATCAAATCATCATCAGACCGTGGACAACATACATGGAGTTAAAAAAAGAAAACAGCTCGTGGGGATGGGGTTTTCGAAATATCCCGGATGGGGGGGGGTAACCGGGGGAGGGAGGAGTTTTGTCTTGTGATGTTGCTAGGAATGAAATGACGCCTCTCATGCCACGAAACCGGGACGGAATATTGGTCCTGGATTCGGGGGCTGAGTTGAGTTACACTCAACCTAGGCCATTTAGGCCTTTCTCGACCGTGTAACAGGGCCATTGGAGCGGCCAGAGGCGATGGCACCGTTCGACAGAGGGGTACCATCGGCAGCATTCTTGGCGGGAGACGGCACCTCGAAGTTCTTCATGTCGATCAGAGACTGCTTTCCAGTGTTGCGGCGAGGGCGGCCAGTCTTGGCGGCCTTCTTGTAGGTGGCAATATAGAAGGAGATGAAGAGGAAGAGGTACGAGGTGATGACGCCGATGCCAGCGAAAGCAGCAAACTCCTCGCCCGCGCACTTGCCAGCGTTGGGAGCCCAGGGGAAGTAGGTGGAGGAGAAGTAGGTATAGGACGCAAAATAGATGAAGCCTGTTACAGTCAGTCAGTCAAGGAATTGCGAAACACAGACAGAGGGGTGGAAAGGACAATCGACTTACCCAGGTCAAAGACGAATTGCAGAATCTGGAGCATGGTGATGTACTTCTTCCACCAGATACGAATTCCACGAGCACTCTGGAAGTAGTACCAGTACATGACAACGTGAACGAGCAGGTTCATGCAGATAACCACCCACTGGACGGCGGTCAACCCAATGAGTTGAGTGTAGCACAGAAGAGCCGTGGCACCATGGTGGTACGTGTGGAGGAAGGTGAGGGGCTTCTTCTTCAGGAAAAGGAAGACGGTGTCGACGAACTCGAGGTACTTGTTGAGGTAGTTGAGCTGTGAAAGCGCCGCACGTTAGCCAAGGCTTAGACAAGGGTTTGCTAAAACTTACGTAGTACAGCACGACCAGAGGCTCAGTCCAACCACCCTCATGATCACAGATAGCGAAGAAAATACCGCGGCGCCAGAGCGTCGGCAGGAGCTGCTCGATGAAGAGCGCAAGCAAGGCCCCGCTAATCAGCGTCAAGACGAGGTTGTGGATCATGAAGAGCGTGTTGAGCTGGAATGCGGGACGCTTCTTCATGATCTCGCGGCCGCCGAAGATAATGACATAGTAGGCGACGAGCGCGATCGCAGTCTCCTTGAAGGTGGACATAGGGGTCTTCCCCTCGACGAAACGGAAGTCGCTGGCAGGATAACCCATGACGACCTCGAAGGCCTTGTCGAAGATGGGCCATAGGTGGATGCCAAAGGGCCGATCGATGGTCGGCACAGGAAAGTTCTGAAGCAATTCAAGGGCCATTGTGACTCTGGATCTGAAAACAGACACTCAATGTAGGGGGAAAAACAGTGTGATGTCTTCTGACGGAAGGACCCTTGTGTGTGTGTGGGTGTGTTTTTTTTTTTCCCCTGGGCTGACGGCAGATGCACAACAACGACGACGAAACAGGAACAGACAAGAAAAAAAGAAAGAGAGAGAGAAGGAGAGAGAGGAGAGTCGATGAAGGAAAGAACAGGTAACGAAGTCGAAGTGGAGCGTGCCGGGCAGGGAGGGAGTTGAGAGCGATCGCTGGCTGAGGATCCTCAACAGTTGCTGTCTTTCTTTTCTCAGCGTGTCTTTTCTCCGGCGCGTCCGCCGAGGTTCCTGATGGGGCTTAGCGCTGATCGGGCTGACAATAAAAGGGGCAAGTCATGTGCTTCTGGGAGGTAGATTTATACGGCATTATTTTATACAGTAGTGATAATATTATCTAGGTGGATACTTATCACAGATATAGAATTACTTATTCTAATTTTAAAAATGAACAATTTAAATAATGAACAATTCTAATAATATGTCTGGTGAGGATTGAGAATGTATGCACCTGATTATTAATTGCTCCTCGGTGTGAGGCTCCACAAATAGCATAACTAAAAGTCAACAGGCTAAATAATAATATTATTATTCAATAATCTCACCTACGCCCGGTTTTCACATGCTCGAGTCGAGTAAGGAGACCTGCTTCCATATGGAGTATATCAATGCAGTTCTTCAATAATATCTATTGATCATTAGACAGATATTACTATTGTACTACTCCCTACTACCTGTTCAAGCTACCTTGTAGTTATATATAACTAGGTAGAAGGGAGAACTACACAGGTACCTAGTTACAGTCATGGGAGACTAGTAGCAGTCAATTACCTCTAGAGTACTAATCAAATTACCGAACCATCATTGTTATAAGTATAATACTGTTTTACTCTGTACTACTAGGTAGCCAATGCCAACTGGCAACTGCCACTGTCACCGTCTGATTACATAATATACATAACACGTGACACCACGTGATCAATACAGAACAATCGCCGACTCGAGAATAATTTGGTCGCCGGGACTCCAGCGGGTACTACTCTACCTTCAAGACCAGAGATTAGACGTCATCGAAGAGACAATTGAACAATAAAGAGGAATATAGGAAAGAAATATTGGACAGAATTCTGTAAAAACATTATTAGATCAGCTATCACAGCGTACACTACTGTTCCCATCTAACCCAATCGCTGTCGACGCAAAAAACGACGAATCGCAGGCGGACGTTTGTAAAAAGCGGCAATGCTTCGGACGTGGACGGGAGCGCCAGAGCGCCCAAGTGGCTGCCTCAGGCCACAACAACCTCACACCACCCGCAAAATCCTAGCGCTGCCGGCTGTGACTTCGTTCCTCGTCGAACCTCCTCATCCCGGATTCCCTCCCCCCTCCCAGCAACTGCCCCAAGCCGCTGACCCCAGTCCACTCCTCCGCAATCCCCTTCCATCATGTCGTCGACTTCCATCTTCCGCGTTGCGACCCGTGCCGTGCGCCCTGCCAGCTTCTTCAGAGCTTCCCAGCTGCCCCGATCCCGGGTGCAGACCCCAGCCATTCTTGCGGCCGCCCGCGCCAGCAACTTCAGCACCACCTGCAAACGCTTCTCCGGCCATCACGAAGACGAGACATACGAGGAGTTCTCTGCCAGGTAGGCCGATATACCCTGTTTTGGATGCCATTGGACCCCTTCTCGTGCAAGATCAACCTGCGCCCAGAGTGTGTGGGACGCCCGTCGAACCCCCATGTCGACCAGCTGGGGGCGCCCTCACCCTTTGTCCATGGGGGCTGATGGCTCGGTCGCGCGCCGAAACGCCCTGCTCTGCTTCTATCACGAATTCGCCTGGCTGACTGCTCAATTGCTGTAGATACGAGAAGGAGTTTGATGCCGTTCAGGATGTTTTCGAGCTGCAGGTAAGCTAGCCACGCATCCCTTTGCCAGAAATAAAACAAGATCTATATCCCAAAAAAAAAGAAACATGCCATTATGTTATTTCATCTCGCTTTATAATGATTATGAACTTCAAGACTAATGATTTCGTATAGCGTAACCTTAACAACTGCTTCGCCTACGACCTTGTTCCCTCCATTGAGGTCCTCTCCGCTGCCCTGAAGGCCGCTCGCCGCGTTAACGACTTCCCCACCGCTGTCCGTGTCTTTGAAGGTTTGCATGCCACCTGTTACAATAAACGGATTATCACACACACACCTGTCTAACACACCATTTTTCTATCATAACAGGTATCAAGGCCAAGGTCGAGACCCCCGACCAGTACAAGCAGTACCTTGAGCAACTCGAGGGTCTCCGCCAGGAACTCGGCGTTGCTCTCCGCGAGGAGCTCTACCCCCAGGAGGAATAGACGCGGAACCCGCGCCGGCCGTGAATTTCCTCCCCGTTTGACCGCTAAGAAGATAGGAAAGCTGTATACATACCCCAGGGAAAGAAAAAAAAAGAACTCTTCTTGTTAGCTAGAAAGTGCAGTCCAGTTTGGAACGAGGGTCAGTCGCTCGACGGCACGCTTCACTTTGCTTTCCTCTTCCTCCCCCTCACGCCCACCACCACCCTCCACCCCCGAGGAGTTTTGACATGGAGGTCTGTACGCTTGCTTTTCTATACCAGTCTTACTTGCCCATGTTATAAATCTGACCGCATTGTGTTCGCTACCTGTGTACTACTGAAGATAGTAAAGATGTTATTACTTATTCTAGCAGTCTTGTAATATTGTATTAAACTTTGTTTACTATTTAATCATCAGACAGGACTAGATTATAAGGTATTTTAGGTGGAGAATTGGTGAGAATGATTTAATACAGATATTTCAATACGCTTAGCATTGTTGATTGAAATAGCATCGTGCCAGTCTTAAATTATGAAACAATAAAGACAACAGCACAAGTATCAATAATTTGTCACAGTGAATATTTAAATCCAAATAATAAGAAAGAAGAAAAAACTATAACCATCCTGAACGCCACCACTGCCTCTAGATATATATGAAAGGCATCTTTAAGATTATCGTGCAATATGGGTATGTCGAGTGAATAGGAGTGCATCATAGATGAGCTAGTTATAAAACCTAACCAGTCTCTACTGCCTAGAGGATCATGTGAAGAATGCAATGCAGAGAAACCTGAGGCTAGTGGGTGCCCACGAATTTGAAGTAATTCGGTCGGCAGTCTTCCTTGGCGAGCCAGGGCTCGCCGGCGTAGAACTTGCCCGGTGTGCAGCCATGGCACTTGGGCGAGTTGGGGCAGTTGAGGTACGGGATGTGGTTGTAGCCGATGTCACGGAACCTATCCTTGATCAGCGGGTGAAAAAGGAAGATGAACGGGGGCACCTACCAGTGAACCTTGGACTTGTCTGCGAACAGTCCCAGGGCGATGGAATGAACAGGCGCATCGCCCCATCTCTCGTAGAAGAAGCCGCCGGCGCGATCCAAGTGATTGAAATAGTCTTCGTACTGCTGGCTACGGAAGAATGTCAGGTCACCGATCTCGAAGTTGGACCAGAAGTGGCAGGTGGAATATCCGTTCGCTGCCTCGGTGTGCTCGGGCCGCAGCTTGTCGTCCGTGAGCCAGTCCATCATGTTGTTCTCGTGAACGTAAGAGGGGTTCACGGCGAGGAACTTCTTCGTCTCGGGCCACAGCGTCGAAATAGTCTGCGGGGCATCGAACAGGTTGATGGTAAAACCATAGGTCATGTTGCGGTCTTCCATGAAGCGGAAAACGTCGTAATCCACGTCGCAGAAGAATTTGACCTTGGGCTCCACGCGCCAGTAGTAGCGGTAATCCTTCAGAGCGGGATGCTTATAGAACATGCCACTGTTCCACCGGCACATCTGATGGTAGGACAGCTTGTCGCTGTACTGGATATTCTGCTCCTTCAACATCTCCGCCGATTCCCTGAAGATGTCCATATTGATCCACTCGGGCATATCCCAATGTTCCTTCGGCACGATCTCTACACAGGGACCCTCAATATTAGCTCACAATACGACACCGGCCCGTGATTCCACAATCTCTTACCATATTGGCACTTGGCCTTCGTTACGGCCTGCGTTTGGCGCTTGAACTCTTCGGTGAAGGGCTTATCGTTGAAGAAGATCCACGGATAATTGAACTTGCTATTCCAGGTTCGCTCCAGATCCTTCATAGTCGGGATCAGCTCATGGAGTTCTTCGTTGCGCACGAGCGAGATGAGCGCCGCATTGGTGCGGGCAGACTTCTCGCTGTCGGGGGCGTAGTCGTTCCCATCAGCTCGCCACAAATGACCCTCCGGTTCGCCGGTCGCTGTATTTCCATTCAAAAGTCAGCATAAAAAAACAAGCATACACAGACAAAAGAAAACATTCTTCTCAGATCCACGCACGATCCAGCAGCGGCTCATCCTTTCGGTTCATCCCCTCGTACGGCACCGACGGCCCCTGAGTGCTGGGGATGATTCCGGGCGTGCCCTTGTTGATCTGGAAGACCAGAAACAGCGTAATCAGGATGCATGCTGCACCCAGCATGCGTATGGGTCGTGCAATAGCCATCTTGCACAACAGACACCACAGACAAGGGGCTTCTCCGACTCCAAAGAAGAAGAATATCCTCTCGCGTGGTCGAGGCAGAGGCAAAAGTCGCCGCTCTCCGCCTGGCCCTGAGGACACGGCGGCTTGTCCCGATCGGGCCTAGCGCAGAACACACGTCGATGAAACCCGCCCGTCTGTCTGGCCGCGTCACCCACGGATTGCTCTTGCCAGGCAGCGTCGACGACTGGCGATGGCGCGCGTGGGCGGTTTTGGCTGTGTTCTGGGCGTTTTCTCGTCGAGTCAGACTGTGGTGCAGCCAACGGGCGTGAGAAGATGGCGCTTGCCGCCAGTACCAGCACCCTGACGGACCAGCTCATTGCCGCCGTGACGAAGAACCCAGACCAGGTATGTGACCCCACAGACGATGGATCGTCATCCGTCGAGCTTATTGTTTAGTTAGGGGGATTGTGGCAGCTGACCGGTCGTAGAGTGCTCTGCGGTTTAGGAGCCTGAAACGCCGCGTCGAGGAGGCGCTGCGAGCGAAAACACATGGTCGGACTGACCAGTTTGCCGTGGCCCGCCAACTCGAGGGTCTCAGGGAGAAATTCCAGATCTTGGACAGAGATGACCTAGCAGACGCTCTCGGGCAGCGCTTGGATGCGTTGGAGGAGCACCGCAGGTCGTGGACGCCGGAGATTCTGTCTCTGCTTCTCCTCCTGTCGGATCGGCCTGCTCAGTTGTCCAAGAATATCGGTGTAGAGAGCGGGCTGAAATCTGCAAGATCGAAGCCGGCGCTGACTTGGTCGGATTTGGATGCCGAAGGAACCGCCTACTGCGACGATGAAATCTGGGAGAACGTAGACTTTGCAGCAGACAGTTCCGACGACGATTTCTCTACCGTGTCTAGTGATGTGTCGATTCCCAAGATCTTGCCCGAGAGATTCACAGTCCCAGAGGAAGACTACGTGATACCAGAGGAGGTTTTCGCTGGCGGCGAAGATGAAGACCTTCTCGCTTCTATCAAGGACGCCCAGTTCTGGGCAGTAGAGAATCGCTCTGCTGTTTCTCACCAAGCAGATGACTATTCTCGGCGAATCACGGAACTGCAGATGATCAGAGAAATCGTGTTCATGCTACAAGGCCTTCCTACCTCTATATTTTGGCGCCTAGACGAGGGTGTTGAGGTTGACCGACGGTATGCGTTGATGAACGCTTCAAAGTCAGCCACATCCTCACTTTTAAAATCATTTGGCTGGATAGGAGCCCGGGTCGATAGGCTAAGGCGGTTCATAAAGGTACCGCAGTCTGTACCTTGTATCCAGACCTTCCACCGAGGGGTTGAGGATTGTCTTGGAGGATTTGACTCGTTTCTGTCTAGCATTCACGAGCGGTACTTGAGACAAACAATGGTCACCCCGGTCAGCTTGTTACAACTGCTTGAAGATGTCCGCAATGAGTCGAGGCTGTTGCTATTGCTCGCCGAACTTGTTTCGGAGCTCGAAGAGAAGGCGTATGCCGAGCCCGTGAAATGTCTTGACAAGTTGTATGACTTGGTTTGTATAAAACAAGCCACTTGTGATGACGATGAGTTTCGATTCCTGGGAAAGCTGTTTTTTGCATGCTTTGAGACCTACATACGTCCGATTCGCCTCTGGATGGAGACGGGTCAACTGGATTCTGTTGAAGGGACATTCTTCATACAAGAAGGCGACAAAAATGATGACCTCCACACTTTGTGGCATGACTGGTACACGATGGATGAGAGCTCCAGGCTGTTAAATATTCCTCGTTTCATTCAGCCCGTAGCCCCGAAGATTTTTACAGCAGGCAAGAGCTTGGTGTTTCTCCGCCATTTGAACATACACCCTGAGAACTTGGGTCAACTTGGAAAGGCTTCTTTAACCTTTCAGGATGTATACCCTGAAGACGCCTCTTCTCTAGCTGCATTTTGCCTCCCCTTCTCTGAACTTTTGGAGAGTGCTTTTGAAAAGCTAGTTGATGCAAACTCCTCAATCACAACGCGAATTTTACGGGAAGAGCTGGAGAAGTGTGACCTTTGGATATCCCTCCAGGCCTTGGAGCTGATCTACCTCGGCAAGGACATGAGCGTCTCTAGCACGATTGATCACAAAATCTTTGACTTGATTGATCGAGGCCGAGGCGCCTGGAATGACCGCTTTCTCCTCACAGAATTGGCGCAGACGGCATTCAGTGTCATCCCCTTCATCGATACCTCTCAACTGATAGCCCGATCTAGCAAGGGGTCTCATCGAGATCTAGACAAGAGTTACCGGTCTGTGGAGATCCTTCAAGCCCTTTCGTTCGATTATGTCCTTCCTTGGCCAGTTGCCAACATCGTAACCAAAGACGCCACCGCCGTGTATCAACGTGTGGGCACATTCCTGATGCAAATCCGCAGAGCGAAATATACCATCACCAAGCAGCGTCTGCGAGGCGATCACAATACCACCGGAACAGAACCCCAGAGCGGTGTTGAGGACCGAGATGATGCTCTTGGTTACGCCCTTCGTCACAACCTACTATGGTTCATCAATGTTCTGTACAGCTACATGGCCGATCTCGTCATTTCCTCAACGATGGACGCGATGCTGAAGGCACTCGCCGCTGCCACTGACGTTGACACCATGATTGCTGAATACGGGGTGTATATGCATTCTCTCGAAGACCAATGTCTGCTCTCCAAGGACCTAACACCTATCTATCGAGCGATCATCAACCTTTTAGACCTTTGCATCTATTTTGCAGATGTCCAGGCCACCCAGCATGGCGAGAACCAGTACGATCAGTCAACTCCCGCTACCCGTCACCGGCACCGCCGTAGCCTCGGACGGAGTACGAACAATACATACGCCGGAGGGGACGAAAATGGGGCCGGGGAAGACGACACTGATTCGTCCGAGAGTGGGAGTGATCTCGACGAGGGGAACACCACGATGGTCTCATTTATAGAGTCGCCGTATTTACATCGCCTGAAGGATCTCAAGCGGCAGTTTGACCAGCTCCTCGCATTCATTGTCGCGGGATTAAAGGGCGTGGGCCGTGTCGAAGGCCAGTATAGCTGGGAGATGTTGGCGGAGAGATTGGAATGGAGGAAGGAAAGTCGGATGCGGTAATTTCAAGTCCTAGTACCTACTACTGCCTAGGTAGTTATAGAGTATTAAACCTAGCTTGCTTAATGGAACCGAAAGTAATGACTAGCTATAATTGAACAATATAAAGGGTGAAATTCTTGAAACTACATAAAAGTTATATATCTCATGGAAGATGGTAAACCAATTTTTCTCTTCTTTCGCCAATCACTTTTTTTTTTTTTCTTTCCCCTTTTCATCATGCATGGTCATTCATTCCACTTAGCCGACCCATCTTCTCGCGCTGAAGAACATACGTCCCCAGGGGCCGATATCCCCCCAGTTCTCCGCCTCATCAGGAAGCCAGCTGGCAATGCCGTTCATGATGGTGCGCTCCGGGTGGGGCATGATGGCCAGGACACGGCCGTTGGCACTGCGCACACCGGCGATACCCTCGGGACTGCCGTTGGGGTTGAAGGGGTACTTGGTTGTAGGCTGGAGGGTGGCGTTGTCGACGAACTGGATCGGGGCGAGGCCGCTGTTGGCGAAGGAGCGGGCGTCGACGCCCGCGGAGGGCGAGAAGGAGGCCCGGCCCTCACCGTGGGCGACCGCGATGGGGAAGGAAGAGCCGTCCATGCCGTGCAGGAAGACGCTGGGGTTGGCCGGGTCCGGGTCGGAGACGCGAACCATGCAGACGCGGCCCTCGTACTGCTCGCTGGCGTTGCGTTCGAAGCTGGGCCAATCCTTGGCGCCGGGGATGAGATCCTTGAGCCGGGAGAGGAACTGGCAGCCGTTGCAGACGCCCAGGGCGAAGGTGTCGGCGCGTTCGAAGAAGGCCTGGAACTCCTGGCGGGTGTTGTCGTGCAGGAGGACGGATTTCGACCATCCCTGGCCGGCGCCGAGGACGTCACCGTACGAAAAACCGCCACAGGCAGCAATACCCACAAAGCTGGAGAGCGAGACACGGCCGGCGATCAGATCGGTCATGTGGACGTCAACGGCAGAGAAACCGGCTGTGTTGAAGGCGAACGCCATCTCAGCCTGACTGTTGACACCTTGTTCACGAAGAATGGCCACGCGCGGCTTGTTGCTGAAGGGAGACAGCTGGGAAAGGCTGGTGAGGATAGGCATGGCCCGGTTCTTGGGGTCGAAAGTAGCGTTCCAAGACAGGCCCGGATCGGCGTCATCCAGGATGTTGGCAAACTCTTGATCGGCGCAAGCAGCAGTGTCCCGCATCTTTTGCATATGATACGAAGTCCGGGACCAGGTCTGCTGGATTTCGGCCCTCGCGTTGCGGTAGACAAGCGTGTGCTTGTGGTAGATGGTGAGGTTCTGCTTCTGTCTTTCTGAGACCCGTCCAATCTTGAAGATGAGGCCGGGGGGCGGGCCGCATGTAGCAAAGCATGAGCGGAACTGAGTCTCGTGTTCCTTGCGGACCTGGAACACAGCTCCGAGCTCTTCATTGAAGAGTGTCTCGACGACATCCTTGGTGCTGGCGCTCGGGCAGATGTTGTCAAGCATAATCTCAACACCACAACGTCCGGCGAACATCATCTCAGCAAGGGTGGTGAACAGGCCACCATCGGACCGATCGTGGTAGGCCAGGACAATACCCGCGTCCTGAAGTTGCTGGGTGGCGTCGAAGAAGTCTTTGAGGATCTCGACATCATGAACATCGGGGCAGGAGTCTCCAACCTGGTTGAAGACCTGCGCGAGGGCAGAGCCACCCAGCGCCTTGCGACCGAAGGACAGATCGACAAACATGAGGACTGTTTCACCGACATCTTCGAGGCGGCGGAGGGCAGGCGTCCAGGTCTTGCGCACATTGCCGACGGGAGCAAAAGCGGAGATGACCAGGGACAAGGGCGCGGTGACCTCCTTGGCCTCCTTGGAAGCTTCGTCGGTCCACTTCATCTTCATCGACATGGAGTCTTTGCCGACGGGGATGCTGATGCCGAGCTTGGGGCACAGTTCCAATCCAATGGCCTCGACTGCCTCGTAGATGGCAGCTCCCTCACCGGGGTGGCTACTGGCCGACATCCAGTTGGCAGACAGCTTCACGCGGGTGAGACGGTCAATGAGATCGGCGGCGGCGATGTTCATGAGAGATTCGGCAACAGCCATACGGGCGGAGGCAGCGGGGGAGATGAGTGCCAGGGTCGGCTTCTCACCCATAGACATGGCTTCGCCGGTCTTCATCCCCTGCAGCAGAGAGGTGGCAGTGACCGAGACGTCCGAAACCGGGGTTTGCCATCTGCCAACCATTTGATCACGGGCCGTCAGACCACCAACAGTCCTGTCGCCAATGGTAATGAGGAAAGACTTGGAACCAACCGCAGGCAGGGAGAGCACTCGGTTGGCTGCCTCGCGGAAAAGATCCTGGGGGGAGGAGATGGATGGGAGGTACTGGGTCAGACTGGCGTCCACCGCAGGCAACTTGAGCTTGCGCGAATCGACGGTCCTCGTCATCTTGGGGGGCTTGCCGAAGAGGACCGAGAGAGGCAGGTCAATGGGCTTGGGGTACTCGGTGGACTCTCTGTCGAGAAGGATGAGTCTCTTCTCCGCCTCAGATCCTCCAGCTCCACGGCCTACAACGGAGAACCCGCAGCGCTCACGATTGGCAATGGCGGTGAATTTATTCATTCCCTCCTCGCTGACGGCCAAGACATATCTCTCCTGGGCCTCGCAGCACCAGATCTGCATGGGACTCATGCTTCTGTCAGCGCTGTCGACCTCACGAAGTTCAAAGGTAGCGCCGAGGCCCGAGTCGTGGATCAATTCGGGCAGGGCGTTAGATAGACCACCGGCACCGACGTCGTGAATGAACTTGATCGGGCTGTCGGCTCCCATAGCAACGCAGGAGTTGATGACCTCTTGAGCCCTGCGCTGGACTTCGGCGTTTCCTCTCTGCACACTGGCGAAATCCAGATCCGCCGATCCTTCGCCGGAGGTGATACTGGATGCAGCACCTCCACCCAAGCCAATCAGCATGGCAGGGCCACCAAGGACGACCAGGTAAGACCCCGGCTTCACGATGTCAGGGTTCTTGATCGCGTGCTGGGGTCGGACGGTACCGACACCACCGGCAATCATGATGGGCTTGTGGTAGCCTCTGGTCTCAGTCTTGCCATCGCCGACATCGATCTGAGTCAGGAATGTGCGGAAATATCCGGCGGTGCAAGGACGGCCAAACTCATTGTTGAAGGCAGCGCTGCCAATGGGAGCTTCGAGCATGATGTCCAAACTGCTGGCAATATGGTTGGGCTTTCCAACATCCAGTTCCCAAGGCTGTCTCAGGCCGGGGATCAGAAGGTCAGAGACACAGAAACCCGAAAGGCCGGCCTTGGGCTTGGAGCCCCGACCAACGGCACCCTCGTCACGGATCTCTCCACCGGAGCCGGTTGCCGCTCCCGGGTAAGGCGACACGGCGGTAGGATGGTTGTGTGTTTCCACCTTGGCCAAGAAATGAACGACTTCCTTGGTGTGACCCCATTCACCGGTTGTCTGGTTGGGAGCCCAGAAAGCGGCCTCCTCGCCCTGGAGAACGGCGGCGTTGTCACTGTAGGCGCTGACAGTGAACTCCGGGTTCTTTTTGTGGGTGTTGCGGATCATGGCAAAGAGGCTGTTGGGCATAGGCTTCCCATCGATAACCCACGATGCATTGAATTGCTTGTGGCGACAGTGCTCCGAGTTGACCTGGGCAAACATGAACAGCTCGACATCCGTGGGGTCCCGGGCGATGGGACCGTTCGGACCGTAGGCCTCGGCGAGATAGTTGATTTCTGACTCCTCCAAAGCCAGACCAAGACGCTTGTTCGCCTCCTGCAACACCTCCTTGGGCGACTTGTTGCTGCTGTGGACAGGAATGGTCTCGAGAGGCTGGGGGGCGTGTTCGGAGAACATCAGGTGGAGATCGGGCTCGTCGGAGCTGATGGCCTGAGTCATCCGGTCATGGAGGAGGTCGAGGAAGCCAGGGTTCGGGGTCTGAGCGACATCTCGCAGGCAGGAGATCTTCATGCCACGCTCGATCCGCTTCACGTGCTTCTTGAGACCGCAGACGTGGGAAATCCCAGTCGCCTGGGAGCTCCAGGGCGAGATCGTTCCGGTGCGGGGGAAGACGTAGTACACATCGAACGTACCCTCATCTGCAGTAAAGGAGGCAGGGACGTCCGTGATATCACCGTACCGCAGCAGCTGTTCCAAAACAGAGATCTGGGCTTCCTCGAGGGGCTGAGCCGTATGGACGTAGTGGATCCACTGGGCACGCACGTCCTTGACGCCGAGGCTGGCAGCAATTGCCCGTCCCCGAGAGCGGGAGAAGGCCACGGAGCCAGACAGGGCCAGGTAGGTGGCCTCGTTCGATGCAGTGGCCATGCTGGAGAGGCTGTATAAAGAAGGAGGGAGGGGGGGCCGGATTCGATGACTCGGTTGGGATGACTCAGGTGCTGTACTGCTGTGTCGTGGGGGGACACAGGATCAGGTAGGCAGTTTGAAGAATAGAAGGGGCCTCAAAGGACACGCCTTCAGCAAATCAGACGGCTGAGACGTCACAGAAGACCGAAACACCGCAGATGAGGCCGGCATCGAGAAAAGTGAAGTCACGAAAGTTCGACTGGCCGCTTTTTTTTCCTCTTGCGGTGCAGCCCCGCGCTAATCCTGTTTTGAACCTTATCACCTGCAGATCACGGGGTCCTTATCAGTCATGTGATGCATTATGTAATGTATCACGTGTTTGGTCATGTGACATGTGATATTGTCTTGGCGGGTAGAGGTAACCTTTAACTCCCTCCTACCTCTGTAGTAAGGACTGCTGCGCTGCTTTCCCCTTTTCTGGTCTGGGATCACAGCTCTCATTTCTCTCGAGGTGAGGCATTTGCCAACCGAAGAGTGGAATTATGTCATCAGCAATAGAGCCGTTGGTTGGCCTCGCGTTTGCCTCCAAATTTCGCGACGAGACGGGGGGATTTGGATCAAAGGGTTGGTACGAATCGACTGCCTGGTTGACCTGACCTATTTGAAGATTATACCCCATACCTGGATACAGGAAAAAGAGCCTTATTCTCGAGCAGTTACAGAGTCCTGGACCTGGTTCACCGGATGGCAAACTTCGGACGATCTCTGCAGGGTTGGGCGGAGATAAATCGGGTTGTCGATCACTTTCTGGGACCTGCAGGTGGAATCACCACGTTTCACCTGCCAAGGACTGGCTGTGTTGCCGATAGGTCAGGCTGGTCACTGCACATTAATTACTACGGAGTGGAAGCCCGAAGGCTAGAAGCAGCATGGTAAGGAGTCATCCGACAGACAGCAGTGGCGCCACATCTTCGAAAAAACCTATCTTTCCAGACAAACAACAATTCGAATAACAATAACGCAAGAACTACAAAAATCGAGACAACAAGATCTTCAGTTCCGAGAATGACTGCGTCCCCCAGAATTGATGCTTATCCATCTGGTAGCTAGCAACACATCTACGAAGTACCACAAGAAAAATACTCCCGAGTCCCAACACGGGCAGCTATCAAACAGTTGACCCACTTGAAACCCACTCACTAGTCATAGAATCATAGAATCATAGAATGTCCTCTACAAGTAGAGAAATCTGCAACTCAATCAAAGTAAGGAGTCTTTGTATAATGGTAGAATACCTTATGCTTTGAACTATCAATGGAACCACACAGCTATCAAGAATCTACTAAAACAAGTAAATCAATCTCATATGTGTCTTTCATTAAAAATAGACCTTGAAAGTATTATCAAATTGTAAAGCACTGACCAGATCAGGTCTCCATTCTGGAGTAGATACTTTATTGTCTGTTGCTGCCCAGTCATGGTCGAGACCCGCCTTGTAGGGATGCCTCATCTGGTAATTTACAGAAAAGGAAATATGCTCCGCCACGCCAAGAGCGCCAGGCAAGTCCTGCTCCCTAGGTATATACTAGCCTGTATATACTATACTATATAATATAAGGAATATAGAGTACATTGATGTACTGTGGTCAGTCTAAAGGTAACTGTTCTGCCCTTTTAATAAATCATATATTGTTTGACCTTCTGTCTTGTAATGACGTTCTTGGAGGAGGTTGTGATAAAGACCAAGCGGCGACGAAGTATATTACCTGATACGGTTAGCCCGAGCCTATTCCAGATCAGGCAATATCTTGCTCTCCCGAATCTTGTCCGTGCCGACTTCTCCTGCTTCGTCATGATCGAGGCAGATACAGTCTGTTTCTTCAAATTTTTCTCGCCTATCAGACCCCCTTCCATGAGGAATTAGGTTGATCTTATCGAGATCCACTTCCGCCCCTTGGGTTCTAGAGCTATGGTCGATCAATCCGACACCCCCAAGATGCTGCAATATAAAGGCGATCCATGTCTCTCTTTCGTCGGGGCTCCTGGCTGGTAGCAGATCAGATCACAACGTCTCGGTATTTCTCATAGAGAATCAATCCATCAAGGAGGCCCTCTCCACAATGCAGCCTTCCCACTCCTCCACTCCATACCATCCTTCTGAACGGACCCTCTCTGTAGGGTCCGCCCCTGCGGATGTCGACATTCTCGACCTTCCTGTGCGGCAGCTGACGGCCGACGCCAACCTAGCCGAGTACACCACCGAGACGCAAGCCGGGGAGATTATCAGGCCTGTCAGGTCCAAGGTCGACGGGCGCTTGGAAGACTGGAAGTTGGTGACGTTCAAGATCGACGATCCCGAGAATCCCAAGAACTGGTCCAAGGCGTTCAAGTGGTACTGTACCATGGTGGTTGCGTTCACCTGCTTCGTCGTCGCGTTCTGCAGCAGTGTCATCACGGCAGATCTCACGGGTGTTGAGACCTCGTTTGGCGTCTCCCGCGAAGTGACATTCCTCCCTGTCACACTCTTTGTTATCGGCTTCGGTGTTGGTGAGTTCATTTCTACCCGACCTTCCTTCTGATAGAAGATCGATCAACTAAATAATGCTTGCCAGGCCCAATGATGTTTGCTCCGCTGTCGGAAATGGTTGGACGTCGCCTGGTCTATGGAGTCACTTTGCTCCTTGCAGTGATTTTTATTATTCCCTGCGCCGTGGCCGAGAATATCGGAACCCTTCTTGTTTGCCGGGCCATCGATGGCATTGCCTTCAGTGCGCCCATGACTCTCGTCGGAGGTACCTTGGCCGATCTGTGGAAGAATGAAGAGAGAGGCGTTCCCATGGCGGCCTTCAGTGCTGCTCCCTTCATCGGACCCGCTATTGGCCCGCTGGTAGGTGGCTTTCTGGCAGATAACCTGGGCTGGCGCTGGCTCTACTGGATGCAACTGATCCTGGCTGGTGTCGCTTGGGTCCTGATCAGCTTCACCGTCCCGGAGACCTATGCGCCGACCCTCCTCAAACGGCGGGCGGCAAAGCTGCGCAAGAGTGAGAATGATGACAAGTATGTCACCGAGATCGAACTTGACCCCAGACCTATGGGCCAGAGGTTGAAGATCTTCTTCTTCCGCCCCTTCCAGCTGCTTTTCTTGGAGCCCATCGTTCTCCTCATCTCTCTCTACATGTCTGTCTTGTACGGACTGCTCTACATGTTCTTCGTTGCGTATGTTTCTCTCTCTCTCTCTCTCTCTCTCTCTTTCTCTTTGATGAGATAATTCTAATATTTCATAGATATCCGATCATCTACCAAGCCGGCAAGGGTTGGAGTGCGTCGATGACGGGTCTCATGTTTATTCCCCTCGCTATCGGAGTCCTCATGAGTGCCGCTTGTGCTCCAGTGGTCAACAAACATTATCTTTCGCTTGTCGCCAAGTACGGCGGCAAACCCCCCGCCGAGAAGCGCTTGATTCCGATGATGGTGTCCTGCTGGCTCGTTCCGATCGGCCTCTTCATCTTTGCCTGGACTTCCTATCCCCGTCTTCACTGGATCGGTCCTGCTATCGGCGGCTGGCCTGTCGGATTTGGCTTCATCTTCCTCTACAACTCGGCCAACAATTATTTAGTGGACACCTACCAACACCAGGCAGCCTCTGCCCTTGCCGCCAAAACCTTCATCCGGTCGATCTGGGGTGCCTGCTGTGTGCTCTTCACTGAGCAGATGTACGACCGCCTCGGGTACCAGTGGGCAAGCACCCTGCTTGCCTTTATCGCCTTGGCGTGCTGCGCAATCCCATACTTCTTCTACTTCAAGGGCGAGTCTATTCGCCGCTATTCAAGATTCGCCTACAGCGAGGACGAAGAAAAAGGCGAGAAGCTTTAGTGCTAGACATTTCATCCAAAAATCTCTTTTTTCCCTCTTTTCTTCTTTTCTATTTTTTTTTTTCTTCTTCTTCTCTTTTCCTTTTCCCCTTCAGGTTTTTAGAGCTGGAGTTTGGATTCCCTCATGAGTTATGAGTCTATAGATAATTCGGTAATTAGATATATAGGCAGCGTCTGCATAATACGCTTTGATTTGATAAATTACCTGTTGTATCGTATTGGTCTTGAAATATAAAATATAAAACACGCATACCCCGTTTGGTTTGGTTGAGGTTGTCTATCCCAAAAAAGGAAAGGGGCGAAACCAAATCTTCCACGTGACTTCGGGTTTCCCCGCGTAGTCACGTGGGCCATCGCTTAGTCACGATAAGATTGTTCGCTCGCTTCACCTCCCAAGAAAGCCGACCAGAGCAGAGCAGAGAGCAGAGAGCAGAGAGGCCTCAGCGAGCCGCTCGGCGTGTCTGTCTGGTGCCGAAGGTCAGAGATTCTCATTTGACTCGCTGTCAACCATCACAGGCATCCATTTCGACAGGTTCCGGCAATCTGTCTCCGATGCTTCTGGCTGTCATTCTCATCCCGCTGTACCCGTTTGCGAAGAACCGCGTACACTACTAGTCACGACTTATAAGAAGCAGATGAATTAATGATTTTGGAACGATGACGTCTCCGTACCAACCGTCCATGTCGTTCTCGCCGTCAACCGCTTCTACCGACCTGGCGGCGACGGCAAATAATGCTCGCACGGTCTCCGATCTGCCGCAGTCCGAGGTCGACGCGATTATCCGCACAAAGCGCAAGGCTCGAGAGCCCAAGGCCTGTTATCCCTGCCATGCACGCAAGGTCAAGTGCGATCGCAACCTCCCCTGCGACGGATGCGTGAAGCGCGACCATGCGGATCTATGTTCGTACGAGCGCCCGTCGAAAAAACGGGTCGCCAGCAGCGCTTTACTAGACAGCCCTCTAGGCGCTCTAGGTATGGATCGCACCGCAGCAGCAGCAGCAGCAGTCCACGATGATACCCTGATCAATGTGAAGATGGAGATGCCGCCTAGTCGGCCGAGTTTGCTGGGTGGTCTTGGTGCTGGTCTTGGTGGTGGTGGTGGTGGTGGCGGGGGTCCCGGACGGGTCTCGATTCCACGCGAGGATTGGGAGAATGTGTGCAATCGATTGAAGGACATGGAAAAAACAATCTCTTCGCTGCGCGTGGGCTTGGAGAAGGTCGAGGAGGGCCAGGCGTCGGGCTTGGACACGGGCAGCGTGCAGAGTGGCGATGCGAGCAGCCGCTCCAAGGGCGCGTCGCCGGAGCGAGAGGGCATCCATGCGGCCAACACGTTGGGCGAGGGCACCGTTCACCTGGGCTCGCGGTCCGTGCTGGCTTATATTCTCAATAACAAATCCGGGTCCGATCAGCTGCAGGCCTTGCTGGAGGGTGGCATTCTACCCAAGCTCGGTCTCGACAATGAATCGGCGACGTACCCGTTTGTCGATCTGTGGTCCTCGGACATGTCCCCCTTTGATGTCAGTGCGGTCTGCGGTGCGCTTCCCAGCGATCAACAGTGTAAAGAGTGGGTGACTGGCTTCTTTCCTCTTATACATCGTCCGGACTCACTTCAACTAACTCTACCTGTCGCAGATTCTTCTTTTACTACCGAGACATCGCGGGAGCAATCTATCCGGTGTTGGAAGACGTCAACCAGTTCGGAGCGACCCTCGAAGTGCTCTTACAAAACAGAGCATCCACGGGCGGGGTCTATCGAGCAGATCAAAACCATGGCCAACGCCCGTTTGGCGTCAGCTTGTCGTATCTGGGCTTGCTCTTCGCGGTTCTTGCCTCGGGTTGTCAATCCTCTGATCTGCCTAGCAAAGAGCGGGAATTGACCTCCCAAGTCTACGGTTCGATGGCCGGATCCCTGTCGTTTGTGTTGAGATCCAGTTTGCTAACATGGAAATCCCAGTTTGCTGTTCCTACCAATGCCTTCGAATGACCAATTTCTTGTCCCAGCCCACCATCGATGCCATTCAGACTCTCCTGGTGATCGGCAATGTGCTCTCGTACAATATGAACCCTGGTATCTCATATGTTCTCCTAGGTTAGTCCGTCTCTTATTCATATGTATCCATATGGGGGGGGGGGAAAGGGGCATTATGCGCTGACACGTTCACAGGAATGACATTACGCATGGGTTTGGCTCTTGGTCTTCATGTGGAATCGAGCCGGTTTTCGGAAGCCGAGCGCTACCGTCGACGGCATGTTTGGTACGAAGAGATCCTTTTATTTCTTGACTAGAATTGACAGACTAATATTGTTGAAAGGTGGTCGATGGCATGGCAGGACAGTCATTTCTCTTTATCTTACGACCGACCGTCCACCACAGCCGTCAGCCAACCGGACATTGCGTATAAGCCCGGCTCGAAACCCGGCGAGCTTTCATATTTTGAGACCCTTTGCCGAATTATTTCGTTGGCGTTGGAGGTTGTCCGGAGCCGGATGCTCAGCCCGCATTCGCGATTGAATGTCAAATCCATCCAAGCGTACAACGACAAGATCCAACAGATCATGATCGAAGCAAAACCGCATCTGCGCGACCGGAAGTATTGTCTTACCTCCACCGATCACCTAGAGCGGGTGGTCTTGAAGTTGCACTCGTCCTATTTTTCGTCTGAGCTATGCCGGCCGTCGCTCAAACCGACTGTGGATATCCACGACCCGGCTACGGCCCAGATGCGCAGCGACTGCGTCACCAACCTCATCATCACCGTCGAGGCATACATCGAAATGCACACAATCAGCTCGCACGCGTCGCGTTCGTGGATCGCTCTCCAAAGAGCCATCAGTTCTGCGTTCCTCTTGGCCGTTATTGAAGAATGTAAATCCGACCCCCATGTCTGGTCCCTCCTACGCCAATTGGAGGCCATCATCACCGAACGCGCCACCTCCGAGCGAGAGTATGCAACAACCACCACCACCGCCGCCGCCGCCGCCGCCACTACCACTACCACGACGACGGACGTGGGTGGCACGATACCCGGCAACGGCACCTTCAACACCATCCCGGGCATCACCAACACGACCGCGCCCGGCGACTTCAATCCCGCGAATGTGACTATGACTTCCTCGGTGCCTGCGTCGGTTGCGGCAGACACACAAACCCAATGGGCCAAGCCGCTGACCAAAACCCTACATGCCCTGCAGAAGCTTAACGCGGCCTTTGGTAACTCGAGCTCTCGCATGAGCGGTAGCGGTACCTCCTCAGGGTCGCCGGCCTACCTAACACATACGGGCCCGGGAGTCGGCGCCACGAATACAACCCACACCACCACGGCGCCAGGAATCAGCAATCTCATGCCACCTGTTTCGGCCGGCATGGCGTCCACAACAAACATGGGCTCGCTTCCTCCTCCAACCCCCGAGAGCTCGTCAAGCAGCGAATGGACCATGCCCACCCTGTTGGACCGCGCCGCTGAATACATTCACCCGCCATTATGGGGGTAGTCGTAACCCGAGAGGTGTATATATATTTCCTAGAGCCCTACCTACTACTGTTTCCCTTCAAGTTACTCCTCCTGATACTCTTCACCTTTTTTATTTTTTTTTTTTTCTTGCTGGGATTTTTTCTCCTCTGGATACGGAGTTGTTCTTACACGGATTCTCAAAAAGGTTCCCTGGTTGTTCTAGCAATGCAATACCCTGCATTTGGCCCACGAAGCATTCGACCCATTTTTATTCTCAATGAAATTATTCCCTTGGTTGTCCATAACATACCGAGTAAGTCTGTAGCATTCAGCCGCGCCACGTCTACATATATCTTATTTTTATATCTTGCGTCGCAGCTACGTCTTGCGTAAACATACCACCCGACACCACAGGGTCTGCCAAATACGTCATCTGTGTTCCCCTTCTCCCACATATAACTCGGGTTGAACCTGGCAAAAAACCAACACCACGGGTTCTAAATCCTAGAGTCACAGGCCACTTGCTGCATGACCGGCCGGGGTTGGCCTGCACGTCACACAAATCTTCGGTCAGCCGGAACAGAGAGAAAGGGGGGAGGAGCAAGTCCACGTGGAGAGGCCATTCCATCCTCTTGGAGCGAACGAACCTGCGTAGATCGAGGTCTGGTGGCATCCCCTTGTAGAGGAGTTGGGGAAGGGGGGTTGCCATCTGATATTGACAAACATGTGTTATGTACGGTCCACGTGGTTGAGAGGGAATGTCGGAGGAGAACGATGTAGTTGGAGGAGTCGGACTTGATTATCTTTGCTAAAGCAAAGCTGAGAGAGACAAAGCCCATAATAAGATCACTACATCGTCACTGATTCAGCCGTGGAACAGCCTATTCGTACTGGAAGAAATCCTGTCCTCTTGCAAACGGACTTGGAAATAGTTAGCGAGGACGGCTGAAACCTCGCCTCCGAGACGTACCAGGATGGTTGCACAATCTGTTTCAAAAAGAGGTACCAGCTTCGGACGGCTCATTCCAGGGAAGTATATAAAAACCCACGAGGTCCATCGGAGCCATGTCAAAGGTGGGGAGGGAGGGGAGAAGAAGAAGAAGAAGAAGAGGAAGAAGTCATTCACACAAGTAACAATGTACCATCCTCAGCATGATCAATTCAATCTGCAGATGAGATGGGTCGATCCCGTGAAGGGCAAGAAGAAAGGAAGTAGAAGCCAGACGATGAACCAGGAGGCTATCGAGCGCCGGCGATTGCAAAACAGACTATCTCAGAGGAATCACCGTAAGCTGCCAGGCAACCTCTTTCCATCCAAAACAGTGCACTGATAGAAGCAGGACGCAAAGTGCGCGAGCGAATCGCCAAGCTTCAGGAACGAGTGGTCGAGAACGAGCTGAGGGAGGCGGCAAATCGCAGCAGCCTGGCCAGCAACCCAAATGACTCTGAATCTGCGCCCCGATGCTCAATCTGCAGTAGCAGTGTGAACCTGGAGGCCACGGCCACCATCAGTCCGCCTCCTCCACCGTACCCTATCACTATCGCCTCGAGAGTAGACTCCACCATGCAAATCACCCAGCAGCCACTGCTTGTCGGGGTTGGTCTCGGTAGAAGAAGCTGGGATAGTGCCAGGATGGAGGTTCCTGTGGACTCCCCGTACACGCAGTGGCCATATCATCCATCCCAAGTCCCCACGGAGGGGATTCCCCTTGATTCACCGTCTCCTCGATCTTTTATCCCCTCCCCGAGTTCTGAGATTGTCTGGGACGAGTGTCTGGCGGGATTGGTCGACAATTGCAACGGCGATCTGCGGCAGACTGCATGTCCGTGGAGCAGAGATGTCGAGAGTCCCGCATCATCATCATCATCATCATACTGTCACTCCTGCCACTATCATTCTGATCAGTTTCTTGGGGATTTGCTATCTGCAGGTAGTTCAGTAGTGGATCAGGGAACCAACCTGCCCTGGCAATTCTGAGATTGCTTACCCATAGCTTCTTCGTTCAAGCTCAGTTGATAGACTTTGTTTACCAAATCAAATGATAGATGTCTGAAGCCACCTCTGCTGCATGATACTTGATTGTGGGAAATTAGAGCGTCATGGAGAGGAAAGGAAAGAAGTTGCCTTCTGTTTTGCATAGCATAGACCGGAGTCATCTAACCGCCGTCAGCTCAACCTGCAACAAAACTCATCTTCTCTACCTTTCTCTTGTGATAGACGCAGGAATGGTTTTCTAGTATTATTATATATAATCTATTACTACTGTCATTAGTTTATATATGCCAGACAGACCTATTGATCCAACGCCTCCCTCGTCAAGGAGTAGATCGACAAATCCGAGAAACCCTCATGACTCGGGACCGGGGCAGCAGGAGTATGCAAAGAAGAAGAACAAGAAGAAGGACTGCCTTGACGGACCGACGAGGCCGACGGGCCTGTATCTATGTTTGCATGGCCTGGCCGTAGATCGACGGGTGTGAGCAGTTCTTTGAGCTGGCCAGGGAGAAGGCGCATGTCGTGGGTTCGCTGCCACAGGCGGCGCGACCTGTCAAAGGCCGTCTGGACAAGAACCCGTCTTTGTCTCTCGTACGCCTGGAAGACCTCAATCAAGGGGCGGTCGTGATAATTGACAAGGAGACGCGAGATTTGAATCGCGTCCCCAAGAGCGTATGCGGCCGATTCATCGCGAGGGGGTAGCTGTTTCATTAGAACCATGCCTTATACAAGATAACTACTGCTACTAGTGCTGACTGATAAGTGAATCTAAGTGGACCGTAAAAAAAAAAAACTTACAGCATGTGCAGCGTCACCAAGAAGAAGGATCCGCTCCGTATACCACTTTCCTCCCGGAGGAACTTGGTAGACCGGGTACAAGGACCAGTCTTGCGTCTGAGTGACCATCTCCGAAACGAAGGGCAGTGGGGACCTGGCAAAGCGTTCGCGTGCCAGATACTGAAGCGTCATTTTGACATGGTAGCGTGCAAGCTCACTGTTGTTGTTGCTGCTGTTGCTGCTGCTGCTGCTGCTGCTGCTATCCTCCTCCTCACGCAGCCGTTCGATAAGTTGTTCGCCCAAGTCGATGATCCCGGCGAGAAAGATCTTGGTCTTACCCGGGTCGCAGAACGAGGCTAGCAGGGACCCTTGCTGGGATAGATGCATGGCCGTGCACTCAAAGTGTGGGCGCGAATGCAGGGCCCCGGCAGAATCGATTGTGCTCTGTAAAAAGGACACGCCCGTGTACTCCGACGCACGGCCAGCGTCCACCAGTTGCGTGCGCGTCACCGAATGTACCCCATCACAACCCAATACCAAATCTCCCGTCGCGGTGGATCCGTCTTCAAACTTGAGCGTCACGCCGGAGGCTGTCTCGCGGCCGCCGACGAGCTTCTTGCCATAGTAGACAGCCACATTGTTCATGCGGCGTAGGGTGTTCAGCATCGCCCTGGAGAGGTGCATGCGCATCACCCGTCGACCCTTATACCTCTTCTTCTTCTCAGTCTGTCCGTAGTCGTCTGCAAACCGGATGGGTCCCAACGGTCGTCCGGACCGGAGCGCAAAGAGTTCGATCTCATCGACTTCCACCCCGCCGTCGGGACCCATCCCGTCCAGCTCCTCCAACACCCCCAGAGTGTCCAGGTGTCTCTGTGCGGCGGGCGTCAGACTGATAGCGCCCCCCGTCTCCGGCATCCCGGAATGCCGTTCGAAGACATGGATCTGGAAATCGGGGTCCTCAAGCGCAGCCAGACTCTTGCTGAGAGAAAGTGCGCTGGCGAGCCCGGCTATCCCGCCGCCCACGATCAGTATGTCGCGCACCATATTCTTCTTATTTTGGTAGCTTCGAGGTAAGACAGGCAATTTCGTGTCCTCTCTCGTCTCGGTATATATAGCTAGTATGCTTTTTGTTTCTTTGTTTTCTTTTGACTTTTTCTTCTCCCCCGGATCGATGTGGGTCGTTTATCAACGGCGCAGTCATCGGGGATACAAGGAACCGACTTCTTAAATTAACGTCAGTGAGAAAAAGAAGAAGAATGAGCCATTAGCTGGCAAACAACGGCAGGCTAAGGAGGAAATGTAACATTTTGGCCTTCGAAAGGTTGTGCGCCGTGGAACGCTCGCCAGCAGTGATTCGCTGTAAATAGGCTCAAAAACCCGGCGGGATTTCCTGTATTTCCCCCAAAGAAGTAAAATGGCCTCCTCCGGTCCAGGGCCGAGCGGGCTTTGGTACTTCCATCACTCATAACAATAATAATAGGGTTTAGATTTGTGGCAGCATATTATGACCATCTAGTTTCGGAACCGAGATTCTTTTTGTCGGACTTGGGTCGGCCGAAAACGATAAGAGCCTCGGCTGGAAGGCCACGCGGTTCCAAGTAACACCGAAAAGCATGTTTGTTATACACGGAGTTGGATTTAGTTAATGGTTACTCCGTACAATTGGGGGAGGAAAATCCTAAAGACTCGAGAGCACCATGTCATTCATTATGCTGGGCAGAATCCCAAAATTGCCCGCGAGGCCAAACCTGTGCCTCTCGTTGCTGGTAAAGACCGTCTGGGGGAGTTCGCACGCTGATGAGAAGTCCGCAAATCGTCGACCCTTTTTTTCTTGGAAACTTTTCCGTGCAGGACCGTGCGTGACCCAGAGCGGGCCTCGCAATGGATGACAGCGACGCTCCCTCGGAGTCCCGTACATGGCACTTCCGGAGAACCGGCTGGCGATCTCGTTGTTTGGCGTCCGTCGACGAAGCAGAGGTTCCCTGGCCGGAATAAGAATATCAGTGCCAATCGATGGTGCCTGCATGGTCCTGGACCAGAGGGACAGGATTCTATTTCGAGAGCCTCGGCCTTGCAATCACCATCAGAGACCATATGCAAGAAATAGTAGTAATTACTATTTCATAGTACATAGTCTGTTTCGGAACACTTAGCGGTGTGGGCGGCGGGGCGGGCGCGGATCGCATACAGTGGACCTTGAGGCTTGACCTGCATGTTTGGGCTGCCAGATTGAGTGGCCTGGCTTCGGCCTCAGTTTCTGCATGTGTGTTCGCTGCCGGTTCTGTAGCTTCTTTCGGAAACTTGGTCAGACAAGCGACGCCCTAATCAGCTCTCCAGCCTCTGGTTGGGGGAATTCGGAGCCGATCCGAGAGCCGTTGAAAAGAACGGCAAGCACGTAGCCCAATTTGGGGATGCGGGGATACGAGCACTGGAGTTTGACAGTGAGACACTCTCAAATATCTTCCAGCAAGGGGGGGTGCGGCAGCAGGGCAGGGTTATGATGATGCAGTCGATCCGAGTATCCGAAAGAACGGTAGGGATGTTTCTGCTCGAGTTTTGTCGCAAAACTAAAGCAGATGGGGGGGGGGGGGGGGGTGGTCCACTTTCTTCTTTGTCTTCTTTTCTGACGAGTCTTGCTCCGTCTTCCGGCTGGCGGGCTGCTTCGGCTAATTTCTGCTGCTCATTTATTTGGCTCGGATTAGTTTTTCCGGCTTCTGGATGGTGTCCAGAAGGGTGCTATTCCATGTCGAAAAAGCAAAACAGAGTGATGGAGAAGGATGAACCCAGATCTTTTTTTTTCCGCAACCTTTTCCCGGTTGGCGGTTTTGAGCTTGTACCGCAGCTGAATGTGATCACTCATAGCTCGAGATGCCATTGAGATAAGAAATCACCGGCGAAGGATGACCCAATGGCGTTAGCAATGACAGTAGCCGTTTCCGGTCACTGGCCTTCGATCCCTTTCATTTGACGCAGGGCATAGTAGAGGGAGAGGTACCTGTGAGGTACCAAAGATGGATTGTTTCGTAGCGATTGGACACTGTCACTCCCGAAACCCTTGTTCAGCGAAACCCGGCCATTCTCCCAGACACCACGGATGGCTGCAGAGAAGACATTGTCGAAAAGACAGCCAGTCTTGCCCGCAGCGTGGTCATCTAACTCCTTCAAGAAGCAGAAGACCCAGAGCCCAGTCTCTGACTGCGAGTCTTCGACGACTTGTTGGCCCTGCCCGGTACATGACTTCAGTATGGAGCGTATCAGCACACTACTGCAGGATGTCGAGTACGGAGTAAGGTGTGATTAGTAGCACCTATTATCCAGTCAGTACGTTCGAACCAAGCCGCACATCGCTTGCGGAACACAGTGACATGGCTCCGCGCCAATGACGTTGGATACCAGCCAGCATCCAGATCCTCTCGGCCGCCCATCCGATTCTGGACACTGTAGACACTGTTTGGGTAGGCCAGAGGAAGAGAGGTGAACTTACCTGGCCTTCTTGCTCTTAGCCACCAACCACCAACCAACTGCCCTTTGCAGCCTGAAAAACGGCCAGTGTTTACTTACCATCATCCTTCGCATGACTGGTACCAGGAAGGTCGGGGGAGCGTGATTCGGGCTGCATAGAAGCAACTTGGGCTTCGTGAGTCACTTCCTCGAGGGTGTGTTTTCTCTGTTTTCATTTTGCCTTTTCCGGCAGGCGTCGGGCGGACTTGGACGAGAACAATCATCTGATCTGACATCACATGATGTATCACATGACGTAACTATAATCCAGGCAGTGCAGCTACGTTGGACTTCCAAGCAGGCTACCACGGTATTATTGTGAACAGTAGTACGGAGTACCTATAGAGTACCGGGCTTGTGTGGCTATTGACTGTCACGACCACCAAGTAAGTGCCTATGCTACTACTATCTAGTTGGATGTCCGTACTCTGAGGGTGCTAGACTAACGTAGATCCTCGACGATGAACAGGCAGACGCGATTCATGATTACGCAGTGGAAGGGTTTCTCTGTGCTACGAGAGCACTGGGTCGGTATGTAGCATGCACCTTCTTGGTAGGAAAGTCCAAGGGAAATGATGAATAGATCTGGTTGGAGAAAGAATGGTGGTGGTGGTTGTATAATTATAGACAGACATGGCTGGGTCAAACGAAGCCGTGTATATATGGCCATTATTCAAACAACAATACATCTACCTACCCACATCTATCTTCCCTTGGAACAAATAATCCTGATCCGCTGCCCAACACCTCCCCCAAGGCTGCTGTTGGAATCTACATGCTCATAGAGGGTCGACTACAGATCTCAGTAGACTCCGAATGCAGTGCAGAGGGCACAAGCAGATAGCAGAGGGAGATTTACAAGAAAGTATAAGCAGAAAAAAAACCCCCAAGGATAAAAAGAATATAATAGATTATCATCTTCAAGACAAAAAAGCGACAAAGTGGAGAAAATTAATTAATTCGAATGGCAAAAATGGTCCCGCTGGGACTCGAACCCAGGATATCTAACATAGAATATATATGGTTAGTATATATAGTATAAGGTTAGCGCATTAACCGACTATGCTACGGGACCGGATCATTGGCAGCTGCCAATAATTGACATAAAGTAGAGCCTTCGGCAAAACGCCGACCTTCGATCTACCCAGGTAACCATCGACTATTTATTGTACTGATGCTCTTTTTCTCAATTCAATATTGTTGGTTTTCTACCATAGGTCATATACAAGTTAGTCATGGGAAATAAAGTATCTTAATTGTAATCTGGGGTCTAACTTCTACTAAGCTGTCGTTGCTCTCGTCACCACATACAAACAACCAACTACATAGTACCTAAAATGATCAACTGACATTTACTTTACTATTACATCTGTATCAAAATGGAAGCAGTAGCGTAAAAAGACTATATTTCGTGACCATCTATTCGTTCTTCTAATATAATAATATTATGTACAGACTAATTTTGAAAGTCAAATGGTAGAAGGAGAGCGAAGGGGGGGGGGGGGGAGGAATTGAAAAAAAAGAGACTGAGAGAATGATAAAGAAGGGAAAGAGAGAGGCATTATTTCTTTTGGCAAAGAGAGTAAATTACTCATTGTTTACACCTACCGTCACCCGGATGTCAACTGACTTGGTGATCCCATGCTCGCCGAGAATATTCTCCTCGCTCCCTCCGTCCCCTGACTCGTCTACGTGTTTCGAGTACAGCCCTCCCATTCGTGACCGGGAGCCACGTTTGTGGCTATCAAGTACCGAGCGTGAGTTCTCAGCATACCGCGAGTTTAGCTCGTGGGTGTTGGAGCGGTTCGACGAGAGGTTGCGCACAGACATGACGAGGACGCGGATGGTGGGAATCGAGGCAGTGATGATGACCAGATAGATCTCGATATACAGCCAGCGAACGAGTGTCACTGTGACAATGGTGGGGTCGGAGCTTTCGGCGAGGACGTGAACCTGGATGGTTTTGACAAGGGAAGCACCCATGGCGCTGGCCAAGGATCAGAACTGTTAGCGGTGGAATAGAACGGGGGGGGAAGAAAAGTCACGTACAACAAGCCCAGGCTGAGCAGGACCATCAAACTGATCTTGAGGCGTAGCTCGAGCTTCAGACTCCAGAAGACGTAGGTGGGGAAGGCGGCAAGATAGAGGTCGGTGGCCGTGTTGAGGGCGCCCTGGAAGTATCCATAGTCGGACTGCACGTGGCTAGGCCAGCAGTTGGCTTCGATATAGGGATCCCATATAGCTTGTACATTGGTGGGGCATTGGATGTAGATGAAGAGAATGCAGAGGAAATGAGAGACAAATTGCGAGCCCATCAGTATCCAGAGGATGTTACGATAGATCTTCTTGGTGGCCAGTAGCCCGATTAGATAGTAGATGAAGGCGACACGGCTAAAGCAGGAGCCTGCCAGCCCAAAAGTCTGAGCAAAGTAATCGAACTTCAGGGCATGGATGACCTCGAATTTGGAGAGATCGACGATGTTCCGGCCCACACCGTAGTGCACAGCCAGGGTGACCATCACATTGCCGGTAAACATGCAGGCCTGGAAGTTCAGTCAGTGGTCAGCGAGGCTTCAAGCCTTCCACAGCACAGCACCACGAGGACGATGGATAGCGTACCAGGGCGAGAAGCATGAGATAATCGTCTATCCCTAGCTGGTGCAGACGGATTTTGGCAATGACTCGCAATACGATGATCAGAAGGGCGACCGCCCCGATGGCCCAGGTGGTGCGAACCAGTTCATCGCCGTAAGGATTATACATGGCAGAAATGGTCAAGCAGGGGAAACCGCGATGGGTGATGAGGTGAGTTCCAACGCCAACCCACACAAGACGACATGAGAAGAACAAACTCGTTCACAAATCGGCGTCCCCTCGGCGTATAGTAATAAAATAGGCGTGTATGCACCGAGGGCTAGCTCAGGTACCTACTCCGAAGTTATCAGTCGGCTCCAGGCAAATAGTTATTAGTTATTATTGCTCCATATTAAAGACACCGGCCAGGTGGTAACTGCTCCGTGTTCCGATACCAAGACCAGACCAGGAAGAGGAAGACCACTGGCCAAGATAGCATATCCTTCGTCGGCGTTATTATTTTGATTAAATTAATGAGGCTTGCTCTGGGCCTTTTTCTTTATTTACCCCTGTCAAGGCTTTGCCAGGATTCTTGCCGGCTGGCTGGGAGTAATACTCCGTTTGGATCATTGAAGAGCCGAGTACAGCAATAGGAGAATCCAGGAACCAACCCTGCTAGGGGGGGGGGATCTGGTCCTCGTTAGCAAATTCCACCCTGGGCAAGGGAGTGGACAGTGGTGGACACAAGAACTCGCCGCTGCAATTCGACGGCGTCCCCTTGGAATGCAGCGATCCTGGTGAAATCTCTTACTCATCAGGCCACTCATTAGCTATTGGTTCCACCAGTGCGTGTGCATTGGGAAGGGGGAGGTCTCTGGAGATCTTTTGTATTTCGTAGACTTCGTCCTTTGAAATAGGTAAAACCGACCAAATCCTCCAGCTGGTGGAGGCTCCCTGCGTCGTGCGTTGCGAAAGTGGTCTGTGGCAGGCGGGCAACGGTCCTTATCGATCCAATTTATTGAATCAGCACATCCTCCACGATCCAGGACTGTCTCGCATAACTTACTGAAAGCACTCCATCTTGGGAATGCCGATCTGCAATGCCATCATTCTGATTCTTGAACGTGCTGTCCGTGTGTTCCTCCGTGCCGTGGGCGAATGGTTCACTAACCCCACTGCCGTCGCCTCCCGAAGACTCCGCCTGTTTCTAATTCGACTTCGTTGAAAATTCTAGCCAGAGGCCTCGCTGATAGGGTTAAGGAGGCGTGGCTGATTTCCCACTAGAACGGTTGGCGTCCTGTAGTTAATTGCTGGGCATTGCGTAAACAAACCCTTTTTTGGGTGATCCTTAGACCGGGGGAGTTGTTTATTGTACCGTACGCTGCAAACAGACAAACATGATGCAAACATCCATTACATAAGCGACATCACATGATCTCACATGATCTCATCTCACCTGACTCGAATCGACGACTTCAGCTTCACTTTTGATTCCTTCCACAGCTCCTCTTCATCTATTTTCCTGCGGTTTTCGCCAGGCGGATGGCTCTATACGAACCAAACAAAGTTTTTATCAAAAATCTATACAGGTGGATCACCAGAGAAGTTATACTACATAAATTACGATCCTTGGCCGGTGGGCTTGAATCCTTGTCGAGGACTACAGCGGATTCCTTTCGGCCCCGAGTATTTCCACGCACCTCTCTCATCTCTACTTGCCTCGAGGATTCAATATCAGTCTCTGCCTAGCGGAGACACCTTGGAAGAGGTCACTAGTACTCCGTAACTAGCCAGTCACCTATCCTGTCCAGAGTCCAGAGTTCAGAGTCGTTCCTTCGTTACTTCTCTATCGATGTGGTCTCTCACGAATGTTACCTCACCACTGGATAAATCTTTCAACTAGTGCTAACTAGCTACTGATGAAGTAACTATTATGTGACTAGCATGATGCATCATCTCCCTGCCGGTGCTATACACGGAACAGCATTTGCCGTTGCTCCTCGGCCTGGTCTGGCCTGGGCCTTGTCACCAATGCAGGAACGCTGACCACGTTGCAAGCCTGCAGGGTTACCACAGTAGTTAGGGTGCTTCGGAGTCTGAGGTAGGTATAACCAATCCACCGCGCCACCACGCAAGATTTGGTGTGTTTGGTTTCTAGAGAGGCCGGCCGGGTGAATTCCGGACGAACACCGTTGATATCGCGGCACCGTTATCTTTTTATTTTCCGGCCGGTTTGACAGGGGAGGGTTTATATCTCGTTGCTCGGCCTTTCCCCCCCTCACCCCTCCTCCCCTCCTTCCCTCTTTCTTTCTCTGCTTCATCTTGCTCTGTGGTCTGACCTTGGTGGTTCAATTATCGGTACAAGGACAGGAGAACCCAGACAAAGAAAGCCAACAAGGCACTGTCAAAAAATGGAGGAAGGCAAGCCCCAGACTCCGGCCGTGGAATCTGTTTCCCAGGACCATGACAGCAGAGACGAGAAGCAGGCACCTCTGGATGCCAGAGGTCCTTCTGACCCCAACAACCCTCAATACTGGTCAGAAAGCAGGAAGCGGCGCATGCTGGTCGTGCTGTGCGTTGCTGCTCTGTTGACCGATTGGGGTATGACCTGGGGATCGCCGTTGTTTGAATCGCAAGCGGTCTACTGGAACATGACCGCCGCCTCTGTCAGCAGCAGCTTGAGTGGTGGTGTCTTCTTGCAGGGCGCTGGTGGTCTCTTCGCTGTCCCCCTGACCCAGCGGTTTGGCCGGTAATACCCCTTTTTCCTCATCCATGGGCCGTGTGGTTCCATGTCCACCTTACTGACTCATTGCTCAGTTTGCCCGTCCTCTTCTGGTCTCAATTCCTCTCCTGCGTTGTCGTCATCGGCTGCGCATTGGCTCGCAACTTTGCCGGTTTCACTGCCGCTCGTACCGTGGAGGGCCTTGTCAACACCGCCCCCCAGATCATTGGTCTCTCGATCATTCATGACATGTACTCCTTCTCTGAACGGACCCGCAAAATCAACATCTGGAGTTATGCCTTTCTTGCTGGTCCCTTCATGGGCCCGTTCTGTGCGGCCCTGATTATCACCCGCCTGAACTGGCGCCAGGACTTTGGCATTCTGGCTGCCATGTATGGGTTTAGCTTCCTGTTGACCGCCTGTCTTGGTGAAGAGACCCTGTACGATGCCGAGACCCTGGATACCCCGAAGACTCAGCCGCAGCAGAAGAAGTCTGTCGTCGACCAGCTGAAGGTTCTTACGGGCATCACCGGAATACAGGCCAAGGGCCGACCGGGCGTCTTCACTGTGCTCAAGGACACTTTTAGCATCGGCTTGAAGCCCCACGTCCTCATTATCTGTGAGTAGTGGAGGGAAGAGATGGAACATCCTCCCCCCTTTCTCTTCGCTAAACTAACACACGCTACACAGCCATGACTTATTACATGTTCGTGACCATGTGGTCTGTGGGACTCGCCACAACCATTCCCGAGCTTGTCGTCGTGCCACCGCTCTCCTTTGGCGCCTACGGCGTTGCCCTCCTCTACCTGGCTCCCGCCATCGGTGGGTTCTTCGGTGAGATCTGGGGCCACTTTTTCAACGACTGGCTCTGCAACTCGTACCTCCGTAAGCATAACGGCGTCTGGGTCCCCGAGCGCCGTCTCTGGGCCTTCTACCCGGCCGCCGTCTTCGCCATCTGCTCCATGGTCCTCATCGGCGAAAGCCTGGGGAAGGGCCTACACTGGGTCGCCCTGGCCTTCGGCTGGGCCATGTACAACGCCGCCACCGTCACCGCCACCACCGCCATCAGCGCCTACATGATGGATTGCTTCCCCAAGCACGTCGCCCTCGTCTCCAGCATCGTCAACTTCTGGCGTACCACCGGCGGCTTCTGCGTCGTCTACTTCCAGCTTCAATGGGTTGCCCTCAACGGTGCCGCCGTCGTCTTCGGCTGCCAGGCTGCCATCATCGCCGCTGGCTTTGCCGGCGTCATCATCACCCAAGTTTGGGGCCAAGGCTGGCGCGAGAAGTATCCTCCTCCCCCGGATGAGAACTAAGGGGTGGGAGGGGCTTTTCCTCTTATGCCGATGATTGAAGTAGATGAAATATCTAGAGATGGTATGTACATGACGGATATTTTTGTAATGTACTGTAGATAAGAATCCTATGTTATAGTAAATACATCTGTACACGATGATCATGTTACTTTGGGGGCTTGACTGGATACTAGTTAGAGAATAATAATAATAATAATAAATATCATGTTAATGATAATAATCTCCATGTAGCGGACAGGAGGGCAAAGAATGCATTACAGACTCCAAAAAAATAAGATAGGGTTTGACATTGAAACTGCCCCAATCAGACAAAACCGATTCCAATCCCAGGCAATTGATGCAACCCACCGAAACCCCGGTGCCACAAGGTATTGAAGATGACCAATGTTAGCTGGGATGCACACGTGGCAAAACCGAGCCCAAGAAAGAAACGCCTCGCAATGCAGGGGGATGATAGAAAGAGAAAGCTAAAGGAAAGCCGATAATTGAGACCCGAAGGAGCACTACTACTCCGTCGGTCGTGGAATAAATAGAGGGGGCTGACTGCCGACTTGACCAGCACTCACGATCCACTTAGCTGCCTGCTATGGCTGCGAGTGGAGCGAGTGCTACGGCCCCGACTGGCCGGAGCAGGTGTCATCTCGTTCATCTCCGTATCTGGACTCATGGTTGTCATCCTGGAAATGGCTTGTCTGTTGTTCCTCATGGTGCGGGCGGGCCGTACACGATCCAGGGCCTGGTGGAGGAGACCGTCGGCCTCGGCATCCAGCTCCATTTCTACTTTCTCTTCAAGTGTGTCGACGACACCAGCACCAGCACCATTGACTGTGGCGTTTAGATCGGGCACCTCGTCTGTCCATTCATCGGCGTATTGTACATTGCGGTTGCTCCTGGAGGATTTCCCCTTTTCGCGCGATGACCGTGTCGAACTGCGACTAGGAATGTGGCCCGGTTGGGGATCGAACGGAGAGAAAGCCGACGCCCTTTCCTTCCCACGGCCTTCTAGAGCCCAAATCTCTAGTGCGCGTGAGAGCAGAGTGCCAGCAATACCCGCTCCACCGGCTGCATCCCCACCGCCGCTAGCCCCAAGTACGCGAACTGCTTCATGTAGAGAGGTAACGGCCTCCATGGTGCGGCCCATTTCCAACAGCACCAGGCCACGAGAAGTGTATAGAGAGCCCACCAGGCCACGATCCTCGTATCCACCGACCCCAGAAGAGGTAGCGAATCCGGCGCTTGAACCCCCGCTGCCACCCAGGGATGTGCTGTAGCCAAGGCTGGCTCCGCCCGCACCGACCCTGAGACACTCCTCAAACTCAATCAGGGCATCCGGAAAGCGTCCGACTCGACGGAGAGCATGGCCAAGGTTGGCACGTGTGGCCACCCACGCGCCCGGCTCACAGTGAAGGGTCGTGGCCAGGGAGAGGGACTGCCGGAAGAGTTCGACGGCGCCGTCCAGGTGGTTCTGGTGGTATAGAACGACGCCAAGTTCATTCAAGACAAGGGGATCGCCCCCTAATGGAGAGAGACCCGCAGAAGGCTCAGCAGATATCACGGGCATCGACCCGGAAGCCGAGCCAGTCGACATGGCGTAGGCTGCACAGAGATACTCGTGGGCCAGCGACATGTTGTTCAGGGCCAGGTGTTGCATGCCTAAAAACAGCTGCGGTAGGTGGCTACCCTGGAAGAGTCGCGCAGCCGTGCTGTATGCGGCAATCGCCTGGTCATGCTCGCCCTCGGCCGCGAAGGTATGGGCGAATCCGATCCATGCCGGCGCCGAATGCGGGTCTAGTAGTGAGGCCTTTGAGAAGAACCGGCGGGCCTCGGCAATTTTAGATACGGAAAGATAGTACACCCCGATAGCCAGGTACGTGTAAGACTCCTCCGGTGCGTTGTCCGCAAGGGTATGCGCCAGAAGGAAGAGGGCGTTGGTGTTTCCTGTTTCGTAGAGACAGGCAAGATGAAGCGGATACACAGCCGGGGGATGACCGAGGTGGCTTTGGCCCGGAAGATGGGGCGCTGTGGAAAGCGCTGAAGACGCTTGCGAGGATGACGCCAAGATGGAGGAAGTCAGTTCTAGCGCTTCAGCAAACCGACATTGAGTATACAGGGCCTCGGCGCGCGACAGGAGGATATCTGGGTTTTCCGCGAGGTTATAGTGTGTCGACAAGGTCTCCGTCGCATCTGAAAGAATCGCTGGCGATGAATATTTGGACAGGCGAGTTGTGTAGAGCATTTTCGTGAAGTGCGCCGCTTCCTGCGCCGTAGACGGGTCCGGAGCGGAGATGGAGTCAAAGTCGAGCGACTCGAGGAACTGGAGCTCCTCCGCGGGTGACATGAGAGAGTTTTTCATCAGCTGGTCGAACGCTTCGAAGCATTGCACGTCTATGCGCACAGCATCCTTGTAGCAGTCTCGCGCGCGATCAAAGGCATTTTGTTTGGCAAAGCACAGCCCTCGTAGATAGCACATAGCCGCCTCGAATCTGATATTGTTGGCATCCTCACGCTCCCGTTCTTCGCTGCGGTCGGCACGGTCCGACCGAGACGCAGTAGTCTTGCCATTACGCAGGGTGACATGGCTGTTGCCATTGAGGTGCTGAAACTTGCGACGACTGTTGCTGCTGCCACTGCTGATCAGATGGGTCGGATTGTGGTCTCCCAGCACTGACAGTGCCTGCTCAAAGTAGTTCTGTTTAATATAGCAGTGAGCTGCTAGATACCGACACGCAGTGCTCCGCGCGATCAAATCCTTGCGTGAGAGCAGCGCCAATGCCCGCGTGTAGTTGCTGTTGGAGAAGTGCACTTGGGCCAGCCAGAAGGCGTCGGAATCGCTATCTAGAAGCAGAAAATCACATATCAGTCAAACTTCTCTTTCTCCATTCACGGAAACGGACACGATGTCTCTCACTCGTCAAGGCAAGCACTTTATCCCCAATGTAGATCGCCGCATCGTGTTGGCCGCGGTTCAGCGCATCCTGTCGCCACGACCGCAGAAACTTCTCCATGGCTATATTCTCCTGAACCCGCACGTCACTGAGAGCACCATTCATTCACAGTTGGCTCCAGTAGGTGCCGATGACCATACGACCGAGGGGAACGAGGGGAACGAGGGGCTCGAGATGGTGGGGGAATTGCGACTGGGCGATTCATATAATGGCGCGAGTAGAGCGGTATCGGGGTCCCTGGAGGATGGAGAACCCAGCCTAGAGACCTCAGATCGAGATAGACGCGCTTTCAAGGTGCACCAGCGCCGACAAGTGAGGCCAAACAATGCTCCAGGGTCTTTTTGTTGCAGGCGCGACGTTAGCCTGGCCCGTGCGGCACGCAGAGGTCGAAATATCCAAGAAAAGGGAAAGAGAAAGGCCGGGGGGTCAGACACTATGGATACATCCTCAATTGTGGTCTTGGATTCGCAGTTCACGGCCTTGTTGTCGCGGTCGTCGAGTGTAACTGCCTCCTCTTCTCACTGTTGATGTTGTGATTCTTGAGGCTCGACCGGGACAGTCACGTGCCTGGCTGGTATTTCGCCGCCGTCTTCCACCAAGTCAACCTCATACTTCAACACTACAGCTCTGTCCAGTCTTTGGAGGCTTCCACAGCCCCGTACAAAACCAGAAGCTGCTAGAGAGCGTCATTCACCATGTCTGAGCGAAAGGTTCTGAGTAAGTTGCCCCTCCTTCGGTGGGTGCTTTTAGAAGCAGCGAAGCTATCGCAGACGTGCTAATCGAGGCCAAAAACAGCCAAATACTATCCCCCGGACTTCGATCCGTCGGCGATCACTCGGACGCCGAAGCACTTGCGGCAGACCGGGCCCAAGGTTATCACAGTACGCTTGATGGCACCGTTCTCGATGAAATGTACACAATGTGGTGAGTCGCGGCAACGAGCGAGGGGAAGACAGATAGAGAGAGAGAGAGAGAGAGAGAGAGAGAGAGAGAGGCAAACTGACAATTATCTAGGAGAATATATTTATAAAGGCCGCAAGTTCAACGCTCGGAAAGAAACGACCGATGAGAAATACCTGTCGATCACCATTTACCGATTCTACATCCGGTGCACGAGATGCAGCGCAGAGATCACCTTCAAGACAGACCCAAAGAATGTTAGTGCATGAAACTTCTATATGAGGTCATTTTCTCGACCCATATAACTGACCGGGTTTCTTCAGATGGACTATATATGCGAACGCGGGGCTAAACGCAACTTTGAGGTGTGGCGCGATCCCAAGGCGCAGAACTACAATGAAACCGAGCAAGAGACTCTAGACCGACTTGAGCGTGAACAGAACGAAGAACAAGAACAGTTGGAGCGCGACAAGATGGCTGAACTGGAGGAGAAGATGCTGGATTCAAAGCGGGAGATGGCCATCGCGGACGCCCTGGATGAGATCCGCACGCGGAACGCGCGCATCGAACGCAACGAGTTGGGTCGGGGCGAGGAGGCTGCGCTATCTCAGGTCCGTGACGAAGTCGACACCGACCGCCTTAAAGCCGAACAGGAGGACGAGGAGACGGCGCGTCGCGCATTCATGACCGAGTCCGGCGAACGTGTCAAGCGCCTCGTTGATGACGACCTGCTTCCCGGTGGTTCCTCATCGTCCGGCAGCGCCACTGCGCCAGAACAGAAAGATATGCCTCCTCCGCCACCACCCTCCTTTGCCCGAGTCAAGAGACCCAAGAAGCCGCTCGTCAACAGCTTGGGAATCAAGAAGAAGCCATCGCTGGTGTAAAACATGGTAAAATAGCATATTCACGCGATTATGATTGGCGTTTCGGTTCTGGGATGCATATAGGCTAGTGGATGTAAGCAATGATATTTTTTTTCCTCTGATAATAATATTTATCATTTTGAAAGCCTAGAAGTCCTAGACAGATGGATCAATGAAGACTAAGAATTATCTTTACTAGGATTTCTCCCCAGATAAAGGTCATGGATTCTGATAGTACAAATAGCAAGGTTGAAATTGGAAGAAAAAGGGGGGGAAAAAACCCATGAAAGCAAGAAATCAAGCTCATTATCATATCCATACAGAGAGATAATACCGTTGCCATGAGCGCCACGCTAGAACTCCGAAGGAAGAGAAGAAATGTAAATAGCACAAATAAGAAAAATGAAGAGATCCCGATCCGTCTCCTGATTCAGAGGTATGGCATCCACAAGGCATCGCACGAAGCTAGGTACTGTGGATTTGCGGCCCGCGAGATCATATCGATGGTTGTCTGGTTGGCTGGCAGATTACCCTCCGGCGGGCTCGCCAGGCTCACAGCCCGATTCACCAATGCATCGCTGTTGGTATAGACCAGCTCGCGCAGCTGTGGGACAGGCAGGACGCCACGGTGCTGGGCAGTTGCCCAGAACATCATCTCATCGCGCACGAAGACACTCAGATGCTGTTCCAGCTCGTGGCGGGGCTCGGTAAGACAGCGAGCGATGGCCATCAGGGCGCAGGTGAAGAGACCCTCCGTCGCGATGGGTCCCATGAGGGTCTGGATGTTAGGCGTGAAACGGAAGGGAACTTGCTCCGGGTTATGGAAGATGGCCTTGCCGGGGATGATGGATGGGATGAGCTCTGTGCCCCATATATCGCCGGAAGACCGAGAGATCATGAGTTTGTTGGGATACCGGTTGCCCATGTGCATCACGTAGGTGATGAATGCCAGAGCTGCATACTGGTAAGAGAACTGCCGGCGGAAGAGCCAGAAGTCCGAGAAGTTAGGGTACGTCTGCTGGAAGTAGTCCAAGATGACCGTGCTGGGCACCCATTTCTCTTGGATGGCTGTGAGGATCTCGGTCCGTAAGACTTGCTGCTGATCCGGAGTTCGCTAGTGATGTAGTTAGCAGGTCGTTCATTCAAAAAAAAAAAAAAAAAGTAAGCGAGCCAGAAAAAAGGTAACTCACGTTTTGTTTAGTCTCGGCCAGGGATCTCATCTTCTCCATAGTGAACAGCACTGGTTCATCCTTGTTTATACCCACTCTCCGGCAGTAATCCTCGTAAATACCCTGCATCGAGATGTACGACGGGTCATCACGAACCAAGCGGATGTGAGGAGCCAACGGTACCATGAGGGGCAGGTGGAAGTACAGATTACGACGCCTGCTTTCCTTCCTCTTTGACAACAGACCGTTGAAGATGCGGAAAAGCTGGAGAATGCGTTCCTCGCGTCGACAGTGGCGAGCTGCAGGATGCTGGACAGCGAACTGATGTACGCTTCCGTCATGGCCACGGATTTTGAGACGACGATGACAAACCCCAATGCCACGGACCAGATCGATGTCTGGCAGGAACCGATCGATCCGAACGAAATCTTGATTCTTGTCCTTGTGTAGAAGATACTGCCCGGGCACTTCGACCTCGTCGAACTTGAGGAAACGGAACTCGCTGAGGTGAGGGGAGTACGACTCAAGGAACTGTGTCTGCGTTCGTCGGTCGAGCTTCTCCTCGAATCGGTCACGCCAGCGTCGCAGTTTCTGGATGTATTCGTACATCGTTGGCTTTTTGATCACGAAGTCGGCTTCAAAGGACTTGCGGATATGAGCCGGCAGAATGGTCTCGGCAAACCTGGTGATGTTGGCCTCGGTGGCGACAGGGAGTTTGAAGTCCTGCGCATATGATGCCGGCATACGGCCAACGTAGGCCAATCCATCGTTCAGCAGCGCGACGATTAGACGGTAGGCGTCTTCGTCAGGAGGGCATTTAAAGTTCTTGTGGATTTGATCAACCATTGTCTCCATCGACAGTGCAAGTAGAGGGAATGCGGTTTTGAGACCAGACATGATCTCGTCCGAATACTCCCATGGCTTCCTGGTGGGCTCCTTCGATAAATCGCCCTCTGCAGCGCTGGTACCATTCGCGTTCTGCTGCTGTCCAGCGTTATTGGGGGCAGGAACCTGAAGATGGCCCTGTTGTTGGGTTTGAGGCTGTTGCATCTGTGCTTGCCCTTGAACTTGCGGCTGGCCTTGGGGTTGATTCTGAGGCTGAGGTCCTTGCCCTTGCGAGGGTACCTGTCCCTGCCCTTGTGCCTGAGGCTGATTCGGAGCCGGTGCCTGTTGATGAGGCTGAGCCGGAGACTGGGATTGGCTCTGTGGCAGCTGCTGCGTATTGGCGTTCGTGTTAGCATTGGCAATGGCGCCGGCGGTGGCTGCGGCCTGGGTGTTTTGTGGATTGGCACCGTCCGTATTCGACTGTGGCGTGCGGATGTTGGGAGAGGCTTGCTGCCTGGCACGGGCAAGCTTCTCTTGCTTCTGATCGTGCTGCTTCTTGATGCTAAGCATGTCTTCTCTGTTCGTTCGGAGAAGGAAGAAGAGCGCCTGAGGATAGAGCTTGGCGATCTTAGTGAGAACAGCTTTACAGAGGCGGGCTTCTCGATGGGACAAGCTGGTAAGAAGTTGCGGGATAAAGGTGATCCAGTACCAAACCGGTGTATCACCCTTGAAGTTCTCAAACGCGCTGGCAATCTTTCCTTCCTCGTTGTCTAAGCTAAGCAGCCACAAGATGCGGCTCAGCAGCTTGCGGGATTTGGCGTTCTTGTACAGGCCTGCAGCCTCCAGATAGCAACTCACGGCATTGCTAGCCAGCTCATAGTCGGTAGAGTCAGCCTTGAAGCGCTGATCACTGTACTGGCCCCATTCAGCCCAGGCCTTGGCGAGTCTCAGATCGTAGTAAAGAGCAACACCAAACGCCTCATTCGCCTCATTGACATGGTTAAGTTTGGCAAGAAACATGCCCTTGAGCGTGTAGAATTCGGCTTTCTGCTGCGCGCCAAAGTAGTTGAGGTTGGTGTTGTTGATCACATCGAGACCACTATTGAGCTCTTTGGGATTCTGGTAGTGACACTTGGCTTGCTCCCTCAGCTTCAAGAATGCCTCCTGGATCTCAATGTTGGGCAAGGTATAGATGCGGCTGAGCTGATTGATACAAACTTCAGGCATTTGATGCTTGCGGGCGACGTGGGCAAACCTGTTGATGATCCATGCCGTCTCGTGGTATCCGCGATAGGCATACGAGTTGCTAGCAACATTGTTTGTCTGAGGAGGCAAAAGGCTGAGGTAGGTTGCGTTGATGAGCTGGAAAATGTGCTGTCGCCACGTAACAAGATCTTGCCAAGCGTTGATATCGTCCCAGAGATTTGGCAGGCGGTCTCGCCACGTCCCAAGCAAGAGCTTCAGCTCCGCAGACTTAGTGTCCAAGTTCCGCTCGTTGGTCTGTGACAGGCTGGTGCAGATGTGACTGGCGTCATGCAATTCCACCAGCAACTGGAAATGCTGCAGGATTGGAATGTGGGCATTCGTGATTCTCTTTGGCAACTGAAGCCACTTGCGGATGGAGAGTTGGATTGACTCGTCACAAATGTTATTGAAATCTTGGATGTTCTCCTTCTTCAGGTGGAACTGTAGGAGAGCCATGAAGGCCTGGAAAAACGTCCGACGCGGTGTGGGAGCGTCGGAAACCGACTTGATCAACGACTCAAGCTGTTCACGGTTGCCTTCGCTCTGCCAATTCTCGATGTTTCTCCAAGCGGCCTCCAGCAGCAGATCGTTCAAATTCTCATGCTTGGCAAAATCACTGAGAATCTCCCATTGCTGGAGCTTCTGGGCGCAGATCAGCCAATGGTCTTCCCAGAGGTAGTATTCACCTTGCGAGAACGGCATGGCTCCAGAACGAGCCTTGATCTGTGCATTCTCGTACAGCTGCTGGGATTTATCCCACATTCCCTGTTGTTCGTATGAGATGGCAGCGTTCGTCTCCACAAACTTGCATCGACGGCGCCAGGTTCCGTAGAAGAAGTCGTCCTCTTGCAGTCCCGCGTAAACCTCCACAAGGGCATCAAGGTTACTCTCACGAACCGTGGGAGTATCGATGATGGGGCTGATTGCCGTTTCCTCGAGATAAGTCGCAGCCGTGTACCAGGCGTCGTAGGTGCGGCTCAGATACTTCATAACGTGGGGAGGAATCTTGAACCGGGGCTTGGCATGAACAGCGCCGTCCAAAAGTGCCTGAACAACATTGGGACGCTTATCAAGCTGTCTCTGGTGGTACTCGCGGGTGATCAAGGTCACCATTCCTTTCTCTAGATCGCTGCGCTCCTCTCGAGACAGCGTCGACCAGAAGATGACGAACAAGGTGGTCCACAGCTTGTAGGCTACATTGGAATCCGTATGTTGAAGCTGGCAGAGGGGTTCGATCAGATCGCGAACCTTGACCTCGCCGATTTCTCCTATGAATCGCTTGCGATCGGCGACGAAGGATTCGAGTTGGGTGTCAACCATGACATCGGTCCTTCTCGAGTCCTTTTCAGCACCACCGAAAAGGAATGACAAGGGGTAGATGGTGAAGTCATCAGGGTGTAGTCTTGCGGAAGTTGTCATGTCAACGCAGCCGAGAATCAGATGGGAGGCTTGAGCCAGCCAGAAGGAATCTGCGAGAGTATCCCAGTTTTGGCACGTCAAGACGTAGCTGAGACGCGAGTTGGCCAGTCGGGTTAAGCTTCTGTCGAAGATGGTCATAAAGCGATTGCGCATCTCGACATCCTGCGCCCGGGTACCGATCAGGAACGCATGCTCCAGCCGAACTGTCAACTCAGTGCGAGTGATCTTCGAATCCTCGTATATTCTGATCACAAGGTCAAGGAATTTCTTAAGCATGGTTTGGTCGGTTCGAGACTCAAAGAGAAGCATCTTGTGCAGGACGGCAGTCTTTTCCTTGAGGGTTGGCCATGACTCGGTAGAATGGAAGATCCAAGTTTCAACCATTCCTAGAACCTTACTGCAGAGCTTCACGTTGTGTGAACGTTCCACGAGCTGCGCCAAAACGCTCAGGAACGGACGCCTTTGTTCTCCAAGGTGGGACATGCGCACAGAGATCAGCTCGATGGTCTTGAAGATCAAGTCGACTCCAATTTCGAATTCCTGCTGGTCCGGTGATTCCTCGAGGGGTTTAGCACCGTGCTGGGGGTTAGGAGGCTGGGTGTTCGCACAGGCGGCGACATGTTCCTTGGCAAGCTTCTGAGAAAACGCTTTCATGACCTGGGGAATGTGGACATCCATCTCTGCGGGCTTCTTCTTGGATAGGCTCCAAAGGATATTCAGGCTCGACACGTAGTTGTTCGCCGAGAGAGTTTCCGTAGCAATGGCCGACAAGTACGTCACAAATTCAGACGGTGAGTTCTCCACGTCCATCGCATCTTCGTCCTCCGGCTGATCATCTGGTAAAGCATCGAGAACGCGCTGGACGGGAGGAGGCAGTTTCACAGGAACGTCCATCTCATCCTCAAATCCGTGTAGTGAATCTTGGATCTCTGGGTTCTCAGAACGCAACGGCTTCTCAAACAACTTCTGAATCAAGGGCAGACGAGCCATGATCCAATCGTTGGGCTTGTGAGAAAGAAGCACACGCATGACCTGCAACGCGTTGATCATACTATTGATGTGCTTTTCATCCGGCTTGTCGGCCTTCTCCCCAGCGAGAATTGGCTCCGTCACCTTCTGGTACAGGTCCACATCGATATCACCCCAGTAGTCAGGCGAAAGGAGGTTCCGGAGGAGATGAACGGCTTTCTTGATCATCTCACCGGTCATGATTGTGGGCTGCTGTTTCGTTGATGAAGACTCGCGAATCCGTGCCGCTGGAACCGGGAATCGCTCGGGAATCGTTGTAATCAAGGTGATCAGGTATTTTGTCATAGCAGCCCGAAGTTCCGATGTAACCATATACTCTGCGCGTTCACGGGATCCTGGGGGCCCAAGGCTTCGTGATGGAGAGGACGCCGCGGGTGTTTCCTCAAGCTTACGCTTCTTGGAAACCGGCGAGTCCTGAGCCCCGTTGGGCGTGGCACTGTCCTTGCTCAGCTTGACCCGCTTCTCTTCCCAGGTCCAAACGAGCCCGATGAGGTTCAAGGCCAGTTTCTTGCTCTCGTTGGACGAGTTGGGCGGCGTCGCGATTTTGATCAGCGATGGCACAATGAGAGGAATAAAGTGCTCTCGCGAATCATAGAAGAGATCTGGCTGCCGGACCAGGAACTGGAATATGCTCATCACCTGCTGTAGATTCGCGGTTTCCTCGGCGAGGATGCGTCGAGGCCACTTTGCCCATAGTGGATACCGTGCATCCCCTTGGTTGCCGCCATTCGCGTTCGATATGCGCGTGGGTAAGACCGGCGCAAGAACATCCAGAGCTTGGGTGACTAGTGCTTTGCCCTCATTCTGATGGGCTCTAAGTAGAGCCACGTAGACCTGAATCACAATCTTGAATGGCGTTTCATAATGGGCGATGAAGTAACTGATAAGAACGTATGCAGCATATTTATTGATCGTGTCTTCCAACCGGATGTAGTTCCATGCAAACTTGATGATATCCTTGCGCGAGTCCTGCACGGTTTGATGGTGATATTTGATGAGCAAGGCAGACAACTGGAGCAGTTCCATACGAGAGTGATCTACTCCTGGTTGGTGAGACTCATCACTGAGATCTCCCAGCTGAGGCTTCCAAAGCCGGCCTTGAATGGATTCCGTCATGCTCTTGTCCATCAGTTTAGGGGAATTTGGTGGGCTGTTCCAATTGGTCTGCACATCCTTGGCAAAGATTGGATTCACCAGATGGCGGAAGGCATAGGTCTTGGTCTTTTGCGAACAAGGCCGTTGACTATAGAGATCAAGGCATCGCATGATCACAGAACGCCGATAGTCGATGGACTCGTTTGTGATGATGTGGTGATAGATGAACTTAGGGAACGCCAGCGTACGTTTCAGCTCATCCGCAGAGAGCCCTTCAATGACCTCGAAAAGGAAGTCCAGATCCTGAAGGGACTCCCCTAGATAAATGGTAAAGATCTCCATCAGTTGGTCCTCGGCCTGTTCAACTCGCAGCCGTTCATTTACTGCCAGTTTGTCGCTCCGCAGTTTCCTCTCCAGGTCCCGTCCGGCGCTGAGAAGTTTTGCTCTGAGGTTCGCATGCGACACTAGCCATTTCTTGGTGGATGCGTGGGTACAGATGGAGTGGACAATGTAGATCCCGTTGATAGCGGCGGTATTCTGATGTTCCGTAGGCTCGCCGCCGAACGCGATGGAAACAAACTTCTCCGTATCGGCGACGAGTGCCGAGCGTAAGGCTTCGCTTTCTGGGTCCGCTAGCACTTGCCCGAAGAACCGGCCAAAGCGCTCCTCGTGGAAGCGACTTTGGAAGAAGGACAGACTATCCTTCGGGTATCGGTTGAGATACTTAACAAGCGGCCTGCGAAAGGGGCTGTTGCACGTTCTGCGCAACTTGTCTTCTAGATCCAGTACCTTATTGACGAGGTGTTCCATGAAAGATGTGGCTGCCGGCGGGAGCAGGTGGAAGATGTTAAATATGGCCGCGACGATCTTCATCGGGGGACTTTGCTCAACCAGACTAAAGGACACTTTTTGGAGAGTCGCATCATCGGCGATGACCTTCATGTGATCCAAAAGACGCGCCCCAATCTCAACTTTGAAGTAATTGGTGAGCAAAGTGAGCAGTCGTGCCAGCCCGTCTAGACCTGCCACGCTGAGACGCTTGGGATCCTGCAAGTTCATTAGGATCGGGCGAAGGCCATTCTGCAAAAGATCCTTGGGAAGCTTGTTGGTCTGTGTGAGCACATCTCGAAGACCTGCGTTGGCGGCCTCAATCACATCCGGAGATCGCGAGTACAAGGATTTGAAGAAGACGGAAATTATTCGGGCGCGACTCGTGTTCTGAGGGGTGTTGGCGAATTCAGGGAACCCCATCGCCATGGACAAAAGACGGAGACAAGCGACCCGGAGGTTGACAATCATCTCGGCATTTTTGAACTCATTGGGCTTAGAGGCAAGGGACTCGTCATCTGCGTCCGCGAGGGCCAGCGACTCCAGCATCAACCTGTTCAGCGGCTCGTTGAATGTCACAATGCCGTTATGGAGACTCAGGCAAAAAGTAATGGCATCGATGAAACCGATCTGCGTTGGGAAAGGTAGTGCACGCAGGGGTTTATTGAAAATCGAAAGCAACAAACGATCTTTCACCGGGAGGATAAGTTCGTAGACCTGGCACCCGATGACCTTCGCAATGGTTGAGAAGCTCTTCCGTGATGTCTCACGGACGTATTTGTTCATGTGTGAGAGTTCGTAGACGAAGAACCCACAGAGAGAGTATAATCGGCTCTTCTCGTTCTTCAGATCATCTTTGGAGACGTTCTTGTTGCATCTGCGGAGGATCAAGTCCAAGGTCTCCTGTGCCCGGCTTCGGGTACTTGCAGGGAGGTCGGAGGGTGTGTCCTTGACCACATACAACAGGGCCCGGACGAACTCAGTCTGCTTTTCATAGAGCCAGGTATCGCCCAAGTCGAGATCGGTAGCAAAGAGATGAATCCCCAGACTACCTCCCGCCTTGGTGAACCACTCTTCGCTATGGCAGCAATGGCAGAACGTGCGTGCGAGATGGTGAAAGAAAGGGAGTTTCGCTGCCTTTTCGGAAGATCCGAATATCACCGTGGCCGCGTCCTTCATGACCTCCATGGCAGCCTGGGCGGCCTCACGTACTTCGACATGATCTGACGAAAGCGACTCGATGATAGCTTCAGCGAGGATACGAGAATCCAGGTGAATCGGGCCTTCGCCATTATGCACGTCAAAAGGTTTGCGGTTGTGACGGTTCTGGGCGAGCGCTCGGCCAACCTCAACGACCATGAAATGCTTACAGACATCTGCCACAAAGGTCTTTGCTGATTGCTCGAGGCCTGGAACCGTAGTAGCGAAGATACAAGCTTTCAGCAGTTTCTTCAACGTCTCCTCCTGCTTTGTCTTCTTTGGGATCGAACTCGATCTCTCAGACTTGTCCATGATGTCGGAAGCCCCGGCAACTTGCCCCTCGAATAGATCATTTGCCTGGAGGCGCAAGAGTGAGGCGAAGTCATCTGGCAGGTTCTCGTACCCAATGTAGATCTTCAGTTGGGCGCTGAGCATCCGGTATGCCTGCTGCTTGTAGTAATTATCCGATGCCTTTGCTGCTGCGGTCTTGGGAACCTCCATCAGCTTGCCGATCGCCAGGTCGAGACCGATATCGACGGGAAAAGGTCGCTTCTCACTGGGACCGATGAGTTTGAGATCGAAGCTGGGGTTGTCATCGGAGAAGGCCTGGAAGGTCAGCTCGGGAGGATGGTTCAGGAACTTCCGGTTGCGACCTCCGAGCTTCCCTAAGATGCGCATCGTGGTATGAGCATGGAAATGATTGTAAGGATGTGGTCGGAGATGGTCCCAGAGAGCCATCATCAGTTCGTCCATGATGGGCGCCATGATCGGGTCCAGGTAATCAGCAGTCAGGTTATCCACGCAGAGCTCGAGCGTCCGAAGACCCTGCCCCACGAGATCAGAGTCTGCACGCAGGGCCACAACAATCGGTCGCATCAGATAGCTCAGATGAGGGAGGAGATGGCTGAGACGCGCGGGGACTGTGAGAGTAAGCTCGACGTAGAGGTCGCGTTCCTGGGGCTTCCTGGCCGCAAGCAGCAGGTTGTTGAAGGTCTCGAGGAGCATTTCAAGCAGAGGCAGGATTTCTTTGTATAGGAGCTCGAAGCGACCACCACCAATGCTTCGGAAGAGCGAACGGAGCAGCAAGAAATAGTTCATGGGCTCTTCCGCCGTCACGGAGAGCTCGATACATTTCGTCACAATCTTCGTGACGTGAGGGTGCAAGACCTGTTCGTTCTGGACGGAAAAGAGCGTCACCGCCATGAAAGAGAGCTTGAACATCCGCAAGAGAATCTTAGCCTTGGTCATGTCGGACGTTCCGACTTCGTGGATGCGATTCATGAGATACTGGAGCACCATGCCAGAGAAGGCCGGCGATGTGGCCTCGCTGGCCAAGAAGAACTGAGGCAGATGAAGGAGAGCCCCGTGCTCGAACATGAGTTCATGGAGATAGGGGATCTCGGAGTGGAAGACCTCGTGGAAAGTGGCCGTGTCGATGCAGTGGAAGACGGTGCCGAAGCTTTCCAGCAGTTCTTTCTCCTCCCGGGTCATCGGGGCAGTATACTGGCTGGCCAGGAAATCAAAGGGAGACGAGTAGTTGTTTTCTGGAGGAGGCTGATCGACTCCATAGTACCGGAAGACCCGTGCACCTTCGTGGAACAACTTCTTGATGACCTGGACCTCCTCTGCATTGTACCCATACGAGACTTCCGACCAATTGATCGGAACGCTGCTTGGGTCGATTTGGATGTGATCCGGGTTGCAGTTCTTGAGCTGGTGGAAGATGTTCTTCAGTCCATTGATCAGGTTCTTGAAGAGAAACAGGTTGTCCGATACAGGATCACCGCCACGATCAGGGTTCGACGTCTTGATGGGCGAGGCAGAAAATATGTCGATTTCATCCCAGTCAGGCGGTTGATCCTTGTCCACAAGATAGTTTTCCGACGAGAGCTCAAACTCCTTCCTTGATGCTTTGTACGCCTTGGAAACCTTGACGGCGTTATCAAACTGATAGTTCATCGAGGCGAACTTGTCGCCGATCGCATCCAGGATCATGATCAGGAAATAGCGGGCTTCACGCTTATCCTCCAACTTGGAAATATTCTCTGCCATGTTGAGGAGAAGCTTGGCGCTCATGGTCTGAAAGCTGGTGCCAGGGAAATCATCGTGTAAGTTTTTGGTGTAAACCTCGACGGTACGACGGATCTGGTCGCGGTTGAGGTGATCTCGCACGTGGTGAATGAGGTCCGCAAGCATGCTGTATGCCAGCGGTCGCATCGCTTCATAGACCGTCAAGCCGTCGCCGATCAATGTCCGCTCATCCAGCAGCTCGTCAATCTTCTCCAGGAAGATCTTGCGGTAGTTGATGTTGATGATGTGGCGAATGGCGACCAGGAGTTCCTTTCGCGCGCTCGACTTCTCTCGCGGGCAGTCCTGTAGTAAACGCACGACCACAGAGGGCAACGTGGGCAAAAAGTCCTGTAATTGATGGGACATACGTAGCAGGTATGCCAGGAAACTCATTGTCTTGACTTGGGCGGTGATGAACTCGCCAAAGGCCGCGCGATTCTTGATCTCTTTGCAGACACCGGTGAAGATTTTCCCTTGAGCGGCGGCCTCTGCATGAGCTCTCTCCTGCGGCTTTGCCTGCAACAGCAAGATGCTCTTGATCAAGGGGACAAAGAGCTTGACATTGGCGGCGACGGATGCCCGATGGGTTTGGAAGATGGAGACGACGATGATCGGGCACTCAGCCAGGACCTTGAAGGACTGCATGCCCTTCAGCAGCACATTACTGGACTGTTGGTCCGACCCCAGGTCCGACACGGAGGTGACGGGCGAGCTTGGGCGCGGAGACTGGAAATTCTGGGCCGAAGCGCCGGGGGTCGAGGGCATGCCAGCGGGGGCCACCTGGCCGGGGGAATCGAAGGTATCGCGCACGACCTGTTCCATGGTCTGGAACATCTCCTGGATGAGCTCGAGGAACGGTTGAACCTTGGACGCGGTGGCCTTGGCCTGGTGTCGCTCCAGATCCATAATCGTCTTCATGCAGAGCACAGCGTTCTCCTCGTTTTCGATGCGCACCAGGTCCATCAATAGGTCCACCATGTCCGCGGCGTACGGTTCTGCGTCGGGGGAAGCGGTGGGTAATCGGTGGAGAGTCTCGAGTGTGCAATTGCGTAATTTCTACCGGTATTCGAACAGCGATCAGCGAAACCTGTCCCTCTTCACTTCACCAGAGTTTCCTTCCTTCCCAACCCACCTGTTCATAGGACATATTTGTGAAGACCGGGTCCCCCTTCAAGATCGTCTTGAACACCGGCCACAGCTTCGCCAGGAATATCGGGTAGCTTGCGCCAGAGCATAGCGGCTCGATGCTGTCTCGCAGTTCGACCGCGACATTTGCTCGGACTTTGATATCTACCGAGGAGAAGACGAGTCAGTTGGTTTTTTTTTTCCTCATTCCTCCCCCCCACACATATTCCCTACCAAGCTTCTCGTCCCCCAGCTTGCTGGCGTATATATCAATGTTCCGTTCCATGCTTGGGCGCCCCTCGGAGGAGCTGTCAACCAAGGCCCTTCAAAATCCAGGGAGAGAGGGTGCTGCCAGGCCGCCAGGGGCCGGCGAGAGAGATTTCGGGAAGAAAAACACCTCAGCAAGTGAGCTAGTGTAGTGCTGGAGCCGACATACGGAGCAAGCTTGCTAGTCGGGGAAAGTGCTGGTCGGGTCTGTTTGCTGGGACCGAGACGAGATACGACGGGCGATTTGAGAACGACAGATTCGTAAGGTCATTAACCCTCTTTGTTGGCCGCTTGAACGCCAGAGACCGAAAGCCCGAAAGAGAGGAGATGCAAAGGGTTGGAAAGGACTGGCACCGGCCACGTAGACAGGGAAGCGAGAAGGTGAGGGAGGATGGGAGCGTTCAAGGCAGTCGGACCTGGACTGAGGCGCGCACCTCCAGAGCAAAAAGCGAGCGGACGCGGGCATGCGCAGAGACCCTGTCGAGGTACGCTAGGCCTAGATAGGGAATTTCGGATCATCGTTGTGCCTGTCCGAGCTGTCCAATGAGCGATGTGTTCTTCGAGGAGGTGCACGTGCTCAGTTCAGGCACCAAGGCTTCAACTGGACTAGTATATCCCTAGTACCAGGTACCTAGGTACCTAGTTATAGTTAATAGTTATACCTCCATAGGTGGTAGGTACCAGTTACTCTGTATTTTCTACCTGGTAAAGTACGGAGGTGATACTGAATACTATCCTTCAATCCACCGGGTACTAATATATTCTAGGGGCAGCTGGCATGACAAGAACCAAAGGATCATGAAGACATATATTCCACCAACCTCGTATATGGAACCTCAAAATCTAAACATGGGTTTCCCATGTCCTATGGATTCAAAAAATTGGATAGATACTGGCAACAAGGACACCAAAGAAGAAGGAGAAGGAGAAGAAGAAGAAGAAGAGAAGGAGGAGGAAAGAATCGACACCTCTGTCGACAAATGGAAAACGCCATTCGCGCACCAGCTTGTTTTCCATGTAATCCCGAACAAACGGTTCTAATAACTAGGCAGGTAGTTCCAACGTAACAGGATCGCACTCGGCTAATCAAGGGGAGCTTAAGGGAAAATAAACCACGAGGGGAATAGAGATGCTGGATGGGTGAGTTTGGTACCAAGCCATATACACAGAAGAGGGTAGAAGAGGGGGGCAAAAAGAAAAAGAAAAAGGAAAAGGAAAAGGAAAATCAAAAGCGCGAGGGAAAGAAGGGAAAAAAAAAGGGGGAGGATGTGGAATATAAGTCGTTGCACATCGGGGTCGCTATGTAATTCGGTTGCAGGGGAGGAGTCTCGACGAATATTCTGTTTCTTCCCCCCACCCTCTTGGACCTCCCAGAAGAAAAAAACAGGAAGATAGAATTGAAATGGAAAGAAAAGGTAATGGAATTCTGACACAATGAATGAAAATAACAAATCACTTGACCGAGTTGCTCCGCGATGGCATCGACACGCTGACAGCGCTGGTGCCACCGACTGACCGTCGTCGTTCACCTCGCACTCTGATCTCGCTGCCGCTACCACTTCGTCGCCTCCGAGGCTCATCAAGCGACCCACGGTGCCGTCTCTGGAGCAAACGGACGTTGTCCCGTTAGAATCACGCTGACTGTAACACGAACAATTACGACGTCTTAGCATGGAAGCGCAACACAAGGGATGGGGGAGAGAGAGAGATAGATAGATAGATAGATAGAGCGAGGATCAGAAGAATAGGAACAAAGAATGATCTGTCTCACTCAAGGATATGGACAAGGAAAGAATTCACATCAAAAGTTCATGTAGAACTAACCGAGATCGGTGTAGCCCTCCGTTCCTTCGTTGGGCTGGTATCATCCTGCAGCTTCAGAGCATTGAGGCGTTTCTGGCTGTCGTCGGTGATGGAGTCGACGTCGTCACGGAGGGTCGCCGATCCATCAGTGGTGATACTGGTGGTGGCGGCCAGGTCGGTGGAGGCAGCTAAGGGCTGCGTTGCGGGATTTGCAGCCCTGTTCTTGCGATCCGAGGCCTGTTTCTCAAGCTCGCTCCAGCGGTCGAGTCTGGCCTTCTCACGTTGTTCAGCAGTGTTTTGCTGTTCGGTGTACTCGTGGGAGCACTCATCGAAGAGCTGAGGGTTGATTTCCATGAACATTTTCATCGCATTGTAAACCATGCTGTGGATTGTCCTATAGATAACAACTTTCGTTAGAGGTCGTGCTGAAGAGAGAGGGTGTTGATTGATTTTTGATTTTTTTTTTTTTTTTCAAAATAAAGGGGGGCGGAAATGCCTACCGATTCCAGTGGCCCTTGGAATTCTCGTAGAGTGGAGAGAACATGATGGGGAGGATGGTCTCGACGTTGTCGCTGACGAGATTACAGAAATACTCGTTGTTCCAGAAGTACAGCGCCCGTTCCGCAACCTAAATCATGTGAGTATGGCAAACACAGCGAACGCCTTCAGTGATCACTGACCTGAAAATGGGGACTGGCGACGGATTTGGCCAGCTGCTGGAATAGCGGGCCTTGGACCTTTGCGAATTCGGCAGGGTCCATCACCTCGAAGATATCCTCAACCTCGTTTAAGAACATCACCTCCTTGGTGCTGTTCGTCTTGGGCCAATAACGGAGGAGACCAAGAACAACCTAGAATATACAGTGAGCTTCACCGTTGCCTTGAGAGACTGCTGCAGGAAAAAAAAAGCATTCTTACATCTTCAGTCAAGGAAGAATCCTTCTCCAAAAACTGGACAATGCAATAGGCGAGTTGCGGGTGGTACATGCTGAGCCCCTTGGCTTTGTGTAGTGGAAGCAGGCTTCGGGTGAGGAAGAGTTTGTGTTCCTCCTTGAGAGGCAGGGCGAAACCGTTGATGATCGAGCCGAGAATCTCCAGCAACTCGGCAATACCGTTGAATCTTTCGGTCTCGTAGACGAATTGGAAGAAGACGTTGTTAATTGATCGTCGGATATAGGAGCGCAAGTTCAAGAATTTGCCGTAAATGCGGTGCAGCGTAGTCTTCAAGAAATCGCGTTCCCGAGGGTCTTCAGAGTCGAAGAGCTCCAACAACTGTGACGGCGTTTAGTTTCTTCATGTAAAGAGAGAAGAAAGGGAATAGATGCTAATAAGCAATATACCTGGAGAACAAAGTGATGGTCGATGTAGCCCTTGGCGATGTTGGTGTTGAAGTCCTGGCTCTCGATGAACCGCAGGAAGAACTCATACACCACCTGGATATGTGGCCAGGCGACTTCAAGGACAGGCTCATCCTCCTCGGGATCAAAGGCCTCTCCCTGGGGGGCCATCGGGGGAGGAATGGGTCGGAAGAGATTTTTGGCGAACATTTCGACTACGCGCGGGTACATGGGTTCAGTGATCACGGATCTGTTGTTGGCGACGTAGTCGAGCAGCTCGTGTAGGGCGAGACGCTTGATCTCCTTGGACTTCATATCTGCCGTGGGGTCATTGAAGTCGAAGATGATGTTGCATTGGTCGATCTTCTGCATGAAAAGCTCCTGACGGCGGTTGGGGGGCACTTCGTGGAAGCCAGGCAGCTTCTCCAGCTCGCGTTGGCGTTGATCGGAGATATCAAACCGCGACGAGTGTTGCCGCTTGGGTGTCCGGATCCCTTCCGACATGTCCTTGGGGGTTGTTTGCAGACGATCAAAGACGTTGGATTTGCGAGGGGGCGCCAGGTCCCCGGGCATCGTCTCTGCAGCACCGGGAGGAGGGACATGCTGGTGAGAACCCAATATTAGTATGAAAAGGCACAGAAAGGAGGGAATGTACGACAGAAGAAGGAAGGCTTACCGTTGTGCTAGGACTGATGATCACGCTCGGCGCGATCGGTTGGCCTTGTCTGCTGGGAGTGGCCGGTCCATTATTGCTCGCAGGCTGACCAGCCATGCCTGCTCCCCCCTGTGGGGCGAAGGCCGCGGGATGAGGCACCAGGCCGGTCTGAGAGGCATTGTCCGGGGTGCTGGCTTTGCCCTTGATGTCGTTCACGGACGTGGTGGATGAAGTCGGAGTGCCATGGTTTGGCGACGCGGACTGTTGGCCATGGTGGATGCCGATTGACGCTTGGCTCTGCGACGGGGACTGGGAAGAGGCGTCCTTCTTCTTGGAGGACTTATTCGAGTCCTTTGCCCTTGATAGCTGCTCATGCTGTGCCAGTTAGCTGCCTTTGAACCATCGATCTGATGTGCCTTCATTCACCTGGGGTGGGGGGAGGCTGAAGGTTGCAGAATTGTGGGGAGAAGCATGAAACGCCTGGAAGAGAGGGGAAGGGGGTTGTCACTCACCACTCTTTGTCTAAAGCCCTTCATTGTCGCTCAGAGATGAGAAGCCACATATACTTGATGTTTCTTATGGTGCCAGAAGCAGCAGGACGCCGCACACTAGCAGGAGCAGGACAGATGGATGGGGGGGGGGGGGGGGAAGGGAGTTCGGAGGGAGGAAAGACGACGTTCAGGGGAGAGCGGCCACGGATTTGTTTATCGCCAACCTGCGCGGACTGATGAGCATTCGGTCAGCATCAACACCGAAAAAAAAAAAGGACGCAATTCCCGTTCGATCGATGGGGACTCGATCAAGGAGCGGGAAGGAGGTCTGAGCGAGAAGGACAGCGTTGGAGGGAAGACAACAGGTGAAGCGGCCAGGAGCACGAATAATAACCACCAGGATAATAATAACCAACTAATAGCCACTCACTCACGCACAGCTTCGACCACGGCGAGGCCAACAGACACGCGACGACCGGGGAAAAATACAGGGCCAGGAGGGGGGATGGGAAGAAGCCTTACCCAAGAGTCTCAACGTCCAGCAGCGATTCTTTCGTGCTTGATGGCCGCTGGGGGCGGACTGCTGCCAGAGTCGCTTAGCGGTCGGGATGGGGGGTGGGAAGCGGGGGACTGCGGCAGACACAAGAGGGAGGCCAGCGTGGAGGCAGCGCAATGGCAGTCGCAGCAGGGGTTCCGGATACGCAGGGGCTCACAGAAAGCGTCGATTCGTGGTGAGGCCGATAAGACACAGGGGGGCGTGGTTCTGGTGCTGAGTCCGGAGAGAGCGAGGTTAGAGGAGCCAAGTCAGGGAGCGCTCGATATACGGCAGCCAGGCGAGGCGCGTGTTGTGGCGGGAACTTGATACACTCAGCAGGAGCTGTGACGGGCCACCACGCCTAGACGTAGACTAAAAGAGATGCAGGTGGGATATTATCTGAAGGTTTCATCTGCTGTACTTGAATTTTACTGTCTAATAGCCATGATGCTCCGTGGTGACTCTGTTGCTGCTTACTCTGGTGCGTTGTGGACGATTTCCTGTTCCTTTCGCTGTGGCGGTACAGTCATGTGACTGGAATTCCTGTGGCTGGTGGGCCTAACCACCTTCGTCCAAGGACGTTCACGTGAGCGTTCACGTGAGTCTCGACGTGATTGACTATTGTGCCCACTGCCTACCTATTGTTCTGACTTGGGATGGGGACGATGACAGATGAGACAGTACGCTTGAGAGATACCGAAGCAGCCTAAAAAGCACTATTGAGTGCCTCACTCAGCCGGCGACTGGGCCCGGTCGACGCAACATCTCTCTCGGGCGGTGTCGAAAAGCAGCTCAACGGGCAGGTACCGACTGGTACCAGGAACTTGAGATGGCCCAACGAGGCCTTCCACGGACAGCGCCCTTCTATGAGGTGCCTCCACTGCGAGTGGTGAGCGTCGAACATCCGGGGGTGGTCCGGAACGTCGACAATGCCATCCGGACTTTGCAGGGGAGCGATGGGATTGGCAAGGTTGGTTTGATATTGCATTGCTTTTTTTTTTACTATTTGATAACAGAGGAAACTGACAGATATGACAGATTTTGAATCCGCCCAAAGCAGATACTCCTGCCAACCTGGTGCTCCGTCCGGAGGATGCGATGGCCCGGCCGCTGCAGTCGACCAGTTCCCAGTCCAACAATATATTGTTGAAGGTGACGGTACCTCGACGCACCGGAAGGAAGCGTAAGCGAGGCTCAGACGAGCCATTCATCGATGGAGATGTCGACACTGCGGCGGACGATGGCTCCCTGCCACGACGGAGTGCACGACAGCTGTTGCAGAGTCTCCGTGACAACGAATATCGCTACCAGGTCGAGCCGGTGGGCAAGGTCGAACGGACTCATGTGTTCCGAGGTGGATTCAGTTCTTCCAATTCTGTCTTGTTTCGTGTCTAATACTTTCAGGCATGCCCGACTTTGTCTTCTCGACAGCGTCAAGCACGTTCGCCAACCGGTTTCGAGAACAGATTCTCTCCTACGACTGTAAGAATACCCCTGACTGGGACGCGCGCAGAGTGCACTGTTAAAGGATCAGATCAAAAAATGAAGCAGTTCGATATCAACATGACCAAGGGCGAGACCATGAACGTGGAGATTTTTCCTCCTCCGTCGTTCAGCCATGGCGATGTTCCATTTAGCTATATGTTGGTAGCCTTTCTTTTTCACATTTGAAATTTCCGCTGAATTTATCAAGGTACCGCCAAAACCCCACGGTGAAACTATCCGTGGACGACGCAGGCAAAGTCACAACCTTCAACACCCAGCAAGCCACCAAGGTGCTGACGCACCTGGTCCCGTATGATATCGAGAGCGTCCCGTCAGCTCCGCGCGACAGCTGCCCGCCCCTCGACACCCTCGACCCAGCGTTGCAGGAGACCATCGCCTCTGTGCGGGCTCTCTTCGCCGAGCGAGTCGCCTGGACCCGCCGTGGGCTGCGCAACTCCCTCACCACCCTAGAACAACGGTACCAACTCCGCCACGCAATCCCCTACGTCGCGTACATCTTCCGCTCGGGACCCTGGCGCGATGCAATCATCAAGTTCGGGCACGACCCGCGCACCGCCCCCTGCTACCGCTTCTACCAGACCGTCATGTTCCGCATCCTCCCTCGGGACCCGGAACTCGCCCGCGACTCCGCCGGCGGCCGACGACACACCCTACCGCGCCCGTCGGCCGAATCCAACATCCTCGCCGGTAGTTCTGGCGGCGGCGGTGGTGGATCGGCAGTCGATCCAACGATGCCCGGCGGCGGCACAGCGCAAGGCACCAGCCACCTATTCACGGGCCAGCGGCCGTTCCCACGCGACGGCAAGATGTGGATGCTCTGCGACATTACCGACCCGCTCCTCGCGCAGTCCTTGTTCCCCGAGGGCCGACCGCAGCAAGCCACGCTCGCAGCCGCTCTGGCTTCCACGCCCCCCGACGACTTCCTCCGACCAACCTGTGATATTGTGAGTGACGGGTGGTTCGGTGACGGCACGCTCGGCAAGCTGAAGACCATCATGCGCGACAAGATCCTCACGCTCATCCGCGATGCCACCCCATCGGACTCGGACTATGCGCGTATCCTGGCGTTTCCGGACCACACGGGCGGCGACGAAAACCTGGGCGAGTTCATGCTCGACGGCGGGGTCGCCTCGGTGCGGGATCTCCAGCTTGCCACTGAGGTGCGGGCGACGATCCGCGGGGCGCCCAATTGGCGCACCGATGCTGTGAAGCGGAATACGGGTCAGACTGGACCTCCTCCTGGCAAACGCGTGCAGTGGGGGGATGTGAGTGAGGGGGAGGAAGAGGCCGTCGAGAGAGAGGAGGCGGCAGATGCAGTTGTAGAGAGGAATGAGATGGATACTGAGCATGATGATTGAGATTTGTTCCTACTATCAAAGGAAAAAAAGCCCGACTTTTTATAAATCCATTTACTACAACTAACTATCTAAGCATTGCATCGCTAGAGTTACATCTGACCTCGTCGACTCGTTCATTTCATTACAACAAACATAAGAAGTATTACCTGGGTATCGCTTGCAGAGACAAAGAAACATAAGAAAGACACGAGAGAAAGGAAGCAAAAAGAAAGAAAGAAAGAGACTATGCTTGGGTATGAATCTCAATCTGAGTCTCCTTGGACGGCTTGTCCTCTGGCTGCACGGTACTCGACTGTAGGATTTCCGCAATCGAAGCACAGGTAGCAGATTCCGGACGGTCAGCCTTGACAGGGTCTGCGCATGCCTCGTCGTCATCGTAGACGACCGCAACCGAGAATGCATGGCAGTCCGCCGCATAGTACTCTGCGGCATTGAGCTCTTCGAGCGGCGAGCGGTCCTCGTCCATCTTGATGGCCTTGCGGATAGGAGACGCCGTCATCGACTGTCTAGCCCGCGACCGCGTGGCGGAACTGACGGGGATATCCAGACCGAGTTCGCTAGGCGGGATGTTCTCCTTGCCACGAACATCACCCTGTTTGGCCTGGCGGGTGGTGCTGTCGTCATCACTGATGTCCAACACACCCGTCGAGTGTTGCATGAGGTTGGTCATTTCTTCTTGTTCCGAGTCGACGTGAATCTCAAAGTACCACGATGCTTTCTTGGGCGTAGGCTTAGGCTGCAGCTGTTGCTGCAGCTGGTTCTTCGCGAGCGCCGTAGCGATGGAGAATGGACGTCCCACACTGCGTCTGCTAGCGGGCTCCGGGCGGGCTGTCGACTTGGAGATGAGATGCGAGCGTCGAGTGAACGCCTTGCACGACTTGGACTGCGGGGAGCGACCGGCGGGACGGGCAAAGGGGGTGGTGGTCTTGGGGGTGGACGGGCGCGCACTGATGGGTGTGGCAGGCGTAGAGAGCCCACGCAGAGTGGCGATGGTGTTGCTCAAGGTGGTCTCGATGGAGGACAAGGCCGTCCGCGAGGATTTGATCGGCTTGATAAACTCACGGCTCTTGGAGGCTTTCTCGTGGTCTTCGTCGACGTCGTCCAGGGCACGCTTGCGCTTGGTCGACAGGCTGGCGGTGGCGGGGTCAACGTTTTCGGCATCATCCACGGAGATCTGCATCTTCATCGCCATGCCTGAGCTGTCAGTCAACCTCGCTTGATGCCTGTCCTCGGGGAGAAGTTGTACGTTACCATTCTGTTGGTTCTTGACGTTCATCTGGGTCTTGAGCAGCGACCGTAGACGCGGGGTTTCCAGACTCGCAAACGGCTGACGTGCCGGAGTCATGGTCAAAGCCATTGTAGACAGCTATCGAGCAGAAAATCAAACGGTTTTTCAATGGGCGTGCTGGCGTGCTGGTGTGGTGAGATTCTCTGTTGACGGTTGATGGGAGCAGGCAGCCGATGTTTTGATTGAGCTGAAGTGGGGCGACGATCAGATACGGTAAGCTGGAACTAGCAGGAAGACGCAGCGATTCGAATGTGTACAAGAGAGATTTTGGGAGTAGGTACAGAGAGTACACAGACAGAGTACTACGATACGAGAAGGAGGATAGAAAGACGGAGGGTTGACTGCTGGCCTGCGCCGCCTGAGCTCCTCATATACCCTCCCTCGCTCGCCCAAGGGATGGCGTTGGTGCAGAATGGAGGCAAGGGAATGTCCCTGCGCGCGGGGGGGAGGGGGGAATTCTGGTGGCCAACCCAGTCCAGAATGCACGATCGTCTCGCGTTCGTGTTGAGACTTCACGCCATGAACCTGCAAGGCATGTGTCATTGGCGAATACCCCTCCAACGGGGGATTCCACCCTGGTTGTGCCTGTTGGTGGTGATGCGCTGCCCATTTGCTGCGTTTTGGCGCCGGGCATTACGGTAATACGCGTACGGAGGACTGACGCGACGCGTAGAGTCCACTTAAGAAGACTATTTGCTGATAGGGGTGCTTTATGGGATCTTGATTGAATAGATTCCTGCTTAGTGCTATCTATAAGTAATAGGTACATAATAATTGCAGCTATTGTCTGGGGATCGTATAGTTGAGCTGATATATTGAATTGCCGGAAACTCATAGCTATATGTAGAGACGCGTGTATTACAGTAATATTACGCATCCATCATATTGTCATTCAACAATGGCTTCTCTTTAGATATTAATGGAAATAATTTATTGTATGTAGTAGACTATTTAGCCGACGAATAGATACGAGTGGTTTCTACAAGGATTAGCTGTGAAAAGTGAAATGCCTATGTGGTAAGTACTCCATATACCACTTACTAGGAGTACAGCCAGCATAAGGGCGAGGGACACCTCCGTAGTACAGTAGGGAGGATTGCTGGATCAATTGTACATCGTCAATAGAAATAACCATCTATATCTCCACAATCTCGTCTTCCCACGGAATGCTGTCCATGGCTCCCTGGCGCTCCACGCAGCGTGCCGACGCCCGCGCCGCCCGGTGCATGGCCGCGTCCATCACCCGGCCATACCGATCTGCCTTGTCCTGCGGCGTCGTCAGGTCCTGCCCAGCCTGCCCCTCCGCCCGACGGCGTTCGCGCCAGCGGGCCACCTCCACCGCGTAGGTGCCCATGAAGGTGTCGCCCGCCGCCGTGGTATCCAGCACCTTGCGCACCGGCGCCGCGGGGATCTGGTTTGTGAAGCGGGACTGCTCGGCGTCGCTCGCGCTGTACCACACCCCCTTCGACCCCAGCGTCACCAGCACGTAGGTCACTCCGAGCTTGTGGAAGTACCGGGCGACCTGCTCCTTGACCTCGAGCCCCGCCGCGTCGGGAACAGTCTGCACCAGCTGCGCCGTCGGCGGCGTCATCAGCTCCGCCTCCGTCTCGTTCATGATCAGATGGTCCACCGCCGCGTACACGTCCTCTGGCAAACCTCCCGGCGGCGCGGGGGCCGGGTTGAACATGACGTCCGGCCCAGCCTCGATCCCGCGCTTGCCCTCCGCTCGCCTCTGCGCCTTGTACGCGCCAATCGCCCGCAGCGTGCCCACCACCGTCTCCACGGGGATCTCGGCCTGCATGACAATCACGTCGGGAATGGGCGCCGCAAGTCCCATCCCCAGCACTGCCGGCGTCGGCTGCATCCCCTCGTAGTTGGCGCCGGGGGAGAATAAGATCCGGTTCTCTCCGCCCGCAGACTCGTCCACAATGATCACCGCCACGCCCGTGTATGCCTTCTCAACCACCCGCACCCGGGACGTGTCCACTCCGGATTTCTCCAGCGTCGGCTTCAGCAGCGCCGTAAAGTGTCCGTCCGACCCGCCAACCGCTCCCACCATTTCCACCTGCACAGGGCTCTCCGATGCCGTTCTTGACGAGGCAGGATTCGGTCGTGACACACGCCCACACGCGACCGCTTGGTTGGCACCCTTGCCGCCCGCGCTGGTGAAGAACGACCGGGCCGTAATGGTCTCCCCCGCGTCGGGGAATCGAGGGGTCACCGAGACCATGTCGGCGTTGAGAGAGCCGATGACTCGAATGAGAGGAGCCATTTTCGTTTTTGTTTTTTCACTGCTTCCAGATGAGAAACGAGGTATAGTATTTCAAGGCTTTCGATTCGATAGCACCAGGAAGAGCAAGTAGCAGAAGCAATCGATTCTTTCTCAAAGGTTGTCCCTGAACTTGGCCCTGCTCCAAGTGCGATAATCGTCAGGGTTGATAAGAGACGGCGCTAGCATAGAGGAGGACTAGTGTAGCCGATCGAAGCGATTGCCGATCGGCATATCACGCGGCATCACGTTACATGTCACGTGACAGCCATCACTCGCCCATTCCTAATTCTAACCATCAATAAACTCACTTCTAACCACTGCTTCTTAGCCCGTAGTCAACTACTTAGCTATCCCTTCTACTCTCAGTATTATGCTCCTCTGCAGCGTATTCTCTTCGTGTATCAGTCGCGACTTCGTCACGAACGCGTAGATACGTCTAAACGCGTCCCGACAGGCGCAGAAGGGATGACGATAAGGCTGGGGGAGTCTCAGCCTTGCGTCGTCTGAAACAGACGTGAGGTCGGTCAGCTTGTTTCAAGGCTCCGTGCAGCTATTTCTGGCGAGGCTGGCGCTATGTACGCAGTAGAAAAGACCGGAGATCCAGTCAAGCCTGTTGACAATGAACTCTTCAGTGGTTGCTACCTTATGTAGTTAACTACCTAAGTAGAAGAGTGGTCGAGACTGGAGTTTGGTTCAGCATATCCTCACGTGACCGCCTAATGAGGTCGCATCTCTGACATGTCGACTTCAACTTCCTCTCGCAACACCACAGCTTGCTGTCCGTGTTTGTTTCCGCTGCCTGCTCCAGCCGTTTCTGCCGGCTAGACCGGCAGCTTGCCAGCAACTCCAATGGCTCCAACTCCGGGAATGGAGCTCAGCGAGCAACAACTCGACTCCCAGATCCGGCAGTTGCAGGATGAGTTGCAGAAGCTGCAGAAACAGCGCAAGCTGGTGGAACTGCGCAGCGCAGTTCTACGTGAGCAGCGGCTACTAGAGGAAGCCCAGCGTCAGCTTGAAACAGCACAACCCCCCCCAATAGCAGACACGCCCAGCTCCCACCCCTCCCAGGGCGGGTCTGCGGTACCTGCACCGCCGCCAGAGGTGATACCATCGCCGAGCTACACACCGCCAAAAGGCATCAAGCGATCCAGTTCGTCGTTGGAGAGGAGCTCGTACCTGAGCGAGGAGAGCCCGAATAGCGTCTCCTTTAACACGAGCGCCAATACTGGCCTTCCCACCACGCTACACAGCGCGACTCCACTGAATGGCGGCGACCAGAAAACTCCTGAGCCTCCCGGTCTTCCAGGGGTTGAGCCATACGGAGCAGCTAATTGGCTGGAGTATGCCATCTGGATGCAGCGCCTCCAGAACTACTTTGCCCGGCACCAACAATATTTCCGCACCGACGAGCGCAAGATCGCAGGGGGTCTGCGCCAGTGTTTCCCAAGCTGCGAACGTGACTGGCACGCGTCGGTTCAAGCGGGCATCTTCCAGCCGACATGGTTGGACTTCCAGAAGTTTCTGAGGCGGCCCCTGACACCCGCCAATCTGTCTCCCCAGGCGGCCATGAACCGGCTGCGGAAGGCAACGCAAAGAGATAGCCAGACGGTGCGCGACTTTGCAATCTACCTGAGCTCTCTGGAAGCGTCTCTTGACAAGCTGCCCAGTGACGAGGAGCGTATCGAGACCCTCCGCAACGGCTTGCTCCCGGAGATTCGAGAGGAATGTCAAGCCTTCTACGACGAGGGGAACAGGATCTACACCGACCATATCCGATACCTGATATCATATGAAGGGAACCTTGCCTCTCGACACGAAGTGGTTCGTAAGCGGGCGGCTGCAGCTGCATCCCAACGGCCAAAGAAGAGGCCAAGATATCAATAATCGGGTCGGATGTATCATTGACAAGCGCTGCGCGCTACATTTCGGTTCTTTCTACTTCTTTTTCTTCTTCATTCTTTTCTTTTCGGATATATTCTTCAACCCGGCTGAAGGGTATAGATGTTGTCTTCAACATCGACATTTACTCGAAACTGTCAGGCTTATTATGTATAGATATCACAGACAAGGGGCCTTATCAATACCATTTGTTCAAGGCTTCAAAGCCAGTATATTATTACTCAATGATACCGGTAGAACACAACTATTTGGAAATAGCAATCGAACTGGGACCCACGCTTCAGCGGAGAGAACTATCTACGAACGTATCTGGGTAAGTCTAAAGAAAGCAATGCATACCAGAAATCCAGCGTTGTCGATGCATCAATAGTAAGCATCCTCTTCTTAAAAGATTCCGTATGCTTCCTATTTTAATTTACTCATGGTTAGATCCTATAGGACTTCTAAATCTCAATCCACCACAAAAAACAGTAGACACGCCCGACGCCATTCCTCGCTGTGTGAGGGGAATATCCCCAGACAAATGTAATTCCAGAGTATTGCCCATGTTCCCCCCTCTCCATCACTCCACAGCCTAAGCAGATACACTAAAGAAAACGGCCATAGCACATGCATGGTATAGTGAATAGAAGCGCTCGTGTCATGTCGTTAAAGCAGAGATGGAAAAAAATAGAGAGATAATTTTTTTAGACACCATTGCGGTAGATCTGGGATCCGCCAGAGCGGATCTGGACCGTATCTCTTCTCTGCAGAACGACAAGAGCCCGGTTGAGGGCTTGCTCCGTGTATCCTCTTCCATCGACAAATTCGCGCCGAAGGGTGGCCAGACTGGTGCTCCACCCGATAGGTAGGCGGCGCTTCAGCTCGTCTTCAATCTTGGTCACTTCCTCCATGAGCTCCTTGCTGCCCTGTCCTTCGCCCTGGGTGATGGCGTCCATAGTAGAAGCCAAGAACAAGCGGATCGCCTCATCCACATGCGCCTCTGTTGCGACGGGGGACAGAGAAAGTTTTGCAAGAGATTCTGTGATACGAACGATGGCTTCGAGCTGACGGACGGTAATGGGGATTGAGGAACGAGCATTGGCGTCAAGTTCGGCCCGGTGAACCTGTTTCCGAATCGAGACAAAGTGCGAGGATAGCTTCTCCGCAGCTTCGGGGGATAGACGAGGTGCACAACGACTAATTTGTTAGCTCTAGCTTTTTCTGAATAGGAATCTACCGTTAATGACTCACGTTCGGCAGTAACTGATATATCGCTTCATCTTATCAAACGGAATCTCACTCTCCACTTGCTCTTCAACACCACGGCCTCCCATGTGGACACCCATGACGTGACGAGCAATGTTCTCATCACGGTTGCGGTCGTGATCGTCACGGACAATAAATATCATATCAAATCGAGACAAAATGGTCGTTTGGAAGTCAATGTTTTCTCCAGGAGTCTTGAGGTCGTCATATCGGCCGAAGATGGGGTTTGCGGCAGCCAAAACCGAGGTTCGCGAATTGAGAATCGTTGTGATACCAGCCTTGGCAATGGAGATGGTTTGCTGCTCCATAGCCTCATGGATGGCTACGCGGTCCTCGTCTCTCATCTTGTCAAACTCGTCAATACAGACCACACCACCATCCGCAAGAACCATAGCTCCGCCTTCAAGATAGAATTCGCGAGTCTGGTGATCGCGCTGCACTGAAGCAGTCAAACCAGCGGCCGATGAACCTTTACCAGAAGTGTAAATAGCGATAGGGGCGACTTTTTCGACAAACTTCAACAACTGAGACTTGGCAGTACCAGGGTCACCGAGGAGCAACACGTTGATATCTCCACGGAGCTTCATTCCATCCGGGAGAATTTTCTTCGAACCACCCATCAACAGACAGACAATCGACTTCTTAATATCCAGATTCCCGTAGATTGACGGGGCAATGCTTTGGGTAAGCGCCTCGTACAGGTCCGGCCTGCGACTCAATTCAAGAAACTCCTGTTCTTCTTCCTCGGAGAATATCGCGTTCCCCTTGGCCGTGTGATCCAAGTCGGTGACGATACCGACCGCTCGCATGTAAGGGTTCCGGATAGCTACGGCCGCATCTTTCTTGCCACCCTTGGCTTGGTAGATGGAGAAGATACCCATGATAGAGCACCGCGATCCGGGAACCACTCGATTTGCCAGGTAGCGATCTGCAGAGACAAGCACATGACGTGGTAATTCTCCCACAGGCACTTGGTCGGGGGCTTCTTGTAGCTTCAAGACTTGCTGGTCGACGAACTGACACTTCTCATGCACAACGACATAGGGATCTAGCGGACACTTTTCTCCCGGCTGATCACCCGGCTGTTGCTCTCGCCCGCAGCGCCTAGGCAGGGTCATACCGGAGAATCCGCCTTCCACCCGAATGTTCTCGGTATGTTCGCAGCTCTTGCATCGGATGTGGACCAGGGTTGCTTTTGACGAGATTGTCGAAGCACCAATGACGATGCCCGGGATACGGATCAGATGAGAGATATTGTTCGCATTAAGATCACGGATCGAGCGAGAGTTCTCGGTAGAGCGCAGCAATAATTGATGGGGAGGCAGCTCGATGTCACGTTGACCCGGGTAGACAATTCTCTGTGTGCATTGTTGAAGAGCAGCCTCGAACTAGATGATTGCGCCGGAGCCGAATCAGCTGCCAGCCGATATCACACGATTTAAGAGACTAATTGAAACTCACAAGGGGTATCATCTCTGCAGGTTCCGTGGAGACCTTGTGTTTGAGCTCTTCATCGTAATTACCCAAATGTGTCATCTCGACATCGCAGTAGTATTGCTTGACGAGAACATTCTGCCTGAGTTGATCTCTAATGTATATTAGCCAACAAGAGTCATCGGGATTTTTTTGGATCTCAGGGAGAAGCAATTACCGATAGATGAAGGCATTGTCTAGCTGGAATTCAAGGATGAAATCTCGCAGCCGCTGCTGGATTTGTGTGCGAGACTCCCCGGCTCCATCTGTGCTGGGAGCAAGAACGCTCAAAGTAAAGGGAGTACGCCTGTCCATGATAGTCGCCGCGAGCAGAGGTGAAGAATCAATAGGGCCCGATGCTGGTGGTGGTGGTTTGCTTACCGGCGGGGAAGGCAGTTTAGAAGTTGTTGCATTTCTTCGTTCTGCCGGGGAAACGCGAGGGGGACACGTCGCGTCGCACGCGTTAAGTGGTTACCAATAAGGAAACTATGTATGCCTCAGGCACCATATTATGTAATAATAGCGTGGGTTTTCGGATCATGTTTCTTCCGGTCCGGTCTTTGACAGTGTGACCAGCGCCTTACCGGATCGGGATGGGCGTGATGCTCTAATCGACCCCCATGTTGTTGGGCTTAGTTATTGCAAGGAGGCAGTGATTACCGATTACGCATACGTGGTCTGGCACTGGGTTTTGTTATCCGAGGGCATTCCTTCTCGGTGATTGTGGGTACTGGCAGAGAACTCGCCGAGGGAGTCTTGTTTCTAGACCTCGACGCTGTCTTGTCATGCTCGGATAAGGGTGCCCGCGTGTCTACGGTGGCCTTTGGATTCGGCCGTTCGATACCGAAGCGATGTCGTCCGCAAGCCCCCGGAAGTCGATCGACAGCATTGCTTCTGGAGCCTCGACTCCCTCATTGTCTCAGTATTCGGTGAACCAAGCGGAATCACCCCGAGTGGCGCCCCAACGGTATGGGTTGAGGAGAGGCTCGACTGCGAGTTCGATCGCGAGCATTGGGGGAATCTTGGACCCATCCCACAACTACTCGTCAATAGCGGAATCGGGCCAAAATGGTGAATGATTAGATTTTCCTTTTCATCGTCTTTGTGAGAAAGTGCCTGCTAACGTTACGGATTTCTCAGCAATTTCGACGCTTCTCCAGCCCCCCATCGTCCGTACGGGGTTGGTCCCCCACACCGCTGTTGCTACGACCGGATATAAACCTCCTACATCTCGAGATATTCCCCCAGTAACGTTGACGAATATTCCTCACGTGGAATCGAAGTCCTTTCAACCCTATCTGTCGCAGGTGGGATCTCTATACGACGCCTTTCAGCAAGCCAAGGAAAACACGGCAGACCAGGAACGGCCGCTTTCCAGGGCGTCCTCTAAACCAACTTCACCGAAACTAGACGAATATGATGGGTTCTTGTCTAGGCCGCTCGAGCGGCGGCCCTCTGCAATCTCGGTTGGCTCTCGTGCAACGTCACCTTTCGACCCAAGAGGAAGAAGGCGCTCCTCGAGTGGCCGAGGCCGCGGCCAAGGGGTTACCCCTCTATCTACCATTCCACAGATCTATTTCGACGACAATTTCCATCTGGAAAACCCGCGAGTCTTTGATGTGGTTTCTGAGAAGTCGGAGGTGGTGCGACCGCCACTGAAAACGGGCAAGGACGATAAGGGTACGAACGGAGCAGCTGTTGAGCCCAGCTATTCTGGCCGTAAGGCACTCGCCACGAATGCTATTCTACAGGAGAAGCTCTCGTGGTATATGGATACCGTGGAAATCCACCTTATCTCCTCGATCTCCACGGCATCAAAGTCTTTCTTCACGGCGCTGGGATCTTTGCGTGAACTACATTCGGAGGCTGCTGATTCGGTGAGACGGATCCAAGTCTTGCGGAAGGACCTTCAGAAGATCGATAAGGAAATGGCATTGGGTGGGTTGAAGATTGTCAACCTTCGACGCCGGCGTGAGAATGTGCGCATGCTGGCTGACGCAGTCACGCAGCTACGTGAAGTTATTGATTCCGTGCTGAGGTGCGAAGGATTGGTCGAAAATGGCGATATAGAAGAAGCCGCCGACGGACTTGAAGAGGTTGAGAGGTTGATGGCAGGGGAAACGGTTTCAAAAGTCTCTGAGGAAGGGGCCGAGTCCGCCGAGCACCCCAGAAAACGTCTTGATCTCCGACGTCTCAAGGCTCTTGAGGGGGCATCTGATGACCTTAATCAACTGAATCATCGGATTGGAATGGCATACGAAAGCAGGTTCCTGAATGATCTCCTCGGAGATCTTAGACGACACGTGGAAAACGTTTCTGGAGAGATCACTTTGCTGCGTTGGGGCTCGTCGTTCCAGAGACAGCGAGGTGCTCAGCGGACAGCAGCAGCTTCCTCCCCGGCCTATATGGTCTTTGACGACGAGCTTCGAAGTAGACTGCGCTCACAACTTACGGGTCTTGCACGTGCTCATCACACCACGGCAGCGGCAACCTCGTTCAAGACGGCAATCCTGAAGGAAATGAAGGGTCTAATTCGCAAACACCTACCAAGCTCCAATGAAGATGATAATGAATCCATGGCATCCGTCTCTACACACAACGACCGGCATCTCAGTCAGCATGAGAAATCGTCCATTCTGGCTCGCAACCTTCGCGCGCTAGATCCCGAGGATGCCTATCTGATGCTGAATCGAGTGTACACTGGGGTTAGTGAATCACTACGAAGACTCAGCGTCCAGGTCAAGATTTTGTTGGACATTGCGAGTGGATTAAGCAGTCCGATGGGGTCGAGCCTGAAGTCGCCTCCTCGGAGCCCCAATGTTCCGAAAATGGACTACATTGGTGAGAAACTAGTCGCAGATGGCAGAATGACCGCGGCCATCATGGCGCAAGACGAGATTCTGCAAGTCCTCGACATGTCTAGTCTGTTGGGCCAGGCGGTCGATATCTCTCAGTCGCAGATTACAAAGGTTCTGAAAGTGCGCTCTGAACAAACATCTCAGCTTCCGGTCCGAGATTTCTTGAAGTATTTCACGCTGAACCGGCTCTTTGCGGACGAATGCGAGGCCATCTCCGGCCGAAGTGGAACCGCGCTGAAGACCGTCGTTGGAAATCACATCCGAGACTATATCACCAGATTTGGCGAGAACCAGCGCCACCGCTTGGTGGAAGTAATGGATTCCGATCGATGGGATGCCAGGGACTTTGGAGACGATGAGAATGCTACTTTGTCCAGGATTCTTGAGGCGAGCACAAAGGATATCGATAGCTGGGCAGAAGCCTCAAAGATTTGGCTTCCGGTAGGGGCCAAGGACCAGCCACAGGCAGTTCAGACGAACGGCACAACCGTTAATGGATCCGGCAAGGAGAGGACTCGCAGCGCAGTGATTGACGAACAAAGATACATCCTTCCCGAGTCTGCCCTGGCGATGATGAAGAGCATTGAAGAGTTTGAGTTCCTGGTGACGAACATTCCCAGTATGATGCAAGAAATCGGCTCCAATCTATTAGAGTCCTTGAAGTTGTTCAATTCGCGCTCCTCTCAACTTATCCTCGGCGCAGGAGCTACCCGGAGTGCAGGTCTGAATAAAATTACAACCAAGCATCTCGCGCTCTCATCACAAGCGCTCAGCTTTATCGTCGCATTGGTGCCCTATGTTAGAGAATTCTTCCGTCGTCACTCTCAGTCCAGTCCGCTCATGGCGGAATTCGACAAAGTCAAGCGTCTCTGTCAGGAACACCAATCTGGGATTTCCGAAAAGCTGGTGGACATTATGAGTTCCCGGTGCGCGATGCATGTGGAAACCATGAGGAAGATTGACTGGGATGCTGCTCCCAGCTCTTCCGCCGTGAGCCCGTATATGGACACACTGACTAGGGAGACGGGCACTTTGCACCGGGTCTTGAGCAAGCACCTTCCCGAAAGCTCCGTGATGATGATCATGGTGCCCGTGTTTAACAGCTATCGAGAGCAATGGTCGCGGGCATTCCAGGAGGCGAACATCACCACAGAAGCCGGAAAAAAGAGGTAAGGCTTGCACTCCGTGTCTTTTGATGGATGATTTTTTGTTTCCTTTTCAACTAACAGAACTTCAGGATGCAAAATGATCTTGAATATTTCAACGCCCGGATGAGCAAGATCAACGGCGCTGGCAACCTAGGCGAACATCTTCTCTCCTTGATCCAGTCGAAACCCATCACGTCACCCCCTCCTGCGAAAGACTCCACGGCGTCACTGCCTCTTCCCCATCCGGAGCCCTCAAAATCACCATCCAACTCGAGTACCTCGGAGAAAGGCTCCCCGAAACCGGCAGATGCATAGCATGCTATCAGCATCTGGACCAAGACTTCTGATGGCCGGTAAGAAATTGGAGGAGTGTACACATAATATATTCATTTGTCAATTACTTTTTTTCTTTTCTTTTCTTTCTTTTTCTTCTCTATTTTGTCTGAATGATAGACAAATGGTTTACAAAGCGATAATTTAGATTTCAGCCAATACCATTACTCTCTCGGCATATAGATAGATGTCTTTACCGCCGTCAGTGTACAATTCATTTATTCATCAAAGCTGATAGTCCATTCTTAGAAAAGAAACCCCAATTACTCAACATATAAGTCAGGCCTTGTGCGCACCCAGCCCCTTCTGTTCGCCTAAACTCTTGGGCTCATGGCCCCCCTTCCCACTCTGATGTCCACTACTGCCGCCACCGCTGAGGATTCCATTCCCACCCATAATTTCAGGGAGGTCTGCGACATGCTGCGTGTGGCTCAGATCCGCATGCTGCTCGTGTTAGATGTGACACGTCTCTCTGACCTAGGTGTGTTTGACTTACAGCTGGGTTTGTGCCGTGGACCTTTGTTGGGCCTGCGTCGATGGCGTTATCGCTCTGGGGGATCTTGTTGTCGAATTCGGCTCCGCGAGGCATGATGATTGAATTTAACGATGTGAATATGATTGATTCTGAAAAGATTAGTCTTATCCAACATTGATATTCGATTCAAGTGTACGTACGCAAGCGATGTGTGGCGTTAGTATGGTGAAGATTGCTTTGTAGGAGTTGTCCTTCCTCACGATACTCCCTGGATTTCTTCGCTATAAATACATATTCTTCGTGATCGAGAAGCTTGATCTTCTCTTGAAACTTGACACCATTATGAGGTCAGTGTGGAGAAGAGTATGACTTCACCAAATAACCAGTTGTATTGTAGGACCATGATGGAGATCAGCAACGACATCCATTTCTATTCTATTCTATTTAATGTGCTTGTTCTATTTTAATCTGTTTCTTTCATCGTCTGACTCGGGTTATTGACGTGGATGGGGACTAGTAGTAGTTAGTTATAGGGATCCAACTTTAAACTATGCAGTCTAAAATTCGGATCAAAGACACTCCCTTACTCATCACTCGGATAAACACGTTGATAGATGCCGAACTAGGTACTAGATCTAAAGACTAGGGTCCACAAACGTAAGAATCAGGAGGAGTTCCAGGCGAGGTAGAGTACAAGATTAAGATGAAGAAGGTATACGAAGTTGGAGAACAGCAGGCGATGTCGAGCAAACATCTCAAACAAGACAAACAGCTTACTCCGTATCCCCGGCTATCTCCGCGCACTTTGCATGGTTTTGCATCGGTCAATACGACAGCATGTGTAGATACAAACATCTCAAACAAGATAAACAGCTTACTCCATATCCCCCGGCTATCTCTGCGCACTTTGCATGGTTTGCATCGGTGTAGATGCAAACATACTATGCCCAAGTATTTAAAGCGTAGATTCGGCGTTCAAGGATAAGAATATCCACAGAACCATAAAGATTGTATTCTCTTCAATTGACGAACCGGAAAAAAAAATCATGTCTATGACAGCTGTCGTGATCCGCACTGCTGGTGGTCCTGAAGTGCTCAAACTCGAGCGTCTCCCCATACCCACCGTCAAATCCGAGCATGTGCTTATTCGCATCAAGGCCTTTGGTCTCAACCGCTCAGACCTCTTCATACGCCAAGGCCATTCCCTCGGCGTCACAAGCGTCGCATTTCCTCGGGTGCTGGGGATTGAAGCCGTTGGCGTGATCGAGTCGGCCCCAGGGCTGGAGGACCGGTTCCCGCCAGGAGCAAAAGTCGCAACTGCAATGGGAGGGATGGGGCGTGCATTCGACGGTGGATATGCCGAATACACCTCTGTTCCAGCCAAGCAAGTCCAAGTGCTGGATACGACTCTCCCCTGGGAAGTACTGGGTGCGCTGCCGGAAATGTTGCAGACGGCCTGGGGATCGTTGATGAAAGCGCTTGAACTTGAGGAGGGAGACCGCCTATTGATACGAGGCGGCACAACCTCGGTGGGACTGACAGCCGCGGCAATTGCGAAGAACAAGGGGGCGTTCGTGGCATCGACCACGAGGAAAGTGGAGAGAGAGGCATTGCTCAAGGAAAACGGGGCAGATGAAGTCTGGATCGAGGATGGAGATATCGCGGGCCAGCTAGAGAAGAGCGCGCATGAAAAGTTCGACAAAGTGTTGGAACTGGTTGGCACAATTACCCTCAAGGACTCACTTCGATGCGTCAAGAAGGGAGGGATAGTCTGTCTGACCGGGGTCGTCGGGAACGAGTGGACGATGGAGAGAATCAACCCCATGCAGTTGATTCCATCGCAGACAAAGCTGACGATTTATGGTGGAAGCGACGCAAACTTCATGACCACTCCTCTTCCAGATCTGATCAAACAGGTAGAAGAGAACCGGTTAAAAATCAAAGTCGGCCGCGTTTTCCACATGGAACAGATTGTGGAAGCCCACCAATGTATGGAAGATAACGCTGCCGGAGGAAAGGTTGTTGTTTTGGTCTAAAATATTGCACATATAGGATTATTAATAAACATCCCTCCTCTTGAATATCCGCGCGAAGTAACTGTGAGGTAGGAAAGCTTGTGTAAAAAAACAAGATTAACCCTTTCTAGCTAAAGATGAATACTTGCGTGGGTCCCGGCGGCGAGAAGTTTTTGCTTGCGTACCACGCTCTAGGACAAGTACCAAGTCCTCTTGATTTTTAAAGCCATCATAGAAAGCCATCAAATCATCTTCATGCCTCGTTCGGTGCGAAGGATGTTTTTCGGTCCCCTGGTAGACTGGTCGCGAAAGGGTTCGAGAGAGTTCACTCGGAGCATCTACTGGTCTATATGTGACCGCAGCCCTGGAGATCGTACTCGATGCTTCAAAGGGTGTGTCGGCACCCGGGAGGCTTCCGTCTTCTGATTCAGACTCGGACGCGGGATCTGGGTTGGTGACTATCCATGGGGCGCCTCTATTGACATACCTTCCGCTGCAAAAGTAGCAGCCATTCGGCGTTCTAGGATCATCGGTGTAAGTTGGAGAGTCAGAGGTGTCACCGTCGTGAAAAATTCGATGAGTTGGCTTTTGTCGACCCAAGGGTACCCAGTATTGCAGTTGAGAAGAGATTCTTGTTGCAAACTGGTGTGTTCGGTTCCAGAGGCACTGAGTAAGTTTCTTCATTCCCAATATATCTTGCAAAGACGATGAGGTCAAGCACGGTGGAGAATTATAGTCTGAAAAAAGGAGAACACTCTGATACTGTGCTACCACGAGGACATTAGTAGACGTCGGGTATTTAAAGGAGTCTTTTGAAGTTGGGAAAAGAAGACCCTGTTTCCCTGAGCAGCTTTCTTCAGTCAACAACACAAGGTGACTTGTGGCATTGGGTGACTTGACAGACAACCGAAACATCTTAGACATCGTCAAAGTCACCCCAATGCTACATTTTTTGTAAAGTTGCATCGCATAGGGGTATGGTTTCTTTGTGTATGTCTTTCATACACAGAACCCTTCACGACTGTTGCCTGATGCAACAGACGCAAAGGTTCCCCCTCCTACCCCATGGAGAGCATTGGCTTGTGCTTATTTTCAGTCCTCGTCTGTGTCTGAGCAGGGCTGCGATGTCGGGACAGCTGGCACAGGCCAATCTCCACCCGAGTCGAGAACGGTCGGCGTGGAGAAGGACATTATTAGTCTGTATTACTATTCCCATAACAACAACATTTCTTTGGTCCGTCAATAAGAAATCATGGCCGAAAGTCGGGTGAACGAATTCGGTCTAGGCGCAGAGATGTACTCCATACTCCAGAGTCTGTACTCTGGACAATCAGTCAACAATGAGTGGCTGGTATGGTGCCTAATTGTCGAAACATAACGCACTCACAGACAGGATGGAAATGACAGAGCTAGATTTCCTAACCAGCCAGAAAAACCACGGAATGCTAGGATCAAACGTCGTTACCGGCGATGGCCGCAGACAGAGGTGCCGCACGTTGCGCTTTGCCGACCCGAGCTCGAGTCACGGGATCACTCACTGGTCCACGGTCCACCGTCCACAGTCGAGTCCTCAGTCCGCACACTCCACAGGCTAAATCCCAGCCGTTAATAATAATAATGGGGAAATCCATCCACACAGACGGCCAGAGTCCGATGCAATAGTACGGAGTAGACAGATAAACTCTTGACCAACCCTTGGCTGTACCCCGTATACCCAGGAGATTCGACTGAGTATACTAGTAGCCTGTAGGTACAGAGTATTGTACCGGGAGTGTAGAGTGTACAGACCACACTGTACACTGGCTCGGAAAAAAGGGGAAGCAACAAACAAGGCAAACGGGGCAAACAAACAAGGTCTCACATGACTAGAACACCGGCCATGACGTAATGGCGGCGTTGCGCCGGTCGCAGCTTCCCCGGATCAGCAGGAGGGACAACCAGAGGAGGCAGGAAAGAGGACGGGCGAGTGACAGGCGAAAGCGATGAATATCGCCTCTGGCGGGGGAGACGCACGATCATCCCCAAGGCGGATTGTGCCATTGACTGCTGCGTGACTGGTTGAGAGGCTGGTCTCCAGGCCAGGTAGGGGTTTTCGACAGCTACGGCGCGACGAATCGTCCATTGTTCCATTGGCGATCCTTGTACAGGATACAAGTGGCGGCTGGGACTCTTTTTCTGAGACAGTCTTACGATCGCTCTGCTCAAGGGGACATTATTCTTCTTACCTAGTTAGCGAGCCTGCGTCACCCTACGGAGGTCCTGACTGCTGGGTTCCCGGCTTGCTGAGGAAACCGGCCCGCCATACTCGCCGGGAACAGGCTAGTTAAAAGCAATCTCTGGCCGTGCTCCTAATCTTCTTCTTTATTAGTCTCTGGTCGTCGTCTGGGATAGACTTGCAACACCCGAAACCCCCCCCATCATTTCCCTCTCCTGTCTTGCGAGTCGTGTGGCTGTCTTGTCTCCTCCAGCAAGGGTAGGTTCGGTTCCCCTCTCCGCACAGATCTCCGCCACCTCTAGCTCTCTCTGTCCCTCTCTCCCTCCCTCTCTCCCTCCCTCTCTCTCTCTCTCTCTCTCTCTCTCTCTCTCTCTCTCTCTCTCTTCCACCACCCCCTCTCTTCAGCAGTCGCGGGGAATTTCGACTTAGACGAGGCAGCTTACCGGCCGTGGGTGAACGGTGTTTCCTGCTTCCCGTCTTTTCTGTTATTTCGCGCTGATTCCTGCTAGCTCTAGTCCCCAGAACTTTCCACCCTCCAAAACCGTAAGGACCAGTGGCGCCATGGCCAGCGAGACGAGTGAATCGGAGCCCGTCAAGCGTGATGTGCGCAATCACATACTGTTTGAGATAGCCACGGAGGTTGCTAATCGAGGTATTTTCACTGCACTCGCTTTCAATTGAGACTCCGGAAACGAGGCCTAATACCCTCACCTAGTGGGAGGAATCTACTCTGTCTTGAAATCAAAAGCTCCAGTCACCACTGCTGAATATGGCGAGAGGTATACGCTTATCGGGCCTCTCAACCGCAACTCGGTAGGTACAAGAGACTTTTTTGTCTTTTTTTCCTATTTCTTCTTTTTTATTTTCTTTAGAAAAAAAAAAGAGACAAATTGGTTGACTTCGTTCGTCCCTTGCAGGCTGCGGTTGAAGTAGAAGAGCTCACGCCGTCGAATCCCGCTATGATCGAAACGATCAAGTCGATGAAGGAACGTGGAATCGAAATTGTGTACGGGCGTTGGCTCATCGAAGGTGCTCCCCGAGTGCTTCTCATCGATACTGGAACAGGCTATAAATACCTGGATGAGTGGAAAGGGGATCTCTGGAACACTGCTGCCATCCCCTCTCCATCTGCTGATCATGAGACCAACGAGGCCATCGTGTTCGGTTACCTGGTGGCTTGGTTCTTGGGAGAGGTGAGTCTATGAGTGTCGGAGCTTGCGTGATAAGACTGACCATTTGGCCCTAGTATATCGCCCATGATCAACGCCGTGCGGTTGTTGCTCACTTTCATGAGTGGCTTGCAGGTGTTGCCTTGCCTCTGACGAAGAAACGGCACATGGATCTCACTACGATCTTCACCACGCATGCCACCTTACTGGGCCGCTATCTCTGTGCTGGCTCGGTTGACTTTTACAACAATCTGCAGTTCTTCGACGTGGATGCAGAGGCCGGGAAGCGCGGTATTTACCACCGGTATTGTATCGAGCGAGCGGCTGCCCACACGGCGGATGTCTTTACCACCGTTTCCCATATCACAGCCTTTGAGAGCGAGCACTTGCTAAAACGCAAGCCCGATGGTGTTTTACCTAATGGCCTGAATGTCAAGAAGTTCTCTGCGATGCATGAGTTCCAGAATCTGCACTCGCAGGCCAAGGAAAAGATCAATGACTTTGTGCGTGGTCATTTCTATGGACACAATGACTTTGACCTGGACAACACCCTGTACTTCTTTACGGCGGGTCGGTATGAGTTCCGCAATAAAGGCGTCGACATGTTCATTGAAGGTCTTGCCCGCCTCAACCACCGTCTCAAGGCTAGCGGATCCAACCTCACCGTTGTCGCCTTCATCATCATGCCTGCCCAGACCTCATCACTGACAGTCGAGTCCCTCAAGGGACAGGCAGTCGTCAAATCCCTGAGAGACACTATTGAGATGATCGAGAAGGGGATCGGCAAGAGAATGTACGAGCGGTGTCTCTCGTGGAAGGAAGGGGACAATATGCCCGACGAGAAGGATCTCATCACGAGTCAGGACCGCGTGCTCTTGCGCCGCAGGCTATTTGCCATGAAGCGCCACGGTCTTCCTCCCATCGTTACGCACAACATGACCAATGATTCAGAGGACCCGGTTCTGAACCAACTGCGTCGTGTGCAGCTATTCAACCACCCCTCAGACCGAGTCAAGATCGTCTTCCACCCCGAATTCCTGAACTCGTCCAACCCCGTATTACCCTTGGATTATGACGATTTTGTACGAGGCACCCATCTCGGTGTCTTCCCTTCCTACTATGAGCCCTGGGGCTACACGCCCGCGGAATGCACTGTCATGGGCGTTCCCAGCATTACCACGAACCTCTCTGGGTTCGGCTGCTACATGGAGGAGCTGATCGAAAACTCCTCCGATTATGGAATTTATATTGTCGATCGTCGGACGAAGGGCGTGGATGACTCGGTCAACCAGCTGGGCGATTTCATGTATAATTTTACATTGAAAAGCCGGCGTCAACGCATCAACCAGCGCAACCGGACGGAGCGGCTCAGTGATCTCCTGGACTGGAAACGTATGGGCATGGAATACGTGAAAGCTCGCCAATTGGCATTACGCAGAGGTAAAGAAAAGCCACATTCCCTTGAGCCCGATGAAAGCCACAGGATGCTAACCATTGTGCTCTGTTTCAGCATACCCTTCGTCTTTCTCAGAAACCGAGGACTTTTATGACATTATCGGCGGAACAGAACAGAAGATCTCGCGGCCCTTGTCGGTGCCAGGCTCTCCACGAGACCGTTCAGGAATGATGACACCGGGCGACTTCGCATCACTGCAAGAAGGTCGGGAGGGACTCAGCACCGAAGATTATATCGCGTGGAAACTGCCGTAAGTCTTCTTTTCTTCTTTCTTTTGTTTTTCAGGCACCGGAAGCGGGTCTGGAAGCAAGCATACTGACTTCTAGCATAGAGAGGAAGAGGAGCCTGACGAATACTTTTATCCACTCACCCTACGCAACAAGAAGACATCAGATCGTCCAGCTTCACCTCTCGATAGCGTCGCTGATAGCGTCACCGATAACGTCGCCGTTAATGGAAGTAGTAAGACGAGTGAAGCAGTATAGTTTTCATAATGATGATGATAAGTCAGGACGACGATTGTCTTTTTATTTCTTATTGATGTGTATGGGTTGCTTTCCAGTTTATATTGAAATGAATTCTTTTGGCATCATTTACTTGAGCTTTTTTGAGCTCTTTTGAGCGTTTTTACTGATTCATTGAAAGTCTATTCATTTATACATTCTTATATCCCTTTCCATGTCGTTCCTTTTCTTTCATTTTTGGCATTCCCATCACTGTATTGAAGTTGTCTTCGGACCAAGTACAGCATTAGGTGAACCCCCAAAAATTGAACGAGTAAACCTCTATCCATGGCCTATCTCGGAGGGACTCCCCATCTCACAGTTTTGGAAGTCAATATTTTGATTCTCATCGCCGTGGTCGGACGACTGTTCTCCGCCATCTACTCCACATCCCAAAGTCAGTTCGTGGCCGGCTCTTTTCCTCTCCAATGGAGGAGGATACCCCTCTGTCGTGTTGTCAACCTGCTAGAATTCCCTCAGCTTGAACCCCCAATGAATGGCTCCAATAGCTGTTGGTAGCTCCACAACCGCAGCGTGCAGCGTTTGGCCAGAGATGCGTCAGACCTGTCATAGTTACCGTGGGGGCTATATATGACGACTATTTATACATCCAACAATCCCTCCTTCGTGAAGTATTAATTTTCAACTCTTACTCTAAATCCCTCCCGAGCATATTTCGGTACGACTCACAATGGAGCTGCGCAGTCAGGGCCTTTTCGCGTGGGGAGTGTTGTTGGATCAAGGTATCGTACATTGCATCAGAACAAGTCAATGCACGCATGACAGGTGTTCGACACATGCTAGGTGGTTTGAATACACACAGCATGGTCGTTCTGAGATTATACTGTCACAACTTGATCTAGATAATACTAGCGAAAGGACATGCGTGGCTTGAATTGTTCCCTTCTCTACGGTGTTCCCAGCTGAGAGACGCTGGGGATAGCCTGGTGGGAATGTTGTTGTTGTGCTGACTATGGCAGTTTCATCTTGAAAAGAAAAATCAATCATGTCTACTGACAAGATCACCTTCTTGACCAACTGGTATGAGCTAGGGCCAGCTTACTATTTATATGCTTGTCTCTTGGGAGAGGAAAGAAAGAAGACAAATGGCTAACAAGTCAGGCACGCTACGCCATACCATATCCCGCTGTACCTGGCTCAGTCCAAGGGATACTTCAACGATGAGGGTCTTAAGGTCGCTATATTGGAGCCCAATGACCCCTCCGATGTGACGGAGATCATTGGAAGTGGCAAGGTGGACATGGGTTTCAAGGCTATGATCCACACCCTGGCGGTGCGTGCTCCATCCACACTACTACTTACGCTGAATCTCAGTACACTTGCTCATACTCTGCAGGCTAAAGCCCGAAACTTCCCCGTCACATCTATCGGGTCTCTTCTCGACGAACCTTTTACGGGTGTCGTCTACCTCAAGGACAGTGGCATCACCACCGACTTTCGTTCCTTGAAGGGCAAGAAGATCGGCTATGTCGGCGAGTTTGGGAAGGTGAGCTCTCTGCACTGGCCTACAATCCCAATCCATTTGAGCAGTGTCTAACGAAACCAATCAGATCCAAATCGACGAGCTGACCAAGCACTACGGGATGACCGTAGATGATTACACCGCGGTGCGGTGCGGGATGAACGTCAGCAAGGCGATCATCCGCGGGGAGATCGACGCGGGGATCGGCCTGGAGAACGTGCAGATGGTTGAGCTCGAGGAATGGCTCGCAAGCCAGGGCCGCCCCAAGTCGGACGTGCAGATGCTGCGCATCGACGAGCTCGCCCAGCTGGGCTGCTGCTGCTTCTGTTCCATTCTGTACATTGCCAACGACGCCTTCCTGGCCGCCCATCCGGACAAAGTGGCTGCCTTTATGCGCGCCGTCAAGCGCGCGACTGACGACGTGCTCGCCAACCCCGCCGCCATGCTGGAGGAGTACATCGACCTCAAACCTATCATGGGCTCCCCCGTCAACCGCAAGATTTTCGAGCGCTCCTACGCCTACCTAAGCCGCGACCTGAAGAACGTTCGCCGCGACTGGGACAAGGTCACTCGCTACGGCAAGCGGTTGGGCGTTCTCGACGAGGCTTTCGTGCCTAATTACACCAACGCCTTTCTTTCCTGGTCGCTCGACAGTGACTCTGCCGACCCCGTTGGTGACCAGAAGCGCATGGCAGCCTTGCAGAAGGAAGTCGCGGTTGAGGGTGGCTACAAGAGACTGGAGATCGAGACGGTCGCTTGATCAATGTTGTTACCAGCTGTTAGAGTCAAATTGTCATTCATGTCCTCTAACCATACGCTCCATATAGTAAATATTAGATGAGATACAACATGCCGACTGTAGCTGTTTATATCAACCACCACTAGAATAATTTATTATTCTAAAAGAGATCAACTATGTAGTACTAGTATATAAGTATAATCCTAGAAGAATCAAATGATTGACCGCTCCTCAGATGATTTTTAATCCCTTTCTGGTATAAAGTATGTCTTATTATTGAACTGCTCATCAGCTGCAATAAACAACCACGCGGCTGTTACGCGAGTCAACGCTACATCCTCTTCATCCTCACCATCTAATGAACAAAGACTAGAAACTGTTATAAATATCGAACCCAACTTTTCGATGAGTTCGTTACTTGTTCGAGTGCTCCAGAATATCCTACGGCAGCCCACCGCATCCAAGACTCCCTTCGCCCCGACTTATTCAACAATGAGCCAGACGGAGCAGTGCTTATATTCCTCGTCTATCGACGCTGAGCCTCTTCATCGCTATGAAAAAGGGGGATACCATCCAACAGCACTGGAGATTGTTGGAAAGACGGCAGATACAAAATACTGCATAAATTAGGATGGGGGGTTACTCGACTGTGTGGGCTGCGAGGGATCGAAAGTTGCAGTTTTTCTCTCCCTGATAAATTCGTGAAACTGAGACTAAATTCCGTTCTAGGAAGGGAGAATATGTTGCCGTCAAGATCTGTGTATCAGACAATGAAAACTACGATGGAAACCGGGAGCTTCGAGTCTTGAAGCAGATGGCAGCTACAAGCCCCCGGTGTGAACACATCGTTCGCCTGTTGGATGATTTCGATCTGGAGGGCGCAAACGGCAGGCACAAGTGTCTTGTTATTGAGCTTATAGGCCCGAGTATCCCTGAGATGATTACTGCGCGCTTTCATGACGGTAGGCTCCCTGGAAAGGTTGCGAAAGCCATCGCGAAACAGGCTCTTTCCGGGCTTGACGCCTTGCATCAACAAAAAATAGCACACGGAGGTAAGGCAGATTGCTACTTCAATGCCTCTGAGATAAATTGGATCTGACTTGACTCAAAACTAGACCTGCACATTGGCAATCTGGTCGGCACCATGCCTCCGATGAACAACCTACCAGAAGAAAGATTCATTGAGATGCTAGGAAAACATGAAATCTGACTCGTTCAAAGGAGCGATCACCAAGCTTTAGAGTATGGCGTGCCAGAATATATCGTCAGGCCTGCATCGTTCCAAACGCATCCCCCTTCACGTCTTTTATCCGCCTTGCCTGAGATCAGGCTCGTTGATTTCGGAGAATCATTCTCGCAGACACATGTCCCCCCGATCCTCCATACCCCGTTAGCACTACGAGCACCCGAAGTCATTTTCAAGGATAAGCTGGACCATCGAGTAGATTTGTGGAGTATGGGCTGTATGGTACAATATCAACCCCGAAGCCTCGGGTTCCTTCTTTCATTGCTAATGACATAGCTCTTTGAACTGTTTGTGGGCCAACCGCCATTCGACAGCTTTTTGATAACACCCAGGATGCTAGTCGATCAAATGCAGGAGATGACCAGTCATGCGTTGCCTGGCAGATGGAAAGATCTATTGACTACATTAGAAGGCCAATCGAGCACGGAAACGCCGGGACCTGGCCTGCAACAATGGTTAGATGAGATGTATTTTGATGGCGAGCGCAAGGCCGATCTGACAAGAGAATATATTAGAAGATTGGGAGAGATTATTGAAATGTTGCTGCGATTCGAACCATCGAGCAGGGCTTCGGCGGGAGAAGTCTTGCATGACGCATGGTTTGATGCTAGTCTTAGCACTCAACTGTCAGCAAAAGAATCTGATTAAATATGATTATTATGTTGAGAATTATACAGTCTCCTTTTGTAAGAGAACCCTGGACTCATCGCCCTCTTCTTCATCTTCCTGCAACTGTCTCCCTAGCTCGTCTGCCTCCTCCCCGTCATCTCCATCCACCCAATCCTTCTTTCTGAGCAGCGCAAAGTCAGCCCCGACATGCTCCATGTCGTCGTCGTCGTCGTCTTCAACGACCAGGTCGTTTAGATCGAAATCGGCCGCCTGCCACGCTGTACCGCCTGCTGCCGCCGATGCACGGGCTCTCTTCTTTGCCCTCGCACGCCGGACGCAGAAGCCAATGAGCCAGGAACAGAAGGCCAGGAGACTCGCTGAACCGAAGCCGACGGCAAAGAAGACCCATGCTTTCATAGAACGACGTCTGGCTTTTTCTTTCGCCTTGTCGTCTACAACCCCCATTAGGACTTGTACTCCGGAGGAGTCCCATTCCATCGCGACTGTCGTGCCGATGGTGTGTCCTGTCGAGTTCAAGGCCAGGGCGCGCAGGTACGTGTATGTTGTGTCTGTGGGGATGGGGATGGTGGTTTCGAACCCGTCCTTGGCTACGGCGGAAATGAAGTGGAAGTTATCCCCTTCTTCTTCTTCTTCTTCATCGTCATCGCCATCGTCAATGTCTGATCCCTGTAACACCCAGGTCTTGACTTCTGTCGCCCCGTTCCAGCTGACGTAGATTTCGTATCCTTCTAGAGCGATAGCAGGGTTGGTGTTTGGGTCCCCGACCCAGGCATGTTTGAAAACGCGGTATGAGATGATACTGCCGTCGCTGAAGCCCAGCGTCGGACCAAAGTGTATGTCGCACAGCACCTCGCCGTCCATGGTGAACTCTGTCCAGGCAGCGCTGAAGCCGTAGCCCACAAGCACGTTGCCGCTGTCGAGGATCTGCACGGAGCCCTGCGACTGGGAGCTGATGGGCAGCGGGTTCCAGTACTGGTGGCGCACCTTGGCGGTCAAGCTTTCGTGGTCGATGTCGATGAAAAGCCCCCGGCTGGGATTCATCGGGGCGCCTTGACCGCGCGACCCGTTGTCGAAGACGGTAATGGCGTGGCCGTCTTTGTGAAACCGGGCGTGGTGCTGCCAGCTGATGTTGGTGGCAGCCCCGTCCGACAGGTCGGTGAACATGTTGTCCTTGCCGCCCAATTTCCAGATCACCGCGCCTGTGCGACCATCGATATACGCTAGGACATGAAAATAGCGAGAAGAGATAAGGTAGTTGCCCCTGTCGTCCTTGTCGATGCTGTTAATGTGGAAATAGTCCCACGCCTGCTCTCTGCGGTCGCCGTTCCCTTCGCGTCCGCGATACGCCTCTGTGAAGTTGAAGTGTTCTGATGCACGCCACTGGAAGACCAGCTCGCCCGTCTCAATGTCCACCTCCTGGAAAGTCCCATCCCAGATCCAGCCGTCGGCAGATCCGCCGACTGAGCTTAGGTCCGCGGCAATAATATCGTAGATGGTGAAGATGGCAGTGCCGTTGGGAGTGATCTGGAACTCGTGGAGGTCGGCAGGGAGACCGTTGGCAGCTTTGATCGTGTAGGCTACATTATATGACGAGTCGAGCTGTCAATCAGCATGGTTCATACTTCGCAGTATTTTTTTTTTTTAAGAGAAGGGGGGGGGGGAGTGGTTATAGTATAACCATCATCCTACCATATAGTATACCCCATCACCATGCCCGACGACACCATCATTTCCTGTCCAAAACGTGAGATAATCCCTCCCCTTGAAATTATAGATGTTGACATTGTATGTCTGCCCGTACGGCTTGGTCCAGACCAGAGCTCCCTTCTGGTCGAGGATCATCGGCCCAGCGGTAGTCACGCCGCCGCCCCGCGGCGCGATAAGCGTATACTGTCCATCATCGCAGCGCTCGTCGTGCTGTCGGTAGTTGATGACAGGACCGACTTCTGGCGCCGAACGGTAGTATTGATGTGGCCAGGAGCCTTTCAGGCCGCGGTCGTAATCGGCCGACTCGTGATAGGCGGGGATGTCAGCCGCGACAAGGGTGAAGGTGGTCAGGGAACAAAGGGTAGTGAAGGCGACCAGCACTGGAGATACCAACATGATCTGTCTGTCTGCCTTTCTCCTCGAGGGCGCATAGAGGATGGCGACATCAGAGGGAGCTATGGGATCAGACAAACGCTTTTTTTCAGGCTAACAGACCTTGACTAGTTTGTACGGCGTAGCTACCTCGTATGGAGCAATCCGTAGTCCGAAGTAATATATATTGATCAAGCTAGCCTTCATAGGACTACCCTGTGCTTAGTAGTTGAGTCCCAGCAAGTAGCAAGTGCTCCGTACTTTATTATTAGAGTCGCCGTCACTAGTCTTTGTCCGATCTGAACCCACAGCCCACGAATCCAGCCTCGCCATCACAACGGGTGTGACCCTGGCTGCGTAGCTTGGCTCTGGCCCTCTGGAACGCTAGATCATTGGACTCCTTCTGGATTCAAGCCTCCTTCTCTCTCAGGCAGGTGTGCACGGGACCTGTGGACTCTGGACTCTGGACGTTCCTCAGGGGCTGACGGGGGGGTTCTTTGGGGAGGTTCGCGAATGAAAAAATCGCTGGAACGAGGCCGCGTGGCTCGTTACCGATGAAAAACACAATTCTTGCCGCACCAAGTGGTTCCTTAACAGGTCAACCAAAAGGAAACAAGAGATAGCCGACTTGATGAATACGAGGTACTCCGCAGAAATTGGGAAACTCGTTATCCGTAACTATCCCGAGTCAATGAATGTGTCATGCAGCGACCCTGTCCATGATTCGTGCACGGACAGTGTGGATTCGCGAAGCATTACTCCGTATGTAGTATTCTATACTCCGTACTCCGTACCCTGTTGCATTCAATCCTCGTGAGTTATTCGTAGTAATCAGTTAACTAGTTTGTTGGGTGGTAAACCACTTCTCCCCGTAATCTGGTGGTTTTTGGCGATCCGGAGTTGAGCCTATTGTGTCAAAAAGAAACCGTCAGCCAACCAAGCGACTTGGGAATATTCCAGACAGAGAAAAAGAAGGCATCTACTCTGAGCACTCTGCCAAGGGGCTCAGCTCTGCCTCCTCTTGACGCTCGAGGGCGTCGGGGGTATTGTTGATGATACCAGTCGCGTTCGACCACCCAGAGCGTTTCCCTAGCGTTTCCCCCGGGGCATACGGAATAGGAGATGTTTCATGTACCGCAGGTATAGCGGTGGACGTAGATCACCGACTTATTCATCTCCAACAGGCGAATAGGCAAGAGCAGATGTTGCAGCAGGATACGGTGGTGGGTATGCTGGAGAGATTCAGCGGTTCAACGGTTAGTCTGCGTCCGGTTTAAGAATCCGCTTTTGAATCAACAAAAAAAAAAGACAGAAGACTCACCAAGGAGAATTCCTTCGTCTCCTCGAGATGATCGAGCATCTCCTGGGGTATCAGCGTTCATGACCAGGTGTGAACTTGAGGGGGTGTTGTGCCGTTCGTCGAGATGAGACGGAGGTCTTGCCTATATACCTATTCATGAAGTGTTGATTTTCGAGACATACAGGGGAGGGGGGGCTATAAAGCTCAAGCCCAATCATGCCTACGTCGAGATTAAAACAATTACCGATGATCAGTAAACAATCAACAGAGACTGTACTACGTTCATATCCCTGCCTTTATACGGCGAACTTTTCCCCCTCGTCGTTTCTCTGTAGATGTTACACCGTCAAGTATTTGCTAGACAGCGAAGCAATTTGCCCCAGTTCGAAGGGGAGAAAGAGGTGTATTAGTAACTCGCTGTCTGTGACAATAGCATATGGTACGACATGGGAATGATATTAAGTATAAGCATCTATCTGGTCGTTTGAATAACACGAACGTTCAACACAAACATACTTTGTGCTTTTGTCTATGAACTCATTCAAAAGCAGATCAACAACGCCGAGGCACTATCCAGTACCTTCTACTGTAGCAAAAACACAGTTCTCGCCCTCTATTTGCTGCGCTTGTAGATCTTGGCCAGAAACGACTCGAAGACTTCCTTCTTGAGGCCCTCGGCTCCGTCCACGGCCGCAATCTTGGCGCGCAGATCGGCCACCGTGCTCTCCTCGTACTTCTTGTAAACGTTCTCCAGGTCCAGCTCCTGATAAACCACCTTGACCTTGGCCTCCAGCTCCTGGTCCTTGCGGCCGTAGGCGGTGTCGAGGGTCTTGCGTTGCTCCGGAGTGGCCAGCTTCAGAGCCTGGTTGATCATCCACGAGCACTTGTTGTCTTGGATGTCTGTGCCGATCTTGCCGATGACGGCCGGGTCACCATAGGCATCGAGGTAGTCGTCCTGGATCTGGAAGTACTGGCCCAAGGGGATGAGGATGTCGTGCGCCTGTTTGAGGTTGGCCGGAGTGGCCAGCTGGAGGTAGTACAGAGCGAGGGCGACAGGCAGATAGAAGCTGTAGTAAGCAGTCTTGAACGTGACAATAAACATGTACTTCTCCAGGGAGAAGTTGTCCAGGTCCACCTTGTCCTCGGGGGCGGTGATCAGGTCGCACAGCTGACCCAGCTCAGTCTGCCAGGTGGTCTCATGAAAGAGCTCCACCAGATCAACGTATGCAGGATGCGAGCGGAACATCTTCTTAAGGATGATGTAAATACCCGATTCGAGCATGAAGGCGTCGTTGATGGCGATCATGCCAACCCCCTCATGGCGGTACCAGCAGGGCTGGCCACGACGGGTGATGGAGGTGTCCATAATATCATCGCTGACCAGGAAGAACGCCTGGAGCAGCTCAGTCAACCATCCAAGTGTGCTGAGGTGCTTGAACTCTTCCTCCGTCAGGGGTCGCCCCAGAAGAGCCAGCGCCGTGTCCGGCACGGAGAGACCACGATTAAGCTTGCCACCGGGGACGTTGGCGTTGATAGCCTAGACACACACAAAAGACATTAACACAGAGTCCATGAAGCACGATAAATCACCGGAAATGTCACCTTCTCAAGCCACTCCATGGCATTGGCGGGGAGGTTGTACTTCTTCGCATGCTCCAGGAGCTCCGCCCTCAGGGAGGGGAAGATAGCTTCGAAGTCAGCACGCTTGGTGGTGGCCATTTTCTGTATAGTTTTTTTGCTTTTTTAAAGAAGAGTGTAATAAGAAATCAAGCTTTGAGGATAAGCAAGACCGACCGCTCTTTGTGCAGCGACAATTGAGCAATTCTTCCAAAGCCAGAAGGTGGGGAAATCAATCAATTCTGTACAACAGCGTCAAAGGGGCGCCCCCCGGGTTGTTTGTTCTGTTTGTTTCTCCGCCCAAACGGGAAATCCGCAATTGGCAGCTGGAATGGCCGACGTTTTGTTCAACTCTCGTTGCAGCGCGTTGAATCGAGTCTTCTCAGCCGAATAAGAATTCGGGCTTCTGTCTTTCCCGGGTTTTCTATCACTGCATCCTGCGGTATTTCCGAGCTGTCATTGTGGGCCCTCAAAAGATCGCGTCTACAGATCTCGCAGCTAACAAGTGCGACCGAAACAGCAACGCCTCACAAGTCGGTCCAGTCTACTCGACGCTATCTACGGGCTATGAAGAGATAATTCTATAACTAGAAGGAATAGATCATTGTGACGCGCGTGCAAAGATTAACTCGTTTGTTCTGGCGAGAATCGTCGGCTGGCTACAATTCGCAGGAACTTTCTACAGCCACGGGGATAACGAAGACGGCTGTTTTTGACCATGGCGGTCAATTTTACGGAGGAAAATATCAGGGAGCTGAGGTTTCGGCTGGAAGATGCCGCGATAAAAAGCTCGGAGCGTTGTCTGTACCAGTCAGCGAAGTGGTGAGCGTTTTACGCATAACATCTTGGCTTGTCTTCTCTTCCTAGACTGACCGTGACGGTTACCACACAGGGCTGCAGAGATGCTGGACTCATTAATACCGCTTAATGACTATGACACGGACCCAGACTCGCCGATGGATATTACGGAAACGCCGGCCGGTCCCCAGAACCCGTACCTCGCGGTGCAAGACCCGCTGGAAGCCTCGCTCGAGTCAAAAGAAGCCTACAAATACCTCCTCGCGAAATCGTACTTCGACACCCGCGAATATGACCGCTGTGCCGCTGTCTTCCTCCCTCCGACGATAAGCCCGATTTCTCTCTCGACCACCTCACCGAACCCGAAATCCCGCCACTCTCTGACACCGCAGAAGGGGAAGACCAAGGCTCCCCAGTTTACGGCGGGCAAGGACGGCAGTGTGACAAGGAACCCATACCCAAAGCTAAGCCAGAAGTCGCTCTTTCTTGCGCTGTATGCGAAATACTTGGCAGGGGAGAAACGAAAGGATGAAGAGACTGAGATGGTGCTCGGGCCAGCAGACGGTGGGATGACCGTCAATCGCGAACTCCCGGACCTTGCAAGAGGTTTGGACGGTTGGTTCACTGAGCGAGATGAGCAAGGGTTGGCGGATCGAGGCCAGGGCTGGTTGGAGTATCTCTACGGAGTGATTCTCCTCAAAGGACGGAACGAAGCGGAGGCAAAGAAATGGCTGATCCGCAGTGTGCATTTGAATCCATTCCATTGGGGTGCCTGGCAAGAATTAAATGACCTTCTCGCCAGTACAGAAGATGTGAGACCGAACAGTCAGCATGTATATTTGATACGGACCACTGACACTTGACACCTGCAGCTGAAACAAATCGTCGACGACCTTCCCCAGAATATCATGACTCTCATCTTCCACGTCCATTGCAGCCAGGAGCTGTACCAAGCGACTGAAGATACATACCAGTCCTTGTCCGAACTCGAGACCATTTTCCCAACCAGTGCCTTTTTGAAAACACAGAAGGCGCTCTTATACTACCACTCAAAGGGTATGTTTCCGTGCTTTGTCTTGAACCAGATCCTGCTGGTATCCCATATTGATCGCGACTTTAGATTTTGAAGAGGCATCGCATATATTTACAGATATCTTGATATCCTCTCCTCACCGGCTGGACAGCCTCGATCATTACTCCAACATCCTGTATGTGATGGGTGCCCGTCCGCAGCTCGCTTTTATAGCCCAAGTAGCTACTGCCACCGATAAATTCCGCCCGGAAACTTGCTGTGTTGTGGGGAACTACTATTCTCTCAAGTCGGAACATGAAAAGGCCGTCATGTACTTCCGCCGAGCGTTGACGTTAGATCGCAATTTCCTATCCGCATGGACTCTCATGGGGCACGAATACATTGAAATGAAAAACACACACGCCGCAATCGAGTCCTACCGTCGCGCCGTCGACGTGAATCGCAAAGATTACCGGGCCTGGTATGGATTGGGGCAGGCCTACGAAGTCCTCGACATGTCCTTCTATGCCTTATTCTACTACCAGCGCGCCGCAGCACTGCGGCCTTACGACCCGAAGATGTGGCAGGCTGTCGGCTCGTGCTACGCAAAGATGGGCCGGATTGAACAGAGCATCAAGGCTCTCAAACGCGCCTTGGTGGCCGGATCTTACTATGCCGAAGACGCCTCGCAGATCGGCGGGGCAGGCCGTAAGATCCTCGATCCCGAGACACTCCACCAGATCGCTACGCTTTACGAACGCCTGGGCGATGAAGAGGAAGCTGCCGCCTACATGGAGCTCACACTGCAGCAGGAGACCGGCCATGTCGCCCCGGAGGACGACTATACCTCGTCCGACAACGAGAACGACGACGAGCAGTCGAACGCAGGCACCGAGACCAAGGGTCGCTCCCGACGTGGCCAGCAATCGTTCGGGACCTCGAACGAGGAAGAGGAAGAGCCCATGTACGGTACTGGCGTGACGGCAACGACATCCAAGGCGCGTCTGTGGCTTGCCCGATGGGCTCTGCGCCATGGGGACCTAGAACGTGCGGACCAACTGGCTGGCGAGTTATGCCAAGACGGTGTCGAGGTAGAAGAGGCCAAGGCGTTGATGAGAGATGTTCGAGCCCGACGAGAGGGGGGTTAGAATTCTTTCTCTCTCTCTATCTTTTGTTGTGTTGTGTGTTACCAGATCCTAGCGAGGCGTTCGGGACAGATAGAGAGAAGGTATTATTCTTTATCTGGGCAATCCATCCAGTAGCATGAATTCAATTTCCCTTTGTACTTGTCCTTGCTTTGGAAAAAACATTAGCCATGGAATGTCAGAAACATAGCATGAATCAATCCACGATCGGACTCCAAAACAACCCATGTTTGTCCCAGGTCTCCTTGACGCGCTTCAACGACTCGATCTCTTCAAGAGTATACACCTCCCCAACGCCTCCCCCGAGTCGCTGGTTGTTTGCAAAAGTCAACGGTGCCACTCCTTCCACCACGTCCTGCGCTCTGACTGTCGAAAGCACCCTGCTCGCAAACTCGTCCGCCGCCTCCCTCGTCGCCAACGCGGTATACCAGGTCCACGTCTGGACGAATGCGCGGCGGTCTTTCGGCGGGAAAAACGGCCTGGTGTGTCTCGCCTCCAATCCGTCCGCGAGCATCTTGGCCGGGTCCCAACTCACCCACAGCACGACCGAGCGAGCCCTTGCGTCGGGCGTGTCCTCACCGAAACGAAGCCACATGGAGAACGTATCGCGGATGCTAGCAGAAGTCAAGGAGCGCACCATCGCGTTTGCCAGCTGCTTCAGGTTCCCGCGCGTATTCATCGGCTCGACGTCATCGTTCAGTCGTGCAAAGGGCACTCTGCTCGTGTTCGTCGACACCGCCGTGCTCACCACGGTTTCATCGAACAGCACGGCGGCGTGCTTCTCTGCCTCGGCAGAGGCACCAAAGTACGTGGCCGCCACTAGAATCATCGGGCTTCCCGGGGAAGGTGCCGAGGGCGGAGCGCGCATGAAAAGCATTCTGGCGCTCATCGCTGGGGCCGGGTGATCGTGGAGGGTGAGGAAGGCTCTTGCGGCGCTGGCCACCGCGCTGCCTGGGAACATCACCTTGCACACCCAGACCTCGTCGTCAGGGGGAGAAGGCGACATGTGAAGCCTGGAGAACCGGTACACAGGCAGCGTTGCGGAGACGACGACAGCGAGACCGTGTCCTGCACCACAGAGCGCACTGAACAGGTCACCCTCCGCTTCCGTGCTGGCAGGCGTGAGAGTCAGTGCCCTTCCGCTGGCCGTGATGATTCGCAGTGAGAGTATATGGTCGACGGCAATGCCGTGCAGGCCGTTGAACGTGGCCAGGCCACCGCCGAGAAGGAACCCGATCATTCCTATGGCGTTCGAATTACCGGTGACTATGGGTAAATCAGTAATTGTGGGAAGGTGTCGAACTTCTTATTGTTATTACAAGTATAACACCCTTCTACTGTACAGGCCTCAATCACTTCCTTGTTCGTGGTTCCTCCACCGACGGTGATCGATGCACCATGGATGGAGATGCCCTTGAACCTCTTCATTTCCAGATACATGATTTGCGACCCGATAGGGATAAACGGGCTGTAGGCCCCTCCGACTGGAATGACCTTAAGCCCGTTCTCGGCCGCAAACCGCAACGCGGTGATGATCTCCTCCTCGTTTCTGGGCACTGCCACCACCGCAGGATGCGAGACCCCCAGTTCAGACCACCGAGGGATTGTGTCCTGGGCGGGTAGAGAGGTGTTTGGGAAGTAGGCTTCGAAAATAGAGGGTAGCGTAGTTAGGGATGTCTCTGGAGCCATACTTATTATGTAGATACCGCGGTTCTGAATGTGTTATTCAATCAACATATGTGACGATACGATCTAATATCTGTTGAAATATCATGTCAGCCAAGAGCTGATTATATGCCCCCTCAAAATCACTGCTGATGACCGTCTCACGTCATCAGACAAGATTTAGGCGGAAGAGATTATAGACGTGGTAGTAGTAAACCATATCTCTAGAAGCATCATGCTGAAATGATGTTTAGTAAGTTGACCATAGGAATATATTTAATCGTCTAGGCCATTCATTGTCCATAATTAATCAGACGGAGCAGCTACCCGGCCGAGGCGAGCTGCTCAAGCCCCTCAGTCTCGCGATTATCAAACGTTATATATATCGCAGGCTTCATATCTCGACCTTGAGAGCCATCAACGGGGTCTTGGGCCTGACGTAGAAGACTGCTTTCTGCGCAATGATTCAGGCGTTCAGTAGTGCTTGGACCCTGTTTGATGCGCCATGTGAGACAGGCATAGAAATATTCTTCCGCGATCCTCCTCCAGCTGGATCTTGGGTTATCGTTGTTTCTATGAAGGGACAGCATAGCGACATCCATGAATATTACTTTTACTTCATAGACTGACTGACGGTGCCCATTTGCGAGGGTCTTGGACAACCGATTTCCAATTAATGAGAGTTCTTCACCAAGTGAACACTGCCGATCAATAAGAAACAATCCAAGTGGCTGTTCAGAATGAGGATAAGATTGTCGAAGCTGATCTGGATTTTCCAAAGGAATTAGTTGTTGAAGAAAGGGTTCAAGATGCCGGTATCCTGCATCGCTCTGTCCGTTTTGATGAGAACCGCAAGCAAAGCTCCCATCCAATGAGAGATTCGGGCTTATATAGACAGGAACTTTTTTCAGTAGATATTGAACATGAGGATGCTCTGTTTGCAGGCCCATTGAGATAGGCTCGTCATGAGAAACAGTCTCCCGCCTGTTGAAGAAAGTGTCTGGTCCACCGCTCGGCCAAGGCACACGCTCTTCATCCTGGACTGTCTCGGATCGATTTGCTATTAGACAACGTGGAGACGTGCCAAATCTTTCGGTCATTTTGGGCTTCTTGCATAGCGCTCTGTCAGGCGATTCCAGCCTTCGTTTACGCGGGTTCTGATGACCAGAAAGATTTTCATTTTGAGCGAGATAATTTCTCTGGACCGCAGATGATTCTGGCACTGTTGAGACTGAAGTGCCGTCGACATAGATAGAAATACCATCTGCCGGTTCTGCACGTCTTCCAGGATATACTTCATGCTGCACGCTGTGCATCCCTTTCGGAAGGACCTCCACAATTGGGCTTGGTGCGTCACTATTACTGGTGTCATTCGTATCGCTACCTTCAAGAGATGGAGAAGAAGGCCGGGATCCTGAATTAGATGACGCAGTATCCTGGGATCTTTCAGCGGCAGCATGGATCCCTCGCAGGCGTTGCCTCCATCGCTCTTCCTCTTGAGACAATTCCTCAGACGGTACTGACCGAGCTTTCTCAGCTAAAACCTGCAACTCAGAGAATGAAGCCGCCTCTTCAAACGTCCTATTGCAGTGAATCTTCAAGATTCGGGGGAAGCGTAGCGAGAAATATCTTGCATTCGATGGTCGCTCGAAACCGCTCCCCATCATCTCAACTACAAATGGGGTCTTGAAGATATGATCAATTGGGGGCAAGGCTGGGTGGCCAGACTCCACATCGAAGTATTCATTTTCATGATCAAACTTCTGAGAGCTAAACTCACCAAATTGGTTGAGATGCTGCATGCTTCGCGGGCTCATGCAGTGCTGACCGATCACGTCAATTACGCGAAACTTGGGTTTTGCTTTACGCTGGATCACGGCCTCTTGGTTCAACAGACATCCGACGTGGAAGTGCGTCCATAGTAGCCGGCGGGTTTTGTTAACCTTTTTGGCCTCTCGAGGATCATAACTACCCCCAATCAAGGCGAGATCGACTGTATCACCTAGGCCTGGAATGTAATCCTTTTTGAGCTTAATCCAGCGACCAGAAGATGATGTACTATCGCCAGAGGTTAGGAAGGAGAAGTATGGATCGTCACTCCCCTTTAGGACATAGCCTTCCCATCTCTCGACGATGCTTCTCGAAAATGCTTTCTCAAGATGGCTGGGGGCACCCTGACGAGAGAAATCTATGACTGTCTGCTGCGAGATGTCTGCGCGGCCTGGGATCGTTTGGATCAAATCCTTGAGTAAAAGCCGTCTTTCTCTGTGTGGTTTGATTAAGCAAATGTTGTCATCAACAAGCAAGACATCAAAAAAGACCATCATCAGATGCTCTCCCTCCTGAGGTCTAGTTTAGTTAGTAAAATGGTATAGAGCGCATGGCCAACAATACTGACGGAGAATCATTATCTGTTCCAATGGACGTTCCAGACCGCGAGATAAACCTTCTCAGTTTGTGGAAGTCAAGGATTTTCTTCTGCTTATCACTCCAAACAAGTAACTCGCCCTCTAAGACACAACGGCGAGTAAACTTGCAATCGGACTTTCCTATTCTCAAAGACCGATTGATGGCCTGGTGTATCCCTGCTCTATCATACGTGGAATCCTTCCCACTCTTGGAGAAAATTTGGATATAGTTTCCACCTTTGTGAAGATCAATATGAATTTGACAGTATTCGCCGTCATACTTTCTTTCAAGGCTCATTCGGCGGCGTCCGATCATTGCGCAGCAATGTTTAATACTTCTTGCTTTCCAGTAGTCGGGACGTCCTATTTTGATTCCAGTCTTGGGAGTTAGGTGAGACAAAGCCAGAGCACACAGATCTTTGGCAAGGCCTCGCTCTGGCTGTCGTGGGTAATGTTTCATCGGCTCCGAAGAAAGCATGGTCAATGCTGCATCAAACGAGTCTTGGAACAGAAGGAGCTGCGGGAGGAGAAAGTGAAAACAGCCCAGAGTATAGTTGATTGGAACAATCACGGGATAGTAGACCTTCAGGATCATTCGAGTGAGCCATTTGGCATCTCGGCTACTCAGTCGTCGATAAAGCGTCGACAAAGCTTCATCAACATCAACTGCAGAATGTTGCCGTCGAACTCGAGGACCGGAAAAGCGGCATCGTGACGCTACCCTATCCAGAGCCGAATCGATCTCTTCCACCGTGACTTCCTGCCCAGACGCGACCAAATTCTCTGCCTGACGCATGACATTCTCGACGCATTGTGCGAGATCACCATTTCCCGGCTCACGCCATCGGTCGAGCTCCTCGCGGCGTACCGATCCAAGGAGAAGCGAGCGTCCAATAACCCTAGCTAACAAGCTCTCCTGGAGCCAGTAGACCCGATCAACTCTCTTCTCCGGGAAGATAGATGATAGAAGCGCGAGCTTATCGGTCCCATCGTCATCGATTCGCTTGCGATGTGTGGCGAACCATCGGGTAACCACTGTGATATCCGGGTTATGATTTTTTGACGCTGTTGAGGCTTTCAGCGTGCGGTTCTTCTCCAGATCGGACAGCAGGTCGCATAAGAAGGTGAACTTGAACCCCATAGCAGGAAGGAGCCTCGACCATGACGCGTTGCTTTATCTTAACCGGAGAGCAGTCAACGGAGAGCAGTGTTTGGTCTCAAATAGCAAGAACTCAATGAGGACTCTAGGGCTGCATTATATATACTTAAAGCGATAATGAAACGATCAGATTCTGCAATGACACAGGGAAGATCTTGCAATCGAATAATCTGTGGGGCGAGAAGGACAACGCGAGTTCCAGCAGGACGAGGAGGCGCGTCCATGGATCGCGAGAACACGTGATCTTCATATATACATTCTTTGATGCCTCAGGTTCGAAATCTAGTAGTGATGCTCTCGAGACAGTACATTAACAATCATGATATTTCTTTTGATAGAATACACAGAGCACTGATGAAGTTGAGCGATAAGAGGTAGCGCCACCGATTCCAACAGTCAGATATAACCTCAATCCCGGTAAATGAAGAGACACTCGCCAGACTCCAGGCCTTTCTGCCATGAGGCTCAAGATAAAAGCAGTTGTTGGCAGATGGATAGACCGCTTTCATAGAATACCTTGCTTTTGAAGACTGGGAAATGTTAGCAGTGTGCTTGCAAATAAAATCGAGAGAAAAAAGGGGGCCGTACTCGAGATAAATCCTCTCGGGCATGACGTTGCCTTCCGCATCCTCCATCTGCACTACATTGTCCCGCAGGTCTCTGTCCTTCTTCCGGTCTTGCTCCAGCTTCTCCCATAGCCTCATAGCATCGTCGATGCGAGTGATTTCGCGGAAGAGATTGGTATTTGCCGTGATACCGAGACACTTGAGACCGTAGATATGGCGAGCTTCAGAGAAATGCTTGTCGAAAGCACGACGGCCCATGTATACGAAATTGCCGCAGACTTCACACGAGTATTCTACCCCGAGACCATGCAGCTTATAGAGCCAGTAAGGAATAGGCTTGCCGTCCCATGCCAGGGGCAGTTTGAGAGGGTTGTAAATCTTATCCTCCCCTTCGTCGTCGGACTGGTCATTGCCTCGACCATCCCCAAAAGGCTGTTCGGACTCTGCAAGCAAGGCCTCAAGTTCCATTTGGCGCTCTCTCTCGGTCATACCCTGCTTCCGCTCGACATTGACACGAGTTGCTTCGCGCTCGGGCTGAAGAGCCTTTGCTAGTGATCGGACACGGTGTTCCCTTTCAGCCACGGCGCGCTCCTTTAGTCGGTGGGCCATCGATGTGGCTCCAGTAGATTGTGATGGGGCCCCGGTTGCATCGCCGCTTGCCTTGCGAGCTTCTGCTGCTCGAATATGCTTCTTCCCAGTAAGGTGGTTCTTATAGACATTTTCGTTCTTGAACTCCCTGGCACAGTCCGCACACCAGATCCCCTCGCCGGTACCTTCGGTTTGCGGTCCTTGTTGGGCACTTTCTGGCTTTTCTTCAGACCATCCTGGAACTTCGTTCGAAGCCCACTGCTTCTCGAATTCCTCGTCAAACCCGGCAAACAGGCGATCAAGATCTTCTAAAGGCTTGATTCGTTTGATAAACCCTTCCAAGTAACTGGCTAGTTCCCCCACGTATGTGAAATAGCCGTCTGAAAGTTTGTTGGACCGTTTTATTGGGAGCTGCGGTGGTGTAAATGCATCGAAAACTTCGAGATATTGAATATAAGTGAGTCGCTTGACTCCGGGCAGATTGAGATAGTCTTTGTGAACGCCTGTCAAGTCAAGGAACTGGCCATAGCCCTCTTCTCCGGAAAACATCGTGTCAACCTCCATGCCCACAGGCTCCCCTTCGGCTGGTTGGCGGCGCTTATAGGCGCGCTCGAGGTTTTCTACCGGCTCATTCTGGTAGCGCTTGTGATAGCCCTTGATATCATCCAGTTGTTTGTAAAACTCCTCGAACTGATCGCCCGTTGAGATCGCCTGGATCTCCTTTTCTCGCAGACCATCCGCATCCTTATAGATATCAAGCAACCTCTTTGACTGCTCCTCAATACGCGCCAAAAACTGCGAAACCTCGTGATCACGAGAGAGCCGCTCACGTATCTATGTAAAAAAAAAGGCCTCGTCAACAATCAAATCACGACTTTTTGAGCTCAGGCGGCGACTCACGTTTCTCGGTTCTTGGCTAACGCGGTCCGCGATGGCCTGTTCTAACCTTTCCAGGTCTTCATGGATGAATCTCTGATCTTCAAGCAACATCGTGGAAATCTCAGATGCAGTACACGCTCTCCTGGCGACAACGTGGCGGTCCAAAGCTTTCCCAGGTCTTGCGCGGAGCAGAAGAGCGGCGACGAGATCTTGGAGCTGTTAAGAAATATCACGTGATGATAGCCGGTGGCACTCGAAATGGAAAAGTCGGCGGCGCGTTCGCTGAAGCCAATCCTCCTCTACACACGACGCCAGCTTCAGTTGTTTATTCGAAGCCCTATTACTTGTCACTGTATCTGACCGTCAAGAGAGGCATTTTCAAGATGGCGGAAGGAATCGACCGACGCGCAGATGGTAAGGAAAGATCGCGACCCTTGGGGCGACTGAGCGAGCCGTGCTGACGGAGTCCACCAGAGCGAATGGAGTTCACGACCTCGAAGGAGGTCACAGTTGCGCCTACCTTCGAGGATATGCACCTGAAGGAAAGCCTTCTGCGTGGTATCTATGCGTATGGCTATGAGTCGCCTTCGGCCGTTCAGTCCCGTGCCATTGTGCAGATCTGCAAAGGTCGCGACACGATCGCGCAGGCACAGTCTGGTACCGGTAAAACGGCCACTTTTTCGATCAGTATTCTCCAGGTCATTGATACTGCTGTGCGCGAATCACAGGGTAAGACCATTTACCTTTGTTCTGTCTGGACAAGCCGCTGATTCCATGATAGCTCTTGTCCTGTCCCCCACCCGCGAACTTGCGACCCAGATCCAGTCCGTCATCATGGCCCTTGGTGACTATATGAATGTACAATGCCACGCTTGCATTGGAGGTACGAATATTGGCGAGGATATTCGCAAGCTGGACTACGGCCAGCATGTGGTTTCCGGTACGCCTGGTCGAGTTGCAGATATGATCCGCCGTCGCCACCTCCGCACAAGACACATCAAGATGCTGGTTCTCGATGAAGCCGATGAGCTCCTGAACCGTGGCTTCCGTGAGCAAATCTACGACGTCTACAGATACCTCCCGCCTGCCACCCAAGTGGTGGTGGTTTCTGCCACGCTGCCTTACGATGTGCTCGACATGACCACCAAGTTCATGACTGACCCCGTCCGGGTTCTGGTCAAGCGTGATGAATTGACGCTTGAAGGCATCAAGCAATACTTCATCGCAGTCGAGAAGGAAGACTGGAAATTCGACACTCTGTGCGATCTCTACGACACATTGACCATCACGCAAGCCGTGATCTTTTGCAACACACGTCGTAAGGTCGACTGGCTGACGGACAAAATGCGCGAGGCCAACTTCACTGTCTCCAGCATGCACGGCGAAATGCCCCAGAAGGAGCGGGACAGCATTATGCAGGACTTCCGACAGGGCAACTCGCGAGTACTCATCTCGACAGACGTGTGGGCGCGTGGAATCGATGTGCAGCAGGTCTCGCTAGTGATCAACTATGACCTCCCCACCAACCGTGAGAACTACATCCACAGAATCGGCCGCAGTGGTCGTTTCGGCAGGAAGGGTGTGGCCATCAACTTTGTCACTAGCGACGATGTGCGAATCCTGCGCGATATTGAGCTCTACTACTCTACCCAGATTGATGAAATGCCCATGAACGGTGAGCTTCACAGACTCCTTTTTCCTCTTTTTTCTCGGATCTCACTAATAATCTTCTTTTCATATAGTTGCCGATCTTCTGTCTTAAATCACCGTCCAATTATTTCTCTTTTTTTTGGATTTCAACTTTCCCGGAAAAGCAAAAGGGCCATATCATCACCCCATGATGTGGTCCAAGTCTACCGTACATTAGCTATGGCGTTCCAGTGCACAAGATTCTGCAGACGAAAACAAGGCGTAGGAAACAGGCCACGAGCCACAACACACCACCCTATCGATGGAATGGAGGGGATACACAAGCGTGGAGGAAAGGGGATCCAACCAGACTGGTTAGTTCGCCCATATCCGAAATTTGGTAACAGCCAATAAACGGTTTTGAGACTGATATCTTATGAACTCCTAGCACTCATGCGAAATATTATGAAATCTGATCCTTTCTTGACTACGTCGTACGCCACGTTCGATCTCCAAGTCGTCTTCATTAGTTATTTAGGTAGGAGCTGGGAAAACTTTCCAAGTAACTCCACCCAACTCGGCCAATTCTCTTTAAATCAAACGTATTCTACAATTCTCCTGGCCCTATTATCTATGTAACAATCTTATCCAATGCTATAACTATCTTGTCTGTCTGATACAGTGAATTGAGTCGACCAACGAACAAATAGAATCGAGCCCCCGCAATTACATGCTCCCATAATTAGAGAATAGACAGGGGAAGAGATAAATAAAAGCAAGAAAATAGACTGCATATAAACGCCTCTCACCTGACCCAGAACATTGTATTGCATATATCTCGAGTGATAATAATGGTACCCTTTCCTGTCCATCCTTGGTTGGGTAGACATATGCTCCGGGAATGTCCCAACATGATACAGGGGTAAATTATAGAGAGAGAAAGAATAAGGGGGGGGCGGGGGAAGAAGAGAAAGTGAGAATCTTGAATTGAGTTGGATGTTTATAAACTAGAGACTGGATGTTGATCGTAATGCGCTGGTGCGCGCGAATCCGTTCGAAGGAGGGGTTGGCCGTTTGCCGGCTACTGCGTTGATCGGAGAATCGCGTTCTCGAGTCCAACTAGAGAAGAGTTAGATGGTATCCAATTACGGTGAAGGGGGGAATAGAGAAAACATACATTTTTACGAGGCCATCGTCGCCGGCAGAGGCAAACATGCCCGGATTGGTAGGATTCCATGAGATGGCGTTAACACAACCAGTCTTACGCCGTCCTGTCGTATGTCCCTCTAGCTTTTCGACAAGCGTGCCGTTCTCCTTGTGCCAGACATATATGCAGGAATCTACGAAGCAAGAAAAAAAGAAAAGTTAGCGAGAGACGCTAGTTGGTCCGTCTGGTTCTGAGGCTCTCTCACCTTCACTCCCACTGATGACGAAGTTCTCGGCCGCACCGCCGAACTTGCTTCGGATGATGAATTCACCCTGTGCCTGACCTCGGAATCGACGGACCACGTCGGTGGTCTCAATATCGATGAGCTGAATCTGGCCATCGGCTAGATTCACCAGCATGTGTCTCGAGTCCTGGCTGACAGTCACTGAGGTTGGTTTTGACCTTAGCGATAAGCAGTACTCTTCTTCGTGGGTGAGAAAGTTGTAAACGTGAAGTTTCGGATCGACGTCCTTGGCGATCAGTCGTCGGCCGTCTGGCGTGATGGCAAGATCTTCGACGCGGAACCCCCCCGGCCACATGTAAAGAGCTTGGCCTCGCATGCTCCAGCGGCAAAGTTGCGAGCTGGAATCCAGAGAGGCTGTGACAAACGATTCCCCATCTGGAGCCCATGCAGCCGCAGTCACTGGTTCTCGATGATGATTAATTGTCAAGAGACACCGGCCAGTCTACCCGTCAGTTTAATATGCGTAAGATACGATGTTAGGCTTGAAAGGTGAACATACCTCTACACTCCACACTCGCGCCTTCTTATCCCGCGAACAGGTGATCAGTTTCGAGTCATCCGGGCTCCAGCAGGAGTGTGCCACACCGTTATCATGCTCCATTAGTTTGTGTAGCACGGTGAACGTCTCCGTCTCGTAGATGATAGCACTACAGTCCTGACCAGCAGTGACCAATTTGGAGCCATCGTGGGAAAATTCGCACCACCAGACCTCGTCCGAGTGATCCTTCAGTTCGATGGTCGAGCGTAGCGGGAAGTCGTCTCGGTCACACATATGGTCGCAGTAAAGTGAAAGTGGCTCGGCCGTATTGTGATATAAGCACTGGTTGATCTGGTTCTGTTTGATATAGTCGAGTAGGACTGCTAGCCGATGATCCGGGATCATGACGGAGGGAGAAATGGACTCTGGAAAGAATCAGTCCAGCCCACAGTGTGCTTCGAGTGAATATGCAATGGTTGAACGATGGGACACTTACTGGATAATTCCGTCAACAATCGTTCACGAGATGAGCTAATCGGACCGTCCCAGCCGGCTTGGTCATGGAGGTGTTCAGCGGGGCACATGAGGAGACTATTTGAAAAGAAAGGAGAGAGAAACGGTGAGAATTTGCGTAAATCGGATTGCGGGACTTTGAACGAGTTACCTTGATAGAGCATGCAAGCGGCCTACGTCGTAGTTCAGTGGCGTCAGCTCTTGCCGAAGCACCATCAGAGCGGCACTGAGGTCTCGCTCTTCTAATAACTCGAGGAACTTTTGTTGTCGGAGATAGAATAGCATCTCGCTCTTATCTGCCGTCGGGGCCAATACTAGCCGGTCTTCATCTGGCAGGCTCTCTGCAGCGGAGTCCCTGAGATTCCTTCGCCGAAATGACTGTATTAGAATATGCTCCGCCCGAGACCATTGACCCTCAAGCACTGCAGTCCGAAAGGCGGCCACGGCCGGACTTTCCAGCTGATAGCCGCTCTCCCGGCTGAGCAGAGACGCTGCGTCATTGTAGCCTAGATCATAGAGCCCTTGGATCAAGATTCGGGTGACCTCCTCGCGGTCGTGTCCGAAAAAGCTCTGGCTGAGCGGCTTCGTAGAGCCGTTGGTATAGGATTCCCCGTTGGACGCATTGTGGGCGGCGGCCTGCCCGTTCATAGCCGCTTTCCTCGACGGCGACACCAGAGCCCCATTCGATGCTCGCGTGATCCCATTTGTACTCGCCATAGGGGACACGCCAGAGTCCACCCGCATATTTGTCAGACGCCTGCGCTTGGGAGACCGCGAGTGGCGCTCGGATCGGGATTGCTGGCGGATCGTACCTGAGAGCTCGACAACGGAGTGGCTTCCTACTCTCTCTTCCTCGGACGCCGGCGTAGAGCTATCGGGCGAGTCGAGGGAGCTGTGACGGCGGCGGCGGCGACCGGCGGTAGACAGGGCTGGCGGGTCGACGGTCTCGGAGCTCGATTCAGCGGGGGGAATGGGGAGATCCGGGCGGTCGGAGGCGGACGAGGAGGATATATAAGACGAAGCGTTGTGTGCCAGGACGGAGGCGTTGGATCTGCCCTTCTGCCTGGCTCTGTACAAGAACCAGGGAGAGCAGACCTCGATCGGGGAGGGGGTTTGGGTCTTGGTCTTGTTCGATCCACGTGCTGGGAGAGGCCCGTCGGCCGTCGCTCGGTCACTTGTGGAGGGGAGGGGCACGTCAGAAGACCAGCTCGCGCTCTGAGGTCAAGGAAGCGATATATAGTACGAGGCAGGCGAAGAAGCCACAGGAACAGCGACCGGAGAGATCAACTCTCGCTCCTCAAGCTTCTCAGGCTCCTCAAGCACGACCTAGAAGGGAGGGGGTTCAGATTAGATTAGGCCCGGACGAGCAGCCGGGATAGAGCTGATAACGCACCCGGAATGAGTCGGTGAGGCCCTAACAAAAGACTCGAGGTCAGACGGTGATCACACTTCGCGGGGGAAGTTTCCGGTGCAAAAAAAGAGGCGTGGGTGGTCGTCAAGCTGCGAGGCGGCGGCAGCAGGGTTGTGGGTGGAGGAGAGGCAAGAGACGACGTTGAGGTTGAAGTATCGGCGGTGTCGTTACGTTCGTTAGTGACCGTGATGGGGCGCCCGCTGGAGCTTCTTGGAGGAGTCCGTGGGGCGATTTCCAGTTGGTCTCCCTCTTCTCTCCGCAAACACTCGCCAGCAGCCAGCAGCTACAGCGACTTGGGGCCTTAAGAGAGGCCTACGTGGTTGTTTAATGGGTCCTTTAACAATAATTTGATTTTCCTCATGGCTTGAACGCTTCTTTGTGGCCCTAGCGTCGGGGGGAAGACCCGACTTAGGTAGAGCTCTCAGGGAAACCATCTACGCTACAATAAGGACAGTAAGTTCCGTGTATCCCACAAAGAGAGTATTTTTATATCTATATTTAAACACTTCTCTATACCGATAATTATCTGTTGTTGCTGTCGATAAACTGATTCCTGACTCCATCCGGCAGTCCCAAGTGGCACAGATAAAGACCAGCAGCTGCATTGCCCTTGCAACCGATCCACAACTTAGGCAGCTTAGGCAGCTATCTTTGGCCAGTGAAATTGACACCGCGGTGGCTTGAAAGGCGCTGGCATGACTGTACACCTACTGGTAGTTGAAGTCATTGAGTCATTGGCTGTATAAATCCTAGTGGAGCCTGGCAAATAACGTCGACTGAAGAAACACTGGTCAATAGCAGACTATCTCGCTGGTAAGAGATTCGCGTTTCGACTCTCGGTCCTCGAAAAAGCAGGGTATCACCAGTTTATGGTTTGTAGTCGACTGATAGAGTTTCTAGACGAACCGGATGATGACTTCAATATCAAGGAAATTGTTTGACAGGGATACCGAGTACGTTCTATAACAATGGCACAATACTACCCCCAATTATGGCAAATAAATACAAAATCAACAGTCCATTAAACAAAGCTCTGAATATTGCCTCTTTCTAGCAACATTATGGCTCTTCTAGAACTTGGTTCCAGAACAGTCCTGCGGCAATGCTGACGCCACGGTGATGCATACTCTCCACGCCACCAAGGCTATATAAGGATCTACATTTCCGATCTACATACCGAGGTCTACATCTTCTAATAACAGTAAAATTATTATTCAACAAAGGCTTCATTAATATAAATATACTATGCCTTGCAGCTGCGGAGCCACTGAGTGTCCCTGCACTGGAACTCAAACCTGCACCTGTGACAGCAGCTGTACCTGCCAGGGCTGCAAAGTATGTTATCTACAGGACCCCTTGACTGAAACTGGTGCTCCAGTTTCAAAAGGGATAGATATGATGGGCTAACCAGCACACTGTTTTATAGAAGTAACCTTGTTTAGCACAGGATAGGAAAGAGGGTATCGAACATCATAATCGAATTTAGCAAACACTATCGAATTGATATGAATATTTATCTATCAGATGTATATGCCTCGATGAGTAAGCGTAGCTGTCAGTGGGACTTCGGTCTTCAAGTGAATCTCTATCACATCGTCAGCTGGTAAAGGGGACCAGGTCATAGAAGACAGAACTCTCCCACTCTAGCTCTAGTTACGAGAGTACTCTCGCGGAGCGGACACCGACATGGACCTGCTATCGGACAGTGTTCTTCCGATGAAGAATAAAATTGGCGACCTGTGCGTTCGCCAGTTTCGTCCTTTTCATTCGACAGAACTTCCTGAGCTTTGCGCCAGCGATGGGTCGGCTGTCTGTCCACGAAGACGAAGCTCCTCTCCGGCGGATCCCTGATAGCTTTGGGGAAGATTGCTGTGGTATGCAACGTTGAGCAACGCCAGCGTATACGAGTAACCGCTATCAGAGATGTCTCTGGTGTCTCCGAGCTTGCTGAAATAGCTTCCTTTCATATTTGCGTCGCTCGACCGTAAAGCAAGAGGCCGCTGTGCCTTTTTCGGGCTGCAACTCGACAGCTGTCGCTCCATTTCTGGGTCTTTTCTTGAAGGTATGTGAACGACTGCGAGGGATCACGATCTGTCTGTCCGTCTATTTGAGCATGCTTGAAGTGGAAGTGTTAATTTGACGCCCATTATGCTGTAGAATTGCTCTGCCGGTCAGAGATAGACTGGGATCCTCTGTCTGATACAATTATCTCTGGACGATACTACAAATGCTTCACGAATATCTCTCCCAGTTTCTTGGCTCCATTTTGAAGCACGAGGGGTCTTCTTAAACCAAGCATCTCACCATCGCCGGGCCATCCCCCGAAACAATCTCAGTGAAGAGTTTTGATGTATCTCACCACGTTCGTCACCCCTTCGCCTTGCGCTTCTCATTCGCCTGTAGACTGCCTCCCAGGGTGAATTCCTCGTGGAGGATGTGTCGGGCGTCTCGTCCATTGCTTGTACGACGGTGCCCGCTATACACCGTGAGCAAGCGTTGTATCTTTTGTTTATACTCCACGAAGGTCACCCAACGACCAATAGCCACTGCGCCAAAGACCTGGCCATAAGGCTTCTGAGCTTCATATGGCCCTGTAGATAGATCTTTAACTGGGAACCTGCCTCAGCGTTCAGACGCTTGCATTGCAAGCTGACATTGTGGAATCATGAACACCATAGAGAGGTTTAAGGACCAGTCAACAAGTGTGAGCATGATCTAGCATAATGTCGACAGAGAAGGTAGGCAATCTATAATATAGTATATGGGGTTTATGAGGAGAAGATGGGGAAGGAAGGGTATTAGAAGAGATTTATATAGTAAGATTGTTGATTCACTAGGATAAAGAATTCACTAATAAAGGATCAATTCACCAGTTTTACCTTCTGCACAAAGGAGTCATTCACAGCAGGTATTAACTGTATCTTGAAGCAAAGTCTATTCACATTCAGACTAAACAGCCTGATATACCATGAAGCTTCTAAACTCCCAATACGCCTCGTCAAAGCTGTCTGGATTGCCCGCGACGAACGCCTCGCAGCTCCCCGGACACTGGTCGAGCGAGTATAGCTCGTCGTTGCCCGCCATCTCGCCACACAGATCTATATTCACGATGATGCTTTGATTGCTGAAGTGTCTTGCAATATCACACTTCGTCGCTGGGAAATCAGCCAGGGGGGTTCCCCAGTTTGCTGGATCGGGCGAAGTGCTCTCATTGTTGATATCAGCCGGTATATCTTCACGAGAGAAGAACCACGTTCGAATCCCAGCTGCCCGAAGCTCAAGTGCATAAACCTGTAGCATCAGTCAAACACAAGTATATATATATATATAAATATATAAGTATGAGAACGCACTCCACCTCCGTTATCATTAAAGATGGCACCATAAGTACCGTTTCCCCCATGGACACTACACCCATCATCCCCCTCTGAACAGACATTCGAGCGAGATTCACCACTCTGCCTGCGTCTAACATCCATCCGACAACCAGGGTCAGTGTGCAGGGAGACCGTGTTTCCGTCGGCGCCCATATTCGAAGCCTCGAGGACATCAATCTCCCCGTTGACAGGCCAGTTATCTTCATCCGTCATCCACAGCGCAGGCCACGTCCCGCACCCAAACGGGGAATGCAAGATATCGAATACAAACAGGCCCTCGTCGTAACTTGTCCTGGAGGCGATCCGTACAGACTGCCGACCGCTCGATGCGTTGTCTTGGCTTGTGTCCACGCGGAGAATCGATGTCGAGGATGCAAACGTGAGGTTCAGCTTTTTGGCTGTCGATCTGTCCACATATCTATTCACTTAGAAAACACTTTCACGATTATAATAATAAATACCCTGGTAGGAAAGGTATAGGAAGACTACTTCACAAATCCACCTGTTGGGTCCTCATCGGTGAAGAACCGGAAGTGGTCGAAGAACTCTGGTCCAGAGAAGGTGTCGACAAGAGCGTATTCTACCGCGTTGTAAGAAGGATATCGGCTTGATTTGACTGCCTCAACGACACCCACAATCAGGCAGGTGATCACGACGATAATAAATGAGGCTACCAGTGTGTATTTGCTGCATTTTCTCTTCTTGCCTTCGCCGGCTTCAGGCTTGGTGGTTTCCAGGTGGGCCATGTTAATCGACGAGGATATGATTGTTCTATTGTGCTTGTTACTTTAAGACGGCCTTATATACTAGGTACTCTGTTGTAATGATCACCATGACGCTGACACGCAAGTGCTATGCTCTGGGAAGAATAACGCCATCCATGGTTCTAAACCTTGTACTAAATGATTGACACCTAGATAGCTAGCTATCCAGAATATATTAAAGAATAGTATATACGCTCAAGAATATGCAGGCAATATGTTACCGCAACGTCGAGTGTCGCTGGAAAAGCGCATTTCCACTCGGGTTCGTCTGGTCGCGCGTGTCCTGGGTATCCAAACCCGTGGAAACGCCGTTATACTGCGGGGGAATCTGTTGCTGCTGCGGCTGATGCTGCTGTGACTGTGACTGTGACTGGCGTGACTGGCGCGACATCTGGCTGAGATTCGACGCCCGGCGACGCATCGTCCCCCGGCGCTCCGCGGTGTGTGCCTCTTGCGTGTTCAACGACTCGGACGGCAACAAGATCGCTCGGTCAAGTGCGTACGGCAACCCGCGGTGCCGGCCGCGGATCTGCATGGCGATGATCACCAGCTTGGAGACAACGTTGAACTGTGCCGAGAAGGAGGTGTCGACCCCCGGGTATCCCATTGACAGGCCGACTGTGCCGTACGCGGACACCACCTCGAACAGCACCGTAAACAGCTGGAAGGAGTAGTCGTTCATGTCCATCAACCGCGACCCTTCCGCGATGGCGATAATAAACAATCCCAGAAACACATACCACAGGTCGAAGCTCAGCTGTTTGCGCAAGTGGGCACCGATATAGCTTGGCGCGTTGTTGTGCTCGCTCTCATCGTCTTCTTCTTCATCTGCCCCGGAGTAGATACCCAGGCTCTTCTCCTCATACACGTTCGTGCGTCGCATCGAAATCGCAATGGGGAACACGGAGATGTACATCATGATGAGGTAGGACACCTGGATCGCCGGGTGGAGGTCGCCAATGTCCACAACACCAAACCCAGCCGTTCGTGTCGACGCCGCTTGGAACAGGCCGTCGAGGAATCGGTAGCCAGGTGCGATCGACGTGACGGTAGGATCATTTAACTATCATTTTGTGAGAAACCCAACGAAGAAGAAGAAGAAGAAGAAGAAGAAGAAAAGGAAGAACGTACATCAAGAACGATGAAAAAGATCAGGTCGATTCCGTTCAGTAAGACGAGAATGGCAAATAACCACCAAGTAGCATTCCGTGGAAACAATAACGTGAAGCATCGACGTGGATGGTCGAGTAAGAACTTGAGTTCCTCCCAGAGGGAGCTGCCCTTGGGTGTGATGGTAGAGATGACCCAAATGGTGAAGCGCAGCATACAGGGGAACCCCGTGTTGCCAATGATAATCAGAAAAGTCATGACGAGAAGGGGCCAGACGGCCGTCTGAAAGGAGTTCATGGAGTCCGGGGTGAGGGTGAAGCCGAGATCGTTGAAAGCGGACATGGAGGTGAAAATGGCCCACCAGGGACGGCCCTGGCCGTCAGCCGTGATGACCGACCCCCAGTGCGACTTGGTGAGAATCCAGGGCATCAGACTGATGATACCGAAGATATGGAAACAGACGTAGTAGCATATCAGCACCAGCGCCAGCGTCTTCAAGGCGCGGTACTCGATACCACCCAGTTCGTCGCGCTGTTCCTCCGTCAGATCCACAAAGTTGGAGTTGCGGCCTACGGTCGCGTTCCAGCTAAGGTACGGCAGGGTAGGGCGTTCCTTCTCCTGCGTCAGCGAGCTGAAGACGTTGCTGAACGTCGGGCGTCGATTCGTCCCCGACCGGCCCAAGATCGCCGGGTCGTTGAGATCCTTGGTCTCCCGAAAGGTCGGGCGGCTCTCGACCCGGGGAAACGTGGAGGTCATGCGAGTACGGGAGCGCTGAAGCTCCGGTTCGTTGATGGTAATGTGCGGGTTGTCAGTCGGCCCAATGTTTGCGGAGTCGTCGTCCGAGCTGTCGGACCGGCGCGTGGACTCCTCTTTTTCGTGCTGCTCGGCCGATCCGGTACGGTTGGCCTCTGCATTGCCTGCGCCATCGGCATCCTCCTCGAGTGCCTGGGGCACGCCGCCCCGGTCGTATTCCCGCGGACTGGGGATGCGCAGGGCGCCGGTGTTGCGCCGCTGGTTCTCGAGGAAGGCGATATGATGCTCGGGGCTCAACTGGGTCGGGACGCGGAGACCCGCGAGACTAAGCGCTGGCCGGCCGTCCGGGGGGGTGGAGGAGTCATGGTCGCCGGAGCTGCGGCTGCTTTCGCCTTTGCCATCGGGCGATTCCGGCAGGGAGTTGAAGCCGTCAGTGGTCTTGACAACGCGATGGGCCAGCTCCTCGCCCTGGGCCTCACCGTTACGGTTACGCAAGACGACGATGGCACGGTTGCCGACGCCCATCTCCTCGCGGTTATAATCGGGGGCATCCTTGTTAGTGGAGAAGGTCCGGCCGCGGGAACGGGAGCGTCGCACGGCGCGGGCGTCCTGGACGACATGCTGGAAACGCTTCTCGAACCAATACAGACGGATGAAGACTAGGGCGCCGTGGATGAAGATCGGGGTTGTCAACATACATATGCAGTAGAGGACAATCTGCTGATAGGTGGACATGGCGTTGAGGTTGACGGTGTTGAGGCCGCTCTGGGTGGCGGCGCCCGAGGCAAAGAACAGCGCATCGATATAGGCGAGCGAGGAGCCCGGGTAGATTAGAATGGAACCGATTATGGTCCAGGAGATGAGGTAGACATAGTGTAGCAAAATAAAATTGAGATGCAGCTGGTTCATCAGCGGGATCTTGGCCTTGACCGCGCTCACCTGGCGGATCAGACCCGAAAACATGCTGGGCGATATTATGGTCGCACGATGGTGAGATGCCCGGGAAATTTGATTATTTATTCTTTTTTTATTATTTGATCTCTTGACTCTTGCAGATAAAGAGAGGGGGGACCGAGAGCCACGCAAGTGGTGGACTGGTGATGTACTTGGGTATTTATTAGGTGTCCCGCCGATCGCCTCGAGGGCCGCCGTCCTTTCTCTCGTCTTTGTCTTTTCCCTTCCCTCCTCTTGCCCGATGGGCGTGTTATTGTATAGACCCTTCGGAGGTGGAATGCACCGGGAGCAGCAACAAACAAACGACCGTTAGCTGCAGGACCTGGAGACGCGACGTTGGAAGACGACAGAGACGTGGCTGAGGTCAACGGTCATGGTGGAGGCTGTCGAAGAGGACCGGTAGGTAAAGAGAGGGAGGGAGAGGGCGCTCAACGCCTGGAGAGGCGTATAGCCGTGAGAACGATGAGTTTGGCCGATGAAAGAGACAGAGACAACCAATACTCTGTTGTTGTTGTTGAGGAGAAAGGAAAACCCCAAGGTGGAAGATTGGCGGGAAACTCCAGGGGCTTCTCTGGGGCAAATCCGGAACTGACTTTTTTCGGATTCTTTGCGAGACCCCACGGTACTTTATGAGTAAAAGGAATAAGCTGAATTAACTATATATTAAATGGCAGATAGCAAATATTTTGTACTGATCAAAATAACCCTCGCTGAGTCGAGACTCAGATCCACCCCTAATTTAGTTATGCTCGGGCTAACAAACTGGACTGCAGCTGCAGTAGTTTGGGTGCCTGGACACTAAGGCAATAAATATATTCAGAAATCAGATAACTACGAATTATCAACTACAAGCTTGCTATGTAGGTAGTACAGGTCTAAATGATAGTTATTGAGTAAGTAAGGAGTAAGTACTATCTGGATGGTATTAATGTCTTAATTATACTAGAGTACCCAGGTAGACAGTGTACTAGGTTTCAATTCTAACCATGTCGTACAATATAAGGAGCCTCTAGATGTAGTATTTCTGTATAATAAACATGCTTATCTTTGTACTACATGATCAAATAGCGGTGTAATCATCTTAATTATTTATAGATAAACTATTAAAATACTATATTTTAGCTGTGTACTCTATAAGTTCTAAGGTCTCTTGGGTAGCTGAATTTTAGTCAGTAGTTAACTCTTAATACTATATAAAGACTTCTTTGATATAAAGCTAGTAAGACAGGTAGATCAAGTATTACTTAGTTACTATTCACTTTCAACATCTTTCTCTTTATAGTATACTTAAGATAGTCTGGATCTTGTAGTTTCACTGTCAGTCACTATCTCAGTTCTGAAGCAGATTGATTCTGAAAGGATATACTACTACTTATATAAATTATTCTCAGTGTCGTCTAAAAATATACTTATCTTTTGAATTATGAATTATAGCTATTATTTACTTACTATGCCTTTAGTTTCTGAGCTACACATTGCTATACAAAAAGGCAGCGAGCCGCATGAAGCCTGGAGCTGGAGTCTCTTTATTAATGGACCCTCCATGCCCAAAAGAACCATCCTCCATCTTAGCAGCTGCTTCACCCATTTCTATCTTGAGCACCACCACGTCAGTAATTATAGATCAGAGAACCTTGTCGAGGTGCTGCCTCTTTGTGAAGTCGATACTCTTCAGATCAACGCCATCGTGGACATTGCAAGGCCCATCCACAACCAGTGCCCACGCTACAACTGCCAACACTACATTCTCGAGCTGCTGAGCGCCCTGGAGGAGGCAAGAATCGTCAATGGGGGGGATAGGAGGTACCGAGAGAATAGAAAGGCTGTCGAGGAGATGCAGGGTAGAACTGAAAGGATCAGCAGGGTCTGATGGAATTTTGAGGCTTTGGCGTTGGTGTTGGTACGGTACTGGTTACATGAGTGCTATCATTCTTCCTTTGGGGGGATTTGATCAAATATAACTAATCATAGAGAATAATGATTGGTTTATAGGCTATGGTTGGCGCCCACTTGAATGTATTGAAAGAACAAAGAGATGGACTTGAACGTAGATATCAGCCTTCCCTTTTCCCTCTTCCCTTTTCCCTCTTCCTTTTCCCCAACACAGCGACCTTGACCCATTTAATAACTCTTACATATCAATCAAACACTGTTCACTGAGATGGATGATCCAGTTATTTCCTTATCCAATGCTGATGCACCACACTGGAACAGAGATCTGATGCTGGAATTCCAGGCTGCGTTGGCTGAGGATCCAGCCGCGGATCTGTTGTCGATGTTTACCGATTCCTATCTCCATGCGCATCGAAAGGATCAAAACCTCAAGGCGTCTCATGCCGAAACCATCAATTTCCGGATGTTGACTCACCTCTATGACGCTGTCAAGAAGAATCCAAAAGTCAACCTGCTCTCTGTGTTCCCCCTAGGCTATCATGACGATATTGAGATCGCAGCCGAACGGAAGAATCCCGACCCTGAAAAAGGCCGCCGCCTCGAGAACCGCCGAAATTCCAAGGGTAAGCTTATGTTCCGAGAGCGGTTTGACGACGTAGAAGGGGGGGCTCAGGTCGTCTTTCCCTTATCGGAGGATGTGATCGCTTTGCTTTCCCAGTATTCGAGTGAAGGGCCAGACGAGATGCTGGGGGACCAAGAGAAACTCCTTTCATCCTTGAAACAACTCCTTCGGAAGTCGCCCAGAATCTGGGACAACTTTTTCACGGGCATGGTGGTGAAATGCAACGAGCGGATCGTCGCCAAAGTCGGCATTCAAAACGACGAGGACAACCCCGAATACACCGAGTACACCAGCATGCAGTATCTGGAGCAGCAGGTGCCTGACATTCCGGCGTCGAGACCCCGTGGGCTGGTCGAGTTCTATCCTTACTGGGTGATCTTCATGTCGTACGTTCCAGACATGTCCTTGGCCGACGCATGGCCCAGTTTGAGGCACAAAGACAAGCTCTCCATCCAACACCAGCTGGAGGCGATGTTCGACCGTCTGAGAAGCATCCGACAGGACGATGGCCAGCCTCTTGGCGGAGTGTGTGGAGAAGGGGTGAAAGAGGTCCTGGTGAAGCCCTTCGGCACAATCAGAGATATCACCACCTCCAAGCAGTACCTCGACCTGCATTTCTCGACTCATCGCCGCTGTAGCAAGACTTACATGGCGTTTCTTCGTTCCCTCCTGGAACAGGATGGCAAGCTCTCGGCTTCCATGCAGGGATCCGTGTTCAGCCACGGCGACGTCCGAACGGCCAATATCATGGTCCAGCGGGATGCGTCCACCGGCCAGTGGGTGGTCTCGGGGATCATTGACTGGGCGTACGCCGGGTTCTATCCTGAGTACTACGAGGGCACGGGAGTGGCGCGCGCTCTGTCTTTCGATAAGGAAGATGACTGGTATCTCTACCTGCCACGGAATATCTCCCCGGCCAACTTTCCGGTGCCTTTCCTGGTGAATCGACTGTTGCATCATCATGACTGGTGATACCAGTACCAAACCTGTATGTTATGGTTGTATGTTGTTAGTTGTATCATCCTTCTTTCTTAGTTTACCTGTGTACATAAGATTAGAACTGGACACAGGGTACTAAACAGGGGGGGAAGAGAATGGCGAGTGCTTGAATATTATAAAGGCTTGTTCAGTCAATAGGATATCTTTCGAAGTATAAAAATACAGAGGCACCTACCTAGCCAGACTATATGATCAAGGAAAGACCAACCTGAGATCACTATAGATTGGGAAACCGAAGATCTACTCATACTCATAACAACTACATGCTCTCTTATTATCTATGCTTGCAGTATAAACCAATGAGTTGCTTAGTCTACGCATACGCTGATAGGGCCCTCCCCTCGTCTGGTATGCGGATGTGCCGGATACACACAATCACCTAATGAAAACTCAGCATCATTATTACCCCTTCGGCCATCATTATCGAAGTATCAGTCGTTTAATCGTTAATGAAGGGGGACTGATTATATTAATCTGTCAGTATCACTGGATATCAGGAAGCACTTGTGGATGTTTCGATAGCGAGAGCATACGCCTCATACTCTGTTCCAAGTAACAGTGGTATAATCACTAGTATATACTACAAAAATGGTCACAATGACAAGGCGCCGGATAGGCGCTCTTCTCGTCTGCGTCGGCCTCATTATCCTCTTCCTATCGTTCCGGCAGAGCGATCGATCGTTCGATGGCCTTGCGGGGGTCTCGTCCCATCCACTCAGCCCATCGCTCAATCCTTCATCGGCCATGTCGGTATCCACACCCCACAATTGTTCCACTCCATCCTTCCCCTTTGTGACTCCGTTTCGCACCAAGGGCAGACACATCGTCGATGCGCGGGATGCCGTCGTGAAACTCATCAGCGTGAACTGGTACGGGGCGAGCGATGTGCGGTTCATCCCGTCCGGCCTGGAGGTGCAACACCGCGACCAGATCGCCGCTCTGGTCCGCGGGATGGGATTCAACAGCGTGCGTCTGCCGTATGCAGATGAAATGGTTCGGGCAAACCCGGTGATCGACCCTGCGCTGCTGGCCGCCAACAAGGATCTCATCGCCAATAAGGGGGGGAGGAACGTGACTGCGCTCGACGTCTTCACCGCCGTCGTGGACAGCCTGACGGCGGCAGGGCTGATGGTGATTGTAAATAACCACATCACACAGGCGACGTGGTGCTGTGGTATCAACCCCTGCGACGCACGCTGGTCGAACGACTGGCTGCCTGGATTGTCGCAGTTCTGCCGCGTGCGGCAGACGGAGGAGGCGTGGATCGAGAACTGGGAGACAATCATGCGGCCGTTAGTCAATAACTCACTGGTGATCGGGGCGGACCTGCGCAACGAGGTCCGCGGGCTCTGGGGCACGCTGCACTGGGGCGAGTGGGCAAGCGCCGCCGAACGCGCCGCCGAACGACTGCTGCACCTCCAGCCGGACTGGCTGATGATTGTGGAAGGGATCTCATCGGCGAACGACCTGTCCGGGGTAGCAACGCGGCCGGTGCAGCTCAGCGTCCCCGACCGGGTGGTGTATTCGGCTCACGTGTATGCATGGTCGGGCTGGGGCACGCTGTACCCGTTCTCACGACGAACGTACGCTGATTTCGCAGCGACGATGCGGTCAAACTGGGCGTACCTGCTGGAACAGGAGGTCGCGCCCGTCTGGATAGGCGAGTTCGGGACGACCGAGCATCCAGAAGCAGGCGACGTGAACTATTGGACAAACCTGCTGCGTTTCCTCGCTGAGGTGGACGCCAGCTGGGGATACTGGGCGCTCAACGCCCGCAAGCCCGAGGGAGACGAGTGGGAGGCATACGGACTGGTAGGCGATGCGTGGGACGAGCAGTCGATCCGGACGGATTTTCGCCTGGGGGATTTGGCGAGAATCGGACTGGGTGAGCCGGACACTGTATGCCTGAGGCATTCAACTAGATAATACAGGTAGGTACCTATTCCATTATCATTAACCCTCCAAAATCTCTAGCTTGAACCCTGACTTCATAAGCACACCAGAGAATAAAGCACAGGCTCAACCAGGCAGTCCCTATTTGTCCACGCAGAGGCTGGTCAGGCCCTGCAGAAAGTATCAAAACGGAAGGCACCGACAATCGCCTGGACACTGCTGGCCCGTCAGCGACTCCATGCGCAATCAGGCCGGCTACTGATTGGGCTGTGAGGGATTAAGCTTGGGCCCTTGTGCTGCTGGTGGGGGGAGGTGGTCCACTCGTAGCACTGGCAGCCAATCATAATTATCGATCGTCATCATATCAGAGTCTCTAAAATACTAGATACCTCAGGCACCAACCTAAATTACAGAGGTTAGGTACCTGTTACTATTACTGTTAGTACCTCCAGGCTACCTAGGTAGGTACCTACCTGGTAGGCACCTAAATGCTATGGCAGGTAAACATACTAATAATGCTGGTTCTACACCCTCATGTACCAGTACTAGTACCAGTACTAGTTCTCTGGTAGCTACCTAGGTAGGTGTTAACTCACTCAACCCACTTGACTATCTTTTGATATTGAGATGGGCGCTGGCTCTTTTTGTCCTTCTGCTCAAGTCTGTCCCTCAAACAAAATCACCTATACTGCTTTGGGTTGTGCTGCCCACATGACGGTGCTTGTTTTGTCTGCGGTGACCACACGGGCCCGTGGAAAGCACCCCGTGTGGAAATGAGGGTGCCTGCCTAGGGCCTGGAGAGGTTATCTCTTCTCTTGTCCTCCCTTCTACCTGCGTATAACTAAGGGATATCCTGCTGCCAGCCTTTTTGTGTTTGCTGGTGATTCTTGCTACTCGAAAGTCTTGTGCACTTTTTGTGCTCCAAAGCCAAGATGCTGCGCTGGTTCTCTCGTTGTCTGCCCGGGTTCAGCATTCTGGCACTGCTGCTGCTGATGCTGGTTGCCTTTTCGGATAGCTTCACCCTTCTGCCATGGCCGGGCGTCTTGCCTTACCCCGTTGTGGGCGGCCGCGTGCAGAGCATCGCCCGTGAGATCTTCGTCGTCTACGCCCTTTTGGTTCATCTGAACATGTTTGCTTTCACTCTTCGTCTGTCCTGGTCCCTGTTTCGCGTCACAGAGGAGACTCGAAAAGCCCTCCAGCGACGCTCCTGGCACGCGCCCGGGAGCAGCTCCTCGCTGCCGCTGCCGCTCCCGCCATATTCGGCCGAGCAGGAGGTGCAGCTCGATAGAACTCGCCGGGTTGATGAGGCGGACGAGCTCGAGGTTGTCCATGCTATCATCTTGCCGAATTACTGCGAGGATCACCACACTCTACGGACGACGCTGAATGTGTTGGCTAGTCATCCGCGGGCATCGACTCAGTACGAGGTGAGTGTGGTTGTTTCATGTTCTATCATCTTCTCTTACTGACGACTCAAGATCTATCTGGCAATGGAGCAGAAAGAACAGGGAGCCGCTGAAAAAGCCGCCATGCTCGTGTCGGCCTTCGAAAAGGCCTTCCATCGCATCTACACGACCTTCCATCCCGCTAACCTGCAGGGGGAGATTGCCGGCAAGAGCTCCAACGTGTCATTTGCGGCCAGTCGGGTTGTTGAGGTGCACCGCATGGAACTCAACACCAATACGTGTGACGTGATCATCACCGTCATGGATTGTATGTTTTTTTTTGTTTTTTTTCCTTTTCTTTTTGTCGAGTGTTTTCCTAAAGTGTTTGTTAACTGCCTAGCCGATACACACCTATCCCAAGATTACTTCACCGAGATCCGGAGGCTGCATTTCGAGCATCTCGCTGAGGCGGACCGCTCCTTCTACTCGTGTCCGATCATCTTCGACCGTAACTCACATGAGACCCCAATTCTCGTCCGCTGCGCCGACCTGCTCTGGGGATTCGCAGGCCTGTCAACCATGTATCCGGGCGCCCCAATCTCGATCCCCACCTCCGTCTACTCGCTGCCGCTCACGCTGGCTGAGAAGGTGGGCGGCTGGGACAGCGACCCAACAGCTATAGGCGAGGACATGCACATGTTACTCAAGTGCTACTTCGGCACCATGGGAAACATCATCTCTCGCACCGTCTTCATCCCCGCCAGCCAGTGTAATATCTCCAGCGATCGGGCCCGCGGCTGGCGTCGGACCCTCGACACCTGCAATGCGCGCTACAAACAAGCCCTGCGGCACATGTGGGGGGCGCTCGACACAGGGTTTGCCATCCGCAACAGTGCCACCCCCCCGCTGGGGCCCAAGACGAGCCGGCGCACCGCCTGTCTCTTTGCCTTCCGCCCACGCCACCTAGCTCTCCTTTCCTTGCTCTTCGAGGCACACTTCCTCCCCTGCCACGGTGTGATCATCATGCTGTTCTCGGTGTTGTACACACTGTACCACCCAACGTCACAGCTATCACCCTTGCTGGCGCGGACCTTTCGGGTCACCGACCTGCTGCGGACAGCCTGCTTCCTCTGGATGAACGTCTGCCTCGCCTTGTACGAGCGGTGGCATGCTCTATGTCTCTCTGCCCGCATGAAGGACATGATGCTCGCCAACCTCAACGACACGGGCTTCTCCCGGCGCACCTGGTGGCACACCAAGTACCTGTGTGAGCGTGTCTGTTTTCCTGTCGCAGGCACGTTGTACGGGGCCATCCCCACGCTGCAGGCGGTCTTCTCGCACTTCTGGACGGACCGCTTGGTCTACCGGGTGAGCAAGAAGCCGACCTTTGAGGCTGTCTAGTATGAGATGGTAAAGCTTAGTAGAACTAGCAATAGCCCACTAATGAATAATTGATACGAGTTATGACTACCCCACTCCAGTCCACTCCACTCTTCATTATAGAACGTCATACCTTCAGACTACAACTACACTCATACAAAACCAAGCAAGATGGCTACCCGTGTGGCTGTCATCCAATGGCATATCAAGGTATTCATCTGAAGTAGACTAGGTATACCTGAGTACTCAGCACTAATCTCTATAATAGAACCTCGACATGCCCGCCAACCACCAAACGGCATGCACATACATCCGCTCCGCCGCATCCCAAGGCGCCAAACTTGCCGTTTTACCAGAGTAAGCATTTATCCTTGTTAAACCCGTTTTTCAAAGTGTCACCCTAAACCCTAATGATGAAAGATATCATCTGAACGGATGGGAGCCTACCTCCCCCCTGTGGCGCGAGCAAGCGCGAGAATCACAAAGCTATCTGACCTCGTACGCCTCTCTCGCCAAGGAACTCAACATCTGCATTGTTCCCGGCACGGTGATCGAAGAACACGTCTCCGAAGAAGGGAAAACGATATACTACAACGTAGCGTATTTCCTATCCAACACGGGGGCGGTGCTAGGCTCCTATCGGAAAAAGAACATCTGGCACCCCGAACGACCGCATCTGACCTCCTCGTCCGAGGAGAGACATGTCGCCTTCGACACGCCGATCGGCAAAGTCGGCCTGCTAATCTGTTGGGATCTGGCTTTCCCCGAAGCCTTTCGCGAGCTGATTGCCGCGGGGGCAGAGATGGTCATCGTCCCGACGTACTGGACGCCACTCGATGCCGGCGAAAACGCTAGATCGTATAACCCGGACTGTGAGAAATTGTTTCTCGAGACAACCCTCACCTCGCGCTGTTTCGAAAACACATGTGCGGTCATCTTCGCGAATGCCGCGGGGCCGCAGGACCGGTTTCTCGGTTTGTCGAGGGTGACGATGCCCATCATAGGCGTGCTGGGGAGTATGGGTTGCGAAGAAGGGTGTCTTGTTCTCGACATGGATATGGAGCTTGTACGCATCGCGGAGGAGAATTACAAGGTTCGGAAAGATATCGGTGGCGATGAATGGCATTATGTGTATCGCTAGTCCTTATTCTAGACCAATCTGTCTTTGTGACAAGCAGCTAGGCTACTTGTCTGTGATGCTCTCCTCGCTAAAAGCAGATTTGGCAGGCGAAAACACTGGATCTGGCTCCTCGGACTGGACGGACGAGTCGTCTCGAATAGAAAACGTATCTTCAGTCTCATCTTCTAGTTCATCCAGAACACACCCCTCGGAGATGACCTGGTTGTCAGCGATATCTTCAAGAATCAAAGTCAATGGAAGTACCGTCAAAACCCTTGCGTCAATAGCACGTCCAAGACAAACGGTACATGAGTCTTTAGACCGCGAACTGCCAAAAACACCAACAACCTCGCACTCCACGTCGGGACAGTGGGCATGGTTCGAGCAGGAGTCGCACAAGAGGTACCAGCGGTATGTAAGGATGTGTTTTGGCGACGCGGTGCACTCCTCCGGCGTGGTGGTACAGGTCATCAGTTGGCACATTTCCACCTGGCAGATCAATCAATGGTCTGTCTGATTTTCTGGTATGAGGATGGATAGAAAAAAGAAACAATGTAACCAAGAAAGATGTAAAGATGGTATAAGGATACGAGACAGCCAAAAGAAAACATGGTAGAAATAGTGTAGAAAGAGAGGGATTCGAGGCGTCGAACTTATATTCCCCCCATTGCTAGTGAAGTCAATACAGATGTAGATTCACCAGGGTGGAGTACCAGGAGGGGATACGTTCACTAGCATTCATATCGCCAGAGTTATGAGCGATAGCGTTAATAAGATAAAGGAAAAGTGCCTAATATTCTATTGACAAAACCTGAAAAATACATTCAGCTATGTGTATAACACTAGCGCAGTGACTTGATATGGCTAACGGAGATAAAAGAGAGAAGAGCATTGGACTGGTTGATTCTAGGATAACAGAAATCATCCGAGAAAAAAAAGAGAAAGGAAATGAATCATTAGGCGATACAGTCGTCAGGGGATCTTGAAGCTTGCCATGACAGAACTCCGTGGCACGAAGGTACAGGGACGAGAATAAATATACCCTCACCAAACACGTCAATACATCGCCGAGGCAAAGACATACCAAAAAAAAAAAAAAGGGGGGGGGGGTCACCGGATATAAGGGTTTCAAGAGGGCAATTTGCCAGCCGCAGTACAATCGACAACTACTGAACCTGGCTGACAATCTCGCTGGCGCGCGACAAACTCTCCACCATCTGCTGGCACTCCTTCCGCCGGCGGATGGTGTAGTCGCTTTCCTTGAGCAGGTCGTCGAGTTCGTTGTTCCGGTACATGTTTTCGAGCAGCTCGCGTTGCATCTCGTCCTTGGTGAATCTGTGGGGGGTTAGCATAAGAAGCAGAAGTATGAAGCCAAGACAGGAGAATACTCACTGGACAAGCGTGTACATAATGGCCTTGGGGACCATATCGATCATGGTGCGTTTGACGATGTTGAAGTAAGAGGTAATCAACAGCTCTGTGATGGTATTAGTCTAGCACAAAGCTAATTTGCAGATCTTCGACATACTGATAACTTCAACTTCAGAGCTCTCCCGCTCCGACAGAGTGGCAGAGGCCTTGAGCGTCGGCGGCGGGGGCTCCATAGCAGCCATCTTCTTCTTGTTCTTGGAGGCCCAGAAGGAACCGAAGAACCCGGAACCGTTATCAGCGCTCGCCGCAGCAGTGAGATCAACTGATGGGCTGTTGGCGCGGGGTGGAAGGGGCTTCCCGGTCTTGGGGTCGACCTGTGTCGGTTTTCCGGCGTTCTGGCGCTCGTTCACAATGCTCATAGCCTGGGAAATTAGCAAGGAGAAGAGAGAGAGAGAACGTGTATATCAACTTACGCGGTGCCCGTTCAAGAAATCAGGGTGGCCAGTGTTGATGTAGACGGCCTCCATGGAGATCAGGTCATGGACAAGCTTGTTGGTGGGCTCCATGCACTTCTTGAAGAAGCTGATCACCACGGCATGGAACTTCTCCTTGAGCATGGGATACCGGCGGAAGAGTTGCTTGTTGAGCAGCTGGCCGAGGATGCGGACTAGCTCGTCAAAGACCAAGGAGATACACTTCAGAGACGGCTCCTCCAAGCGCTTGATCTGCTGCTTGACGATCAGCTCGAAGGCGGTGGTGCCAACGAACAACGCAGGCGAGGAACCGGAAGAGTTGTAGAGGATCGTGCGGATATCAATGTCCTTGACCTGATCGAAGGGATCCACGGCCTTGATTCCGTTCGAGTACAGCTCGTGGAAGACAAAGCTGATACGAGCGCCACCCGACAGCTCCACGCTCGACAGCTCTTGGTTGTTACCCTCCAGAACCGTGCGGTATTCGTTGCTGAACTCGGTGATGATGTTCAGGACGATGTTAGCGCTGTTGCCGAGCATCGAATCACCAAGCTGGGAGAGTTCCTGCGTGTACTTTTGGAGGGAGGATGAGATGCGAGCCTTGATATCCGGGAGAGTTTGCTTGATGTGCATCATCAGGATCTAATAACAAGCGTTAGTACAGTTGATTTCGGCGTGATGGGGAGGCAATAGAAATACCAAGTTCAACTTCCTGGCGAGATACGGCGTGCCACAGTACGACGACTTATTCCGGTAGGCCTTGTGGCTATCGAAGAAGTTCTTCTCGTGCTCCAAGGCGTAAGAGATGGGCCGCTTGTTCTCGATGTCTCGCTGGCCACGGTTGACGACAGGGACGTAACCCAAGCGCAGGGGGATGATCCTGCCGGCCAGAATATCGACCACGTCGGTTCCCTCGTCCATGAGATCGACCTTGGTCAAGACACCGATGGTCCGCTGGCCCTCCGGGTCGACCTCGCGCGCGAGCTTCAAGCCGTCGGAGTTGGCCAGATCCTGGTTGGCGGCGGTGACGGCGAGGATGATGGCATTCGGTTTGCTGATGTGCTTGAGCACCATATCCTTGATCTGGCGCTCGATGTCCTTGGGCTGGTCGCCGACGGGGACCTTAGTCAAACCAGGCAGATCGACGAGGGTGAGGGTGAGGACGTGGGGCGAATAGATGCGCAGGTTGATCGGGGCCGGCGAGATTCCCGCGTTGCGGCCGACCTTGGTCTCGGTCTCGCGCACAATCTCATCGCGGATCTTGTTGAAGTCGTAGAACTTCTGGCCGGGGATATGCAGGAACTCGCCGTACTCGTCCAGATTCGCCTCGCTGTCCGACGTGTCCAACGCTGCCTCCTTCACCCCATTCGCCGGCTGCTTCACGGACGGTCTGTTGATCAGTTGCAGAATGAGCGGTCTCCGCGTCACGATTCCCGAACCACGAGGAAGACTAAAGCGTTAGGCGTCAGCTGTTTTTGTCCCAAGCGCCACACACACACACACAATCAAACCACGCCTCTCTTTGCTTACAAGTCTCGACCGACAATATTCTCCAGAACCGAACTCTTGCCACTCGACTGGGATCCCACAACAACAATCTGAGGCAAATCTATCGGGTTGTGGACCTGCGGGAGAGATGGCGGTGTCAGTCTGCGGCGGCAGCAGCAGCAGCGGGGGGGGGAAATAACGGCGCAAACAAGCAATGCGGAACAACAGGGGGGG